GGGTTGAGGTTTTTTTTCAAAAGGGGGGGGGGGGTGAAGGCGAAAACAGTTAAAAAGTACGTTGTACACATACATATAGTTAAATAACTCAATAGAATATCGATACAGGGTGGAGTATGGTTTTTGAAAGTGGGATGTTGATCAATCTGGGAAAAAGTACATTACCAGAAAGTTTTTGAAAAAGAAAGGAAAATAAAACTGCGAACCTGACAATCCTATTTTGTAAAGGGATGGGGTTTTATTTTGTTTTTACAACCGAATTTCTTTTTATATTACAACATTAGCCTTTCACCTTACATTTTCTGTAGTAAAAACACAACAAAATAAATGGAACTTTCTTATTTCTCTTTCTTTTTTGCAAATCCAAAGGGGGGGGGGGTTGCAACCCCCCCCCCCCCCCCCCCCCCTCTGGACACACTTTTACCTCAATATTCATGTTTTCAAAAAATAGTATATTTTTCATTGTAACCATGGAACATTTTTTAAATAAATGTTGCTTCGCAACTAGTCCAAATGACGAAAATTTGTAAAATGTAATTGGCTTTTCAATGTGGATTTTGTATAGGATTTATTCAACTGACAAATTTATAAAATATACCAAATGCAGGCACGTAGCATCGTTTTTGAAAGTGGGGGGGGCCAACCTGAGAAAAATTTTTTTTACTTACCTTAAAAAGTTGACAAGCAAAGAAAAAAAGGGGAAAAAAAACGGAAAATTTTAAGTTGCCCAAACTCGAAAATCCTATTCGTGGGGGGGGGGGGGGGGGGGGGGGGGGGGTAGTGGCAAACTTTTTCAAAGCCAACCTACAATCACTTCCAATTTTTTTTCCTTACAATCCTTGCTATCACTATACTAAAGTGGGGGGGGGGGGCAACCATCCTATCAATGAACATTTACTATAGTAAAGATTATGTTTCGGAAAAAAGTGGGGGGGGCCTGGCCCCCCCTGCCCCCCCCCCCCCCCCCCCCCGGATGCTACGTCCCTGAAATGAAAGGTACACTCTTCTACTTTTCAAAACTTAATTTACATTTTCCTATTGCGATTTTACTTTTTGTAGATACGTGTTTATAGTCGATTGTTTATGTTTTTCGCCAATGCCAGTTTGAATACCGCATTAAACCCAAGAATTTTTCAATTCTTTCATTACATATCTGTGAAAAAATTATATCAATAGTTTCTTCAAAGTGTCAGCATATAAGTTTTATGTCGAAACATTACTTCTGTTTTTTGCTACAACGAGGAAAGTTGTAGGAAACGCACATTAATAAAAATTATAATTCGGAGTTTTTTCTCGCAGTTATGTCAGAATTAACCGTTAATTAAGGTGTAAAATGTCTGATTTTCATAATTGTTTTGTATATAATTAAATTCTGCAAAGTCTCACGATTAAAATGGTACTTGATTTTTTGAAATCCGTCAATTCTAAGCAAAACTATTAATTTTTTTCAGCAACATGTCACAAAAAAGAAGGCTTATCGGTCAGTATTGACCGATACGAACGTGAAAGGGTTAAGCACGTGAAAGCGGGATAAAACTAATCAGTAGACATAGGTCTGCGTGTCTGTCCGTAACAAAGTTTTGGGTCGCAGTTTTTTCAGCAACTACTCATTACAGATGCTTGAAATTTTAGCAAATTCGTCACAAATCCGATGTCGACTTCCTGTTTAACCGTGCGTCTATCCGTACCATACATACATGTAACGAATTTTTATCGCATTTTTCTGTGCAACTACTCTTTGAAGATTCCTTAAATTTTAGCACAATCTTTGTTGAGACATGCCATATAGTGGGATTAATTTTTGTATGTGAATCTGATGTTACATGTAACTTCGTATTTCTTCCGTGCATCTGCCTGTAACTGAATGTGTGTAAACATAGTAGACTAGTGTATATTCTCATCAGAGCGGGACATTATTGGTAAGCATTGGCTCACAGACGTATTGTTTGTTCTGCCTTTTTTTTTTTAAATATCAAACAAACATAGGCGTCGGAATCGGGAGGGGGCTTAGCCCATCCCCCCTCCCCACTTTTTTGCAAATATATACATGTGCATTGAAAATTGGGGTTTACCTTTTTTCGTTGGTGTAGCCCCCCCCCCCCTTTTCGATTTGCTTCCGACGCCTATGACGAGTATACAGTATATCTTTCCGAATACCTTGTTTTATGTATACATGTGTACATACGTATATCGGAAACGTTGACTTCATAATGAAATCATTTAAATTTAAAATTTATTTTTAAATCAACCTCTTTTTCAACATGATATTATCGTTCCTTTATTCTGTTTCTTTCTTTTTGTTTATGTGTATTTTTTTCCATTGCTGAATAACGCGGAAAAAAATCAGGTTGTATTTTTAAGTCGAACAAGAAATAAGATTACATGACATTACATGTAAACTGGAACAAGCTACAAAGTTACATTACATGAACAAAACCTCTTTTCTCATTAGTTTTATGAGTATGTGTTAACTTAAATATTCTTTTGTAATTTTATACGTTCCTTCTGTCGACTTCTGCACAGACTTTTATCAGACCTTTACTTAAAAAAAATCATTTGTCGAATTTGATAAATTCTGGATCAAGGGCCCGGCCCCATCTCACACAAGATTGAGGGACTTCCACATCGCCAAACCAGTGGATCTTTGTGAGCTTATTTAGTGTCAAAAGAAAAGACCTTCTTTATTTGCCTCGCATCCCAAGTTTCGTCAAATAGATCGAACGACTCAAACATATTTAATTGAGGAAAAATATTCTTATTTGCGAAAGATATTGGAATGGAATTACAAAATTTATTTTCCAATCATTCGTTATCATACCATCAAAACTTGACGCGTTATCACAGCAGAAAACGTCAAAAACGAAATTTGCGTTAAAGTGCGTGATTGCGGGGTAAAGGTATATGCGTTAAAATGCGTGATTGCGGGGCAACGGTATATGCGTTAAAATGCGTGATTGCGAGGATGGGGATTAAAGTATTGTATTTAAGAGTAAAGGTTGTATAGTGAAATATTTATCATATGTTCCCAATCATAAAACCGTAGAATTTCAGTCGCTCTATGTCATGATATTTAGGGCTTTGATATATCAAGTCAAAATTTTATTTTATGTCTGCATGCATCTTCCCAAGTCAAGAGTTTCTGATTCGGATCCGCTCCATATTATGTGAATTATTATGCATGTAGACAAGCAGTTGATAAAAAAATTTGAGAGTAGGCATATTTGAGAATATATGTTTAATTATCAAATTACTACTAACTCAAAGGGTGAATATTTTACACAATATTTAGAAAGTTCACTGAAGTATTTGGCAAGCCGACGACCTTTCGGCTTTCCCAGATCATTTTTTTTTTTTTGCCTTAAGATCACCTTCTTTAAGGCTAAAAAATTCTCAACCATAAAAGTTCATATAAGATCAATACCGCGTGGCTGGGTTTAAGATAATGTGTGTGACCAGTCAAAAGGAGATGCTTACTCCTTGAAAGTACCTGATCCCACCCCTAGGATTTCCGAGGGTCCGTGCCCTGTTCACATATTCGTATTATTTGTTTTAGATTTTTTGAGATATATCGCTGATTTCTTATCTTTACTTTTTCTTTGAGAAATAATTAATACGTCAATGGTGAATTATTTCATCAAAATATACAACTGTAATTTAAATGATTTGAAACAATTTCTTGTTTGAAAACAATTATCAACCTGTCAGCGAAAATTTGTATTAGAATCGAAGTTGTTCCATTACCTATATTATTGTGGTAGGCACATATATCAATCTTATATTCCTCTGAACAGTGGACACAATTAATTTAGCATTAAAAGAAACAAATAAACAAAACAACGAAAAAACAAACAAAAGGAACATAAAAACAAGCTTATTATTATATTTCTGACAAAGGTGTCCGAATGGGGGTGGGGGTGGGGGATAAGATTTTTTTGACAAAAATAGACATTACATAGGCATCAAACATTGTTTAGACCCCCTTTTTTGAATAGGCACATGTTGCAGTGTAGTCAAAGAAGGGTAAGTGGTATAAGATATATTCTATGAAACAGGATTTTTGAGGTTGAGCATGCACACCCATCTTTTCTTTTGCTTGTCAACTTTTTTCAGGTAAGAGTAAGTTAAAAAAAACTCTCTGGCTAACACCCCCCCCCCCTTCTAAAACGATTCTATGTGCCTGCATTAATTGTCATGTTCATTTTTCAATGACAATAATTGCAACTTTGTGTTCAAGACTGCCTTGTTATTGTCAGTGCGCATGTAGACTGACTAATGTACAAAATGGCAAAAATGCAAATGTCAAAAATAAAATGCATATTCTTTTAATTCCATGGTATATTTTAGATGTGCATTTCCAAGCAGTCGAACAAGCAAAAATTCAAAGAAATGTGGCCCCCGCTTTTCGGCGTATTTGTGGATTATTTATGGCCTATTGTGTCAATATGAACGCAGTATCATATATCATTCAAGAGATATCACCGTTTGTTTGTTTGTTTTGTTTTGTTTTGTTTTGTTTTTTGAAAAATTAGGTCAAACATGAAAGTCAGAAATCACAACATATGCTCGCAAATATCTTGCCAAAGGTAATGAACATGTCAAATATGAAAGCCCTACCTCTTCTAAATCAGTCATAAGGAAGAAATAACATTTTTGAAAAGAAGGTCAAAATTCAAGGTCAAGGTCATGGGGGTAAAAAAATCATAGTATAAGAAAGGACTTGTCACAGGTAATGATCACAACTATGAATATGAAAGCCCTACCGTTATCTCTTCTCATTTAAAAGTTATAGCCACGAACAGCCTGAAAGACAAATGAGATTAATCATTAATATTTAATGTCCCCCTGCTTTCGCGAAAGCGGGGGACAAATATGTAACGCCACTGTACAGCGGCCACGCCGCAAAATCCGCTCCTTTTGTCTTTTGTTGGTTCTCAGCGAAAAACATTCAGCCTAACAATAGGAGACGGGCACCAGATTAACAAGGACTTTGATCGGAATGACGTTTTCAATCACGTGGTAACACATAACATGGATGATAGTAATACGTATGTTTCTCAAGTAAACAATTGTTGCAACTAACGTGTCTTGCTGCTACTTGTGGAATAGTGTTTGCAGAAACAATGGAGGAACCAGCAGAAGCCATTCCTGAGGAAACAGAGGAGGATACACAAGGTAAAATCGGGCAATGCAAGGCATAGACAGGGGGTCTAGGAAGTCTGTATGAAAGAAGAATGGGTGTATGCCAAAAAACATGAGTCATTGGAGACCATGAGGTTTCTGTCACAAAGCATCATGGCTAATTTTATACATCTGACCATTACTTAAAGTACCATTGAAAACACTTTTGCTTTGTCAAATGCATTAATTATGAATGTGCTTAAATATAAATTTATGATAACCTTGGCTTAAGACATCTATTGTTCATGTTGCATTACCTATATATACATGTAGGGTATTGCATAAGCATATGTAATGAAGAGGAAAAAGGACATCCTCAGTCATTTCTTAATGAAGATGACGACAGGTGTTTGTCTATGGCCCCATTGCTTAAGTTGCATAGAAACCTGTGACTTAAATGCACCTTGGACATGTTGGAGTTAGGTTATTGATTACACACATAAAGAACCTACACCCAGTTTTCCCGAAGAACTATAGGAGCTTTAATTTGTATTGATTTTTTTTTTCACCTGAGTATGTGAAATATTTTGAAGTGCAAGGGAATACTTTGCATTTTTGGGATAATTTCTTTTAGAGTTATTTACAACCTTATATGATTTTTATCTGTGTCAGATGAAGAGTGGGAATGCAAACCCAGCTTAGTTCATTCATTTCTTGCAAATTGGCCATGAAAAAAGTTATCTTGCATAAATTTGCAAAATTTAGAAAGATTCTTCACTGTAACAGGACTCTTTGGTAAAATCTTCCTTCAAAAACTAGAGTACTGTAGGAAGTTTATTTAATTTTTTCTATCCACCCCCCCCCCCTTCTAACCCAGAATATTTCTTGATTATCTAGATTAAAGGACCCCCCTCCCCTCATTAAATTATGATCTTATCAGAGTTTCCAAAACCCATCAGACCTACCGGTACATGCAAAATTGATTTTAAATCAGAACATTTTCAGTGATATTGACCATGTCATTGATCTATGTGAGCAGAAAAAGATTGATTGACACAATCTTTTAAGATAATTTATTTTACACACAAAACTTTTGATGGATAGGGTTAGGACATAAACTTGTGTTGGGAATGGTTTGGGTGGTGGATATCAGCCTGGGTAGCTCAGTCAGTAGAGCACCTGACTAGTGATGCAGGGGTCAGGGGTCCTGGTCCACCCACATATTCTCCCATTTCCTATTTCCAGGTACACTTGAATAAGTTGAGTTGTGTCAGACACAGTCAGATTATCTGAAGTCAATATGACTATCAATTATTAAATTAATCACTTATTTTTGCAATATTTTTAAGCACCTCGGTTGGGATGCTTATTGAGAGAATATGTTTATGTTATATATACATACGATTGTGTTTTTCTTTTTATCCCCGATCCATGGTGAGGGGATAAAATCACACAACAAGTTGGATAAAAATCACATCCTACTGCAAAACACTCTTTTAATATTACAGGTATGTAGCATTACAACATTTAATAATTAAACAATGTAACAACTGATAAAAACAATGTCTGTCGAGGTTTCATTTCCTTGGGTCCCATCTACTCCGATATGGAATTTTAGGTCATCTGTTATCAGGATTGGAAACCTCCTGGTCCTGAGGCTAGCTGCGTCCTAGGGCTGTCACGGTTAACCGAAAACTCGGTTAACCGCTCCGAAATGGCATTCGGTTCGGTTCGAGTCAGGTTTTCCGAAATTCGGTTCGGTTTTTTTTTATCTTTTATATAATACTAATTTGCTTGCAACACGCGTTGTGATTGGTTGTTTATTTCAATGAAGGGTTCTTTAACCAATGAAAATACAGGTAACATTGAAGACCTGTATAACCAGTTAAACATGGCATACACATGTGGAAGGAAAACCAAATCACAAGTGTGGGAATACTTCACGTTTTGAATGTTTCAATTGTTTGAAACAAGATAACTCTAGTCAATAACTATATTTATTTTATTTTAAACAAGAAGTTTATTACTTTGTTATTTTTTGTTACATTTAACACTTGTTCTGTTGAATAAAATGGATAGAAATTTGTGTCAGCAAAATAGTACTTTCTACAATGTCCTTAATCTTTATTATCCTTTGATATATATAAAGATGTTTTATTTAAATTCTCAAAATGAAAACTTTATTTTCTGAACCGTTACTACGTCCCTTCTACTCAAATCTGAACTTTTACCTCAGCTGCTGCAAAACACTCTTTAAAACCCATTGTGATGTCACTACTTTGGGATATCAAAAAATATCCAATGAGTCATATCCACAGGATATAGGGGTAAACATCATTCATTTGGGATAAATATCTGATACTTCAATTAAATTGAATTTTATTGCATGATGATGAATATACCCCCTGGCAATAAATACTTATATTAACAAGATTGACTTTTGTTGTTAAATAAATTGTGTGATAATTGTATATAATGGGGAACATGTCTTATGATATGTGACAAATTAAAACATAAACTGAAGGAATTTTCTTTAATATAAACTTTTAATGAACTTCACTGCTGTTTATTATATGCAATACTTTGTTGAAAAAGGTTACAGTGCTTTACCATATACATGTTTTGAAAATGAATTTAATTTTTTGGTGGGGGGGGATTCACAGAGCACCAGCTGAATTTCTTTGTCTTGTTGATCATGTTGATGCCAGTCAAACTTATTCCTAAAACAACTTAAATTTCTAAAAATATGCACATTCCAATTTTACGTTTTTCATCCATTATTAAATCAATTCTTTGTACAGAGTGTTTTGTTGCATATTTGATCAGGTTCAGTCAAATTCTCCCAAAAATGACCAGGCAGGTTTAAGTTTCAGGTATAAAAATGATGCAGTCTTTAGAACTTAGGTATGGGATATCAGATTCAGTAAGAATTTCTCTGAAAAAAAAAACCCTACACATGACATACAGTAAAACATGCTTATAATACAAAGTGCTTCATCAATAACTGTAATTTGTTTTTATGCATTAAGTTTACAATATGTTTTAAAGTCACAGGTAATAAAAAATCACGTTGCTGTAAGTGTCAATTCATTAAAAGCATGTTTGCTATAAGCATGCTTTATTGTACAAATTCTCTGGAATGTCTGAATTTACAACCTTCTGTAACCTAAATAAGTCACACACCTTTGCATCAATTATCATATAATGGCATTTATTATAGGCTGCTCAGGAAAAGGAGTAATCCTTCTATAGGCATTTCCATTTTTTCTCTCAGCTCCCACTAGATATCCTGAAAAATGAATTAAAATGTAAACATGCAGAGTTGTTCACATTTTTAGACAGGGACAGCTTAAGGTTCATTAACTGTATGATAAGGGAGATAACTTTGATTGCAATACAGTGTTTATGTTTTTTTTCCCTTTAAAAGCGTTCATCTCAAATTTTGCACCATAAGGTATACTGAAATTGTTTGTATTTTAACTTACATTTCTTTTGAAAATCATTACTAGATGTTGAACCTTAAAGCATTACCAGGTAGCATGGCAGATTATGTAATGGTATATCAATAATAGTTTATACATGTACTTTTGGGAATATGTAGCATTTAATGTAAGAGTGCAGGGAAAGGAATATTCAGTGTATTAGTTTAGAGCTTTATTGTGTTCTGTTTTAATGGAGGACTTTGGACCAATGTATATGTTAGTCTGAAGCTTTGTTGCATCCGGTGTTAAAGAGAGCTAAAGGATTCAGTGTTATGTATTGCTTAAGATCATCAGTTCATTGAGAGTTGGGTCATGAGGTGTAAACATGCATAGTATGCACAGACTTAATGTTTAAAAATATAACTTAAAACATGAATTAGTAAGGCATGAGTCTCATTGTTAAAATAAAAACAAAGATAAAGGGACAATATAAAAGCAAAGGTATGAATCATTATGAATTTCATGCATGCTTATATATAAACATTATAAAAATTTAAACGATGTCAATGTAAACAAAATACTTGTGTAAATTAATCCCCTTGTAGAAATTAAATGACTGGAGCAAACAGTACTTGAGCATGATTATATTGATAAGTATAAATACTATATACATGCATTTGATGAGAGTGCATGGTGTTAAGCATGTAACATTCTTTGAAAACAAAGTTGTAATGCATTTATTCAAACACTGTGAATGACTGAACAGTCCATTGACCTTTAATGTTTATTTTATGGAAAAATTTTTATACAAACATGTTGGGTGTGGATTCATTGTACAGACAGTTATAAAGAAATAAAGAAATAAAACATATCAATCATTTTAAAAATATTTTGTGGATTTTATTGCCCATTTTATAGACTGTGTTGTAGTACACATTTACTGGTGCTGTGACTTTTAAGGTCACTTGAGTCACAGGGGCCAATAACATTATTGCATGTGCTTGATTTTTCATGATCACTTTATAAACAAAAAGGAAAAGGGAACCTGAATGTCAACTCAATATTAAGATATAAAAGAGACATTTTTTAAAATGTTCTTCATTATTACATTTAATTATCTGTTTATGCATTTACTGTGATCAATACTGTAAATCACTTTTTATTCCTGAGAACTTTATTTTACGCGAGACAATGTGTTCGCGAAAATTAAATTCTCGCGTTTAAAAGTATTCCTTACGATTGTATAGAGGAATAACAACTATTCGTGAAAATTATATCGCGCTTACAAAGAGTCAATGATAATCTCGCGAAAATAAGGTGTCGTGAAAAATTTGGTGATCTGCAGTATGTATAATCCCTATTTAAATTTACTTTTTTATTGCACCATTAACAAATAAACATTAAATATACTAGACTCTGAACATAAGGTATATTGTGCTCTCTCATTTAGTTGCTGTTAAGAAGGTTAAGCCTCCAAATAAGAAGAGATTTGAAGAAGACTTAGAACAGCTCAGCAGCAGAATACGGGACTTGGAGAATGAAATGGTAGGAAGTTATAGCTTTAGATACATCTATTATGAAATGATACATGCTTGTTTAACATATAATTGAGGAAGTAAAAAGCAATAAAGCAGTAGTATTCGAGTTTTTAAAGATATCGTATTACTGAATGTTTTGACCTTTATGAAATTTACAGAAAAAACTGCAACCAAGTCAGAAAGGTGACATAGCAAGTAAAAGGAGCGAGAAAATCGAGATCATCAACACATTGAAGACAATAGATACGGAGATCCGAGCTCTCACTGCAGATGTTACAAAGAGGGTAAGCCTCCTGGAACTGTTGGTTATATTTCAGATAGGACGCAAATTCAAATTAGATATGGATAGAATGATTTTGAATATTATCATATAATATGTTTCATTTTACAGAGGGCTGCCTTGGATAGGTTACAGGCAAACCTAGTGTATAAAAACGAGAAGAAGATTGACGATGCTGTCGGGTAAGTTGCTGCCATTACATGTATTTGTTTAATACAGATAAATACTAGTTAGTTATTGTTGGTATGCATGGGAAAAAAACAAATACAAGCTCAAACTGAAGTATTTTAACATGGATTGAACTATCTGAAAATGGCTAGATATTGGGGATGTCAAGATATCAGAGTTAGATTTTGAGGTCAAAGGTTTCAAAACTTCCAAGAGTGCTTGGTATTCGTTGTCAAGAAACTAAAGGCTACCATTAGATTAATTTAATAAAAACTCCTAACTTATGTTAAAAATGCTATACTTTGTAGGAAACTAGAATATCAGTTGAAGAGGACCAACTTTAAGCTGTCAGAGGAGAAGAAAATTGTAGCAGAAATAGACAAGCTCCAGCGCTCCAAGAAAGTTCTTGTGTAGGTACCGGGGTATCTTTTAAATGGGAAGTAATCCATGTTTCTCTTACTGTGATAGCAGTACTGTATTTTTAATGACTCTTAATATTGATTTGACACAGAGAATGAATCAGCTGACCATTGTTTGCTTGTCCTCAATTTTAACTCAAGGAGTTAATTCCTATAAAGAAACTAAATAGTAAACTCTCTGATGATTGAGACATAAATCATTATTGATTCAATATTGAGTTGTGAAGATTACAAAATAAATGTGACAAATTTAAGAAAAAAAAGATAAAAGGAATTGACAGGATAAATAGGCTTACTTTATGTAACGTACATGTATTTGGTATTCTTTTTAATAGTCAATATGTGGCTCAGAAGAAAGAAATGGATGATGTTCGAGAAAGGCAGAGGCAGTTACGGGAGGAAAGGGATGTAAGTTACAATTTATTAGTACTTATAAGAATATTAGTGTTTTGCAGTTTTTTTTTTTTTTTTGTTCGAAGTTATTAAAGGTCATTTGGTAAAGTAATTAAATTCTATTTCAGAGATTACAGAAGGTTGTAAACCGGATAAGGATAGAAGAGGACAGCATCAGAAGAAGTAACCATGACAGGAAACTGAAACTGGACCAGGTCAAGAGAGGTAAAGATTTGTTATATTGATGCTGTATTATAGATTATAATGATATAATGATTGTATTAAGGATGTTGCTTTTTAAACAGCTCCCCTCCCTTTACAAAAAAATATATTACGATGAACATGTCAGTAGCTCATCCAGAGTAGGAAATAAAAGTTTTCAAGACATTTTTTTTATGGATTTTTTTTTTCAATGTTTATTGCTCATTGAATATTATTGAGGCTTCTTGGTGAAAAGTCACAAAATACCTGTACACATTTATAGAGCTGGATGAAATGCATGAAATAAAGCGGAGAATGGTCCAGGATTATAAAGCCTTGGAGAAAGAATACCAGGACGTCAAACAGGAGGAGATTAAAGTCAAGAGGCAGGAGGGCTTCATCAAAAAACAGGAGAGAAGAAACACCATGGAGTCATTCCAGCAAGATCTGTAAGTACTGAAAGTTTGGAACCATGTAGAGACGTTTTATGTATTCATAATGAAGATTTTTAAAAATTCATAAGATATCACTTGGCATTTCATAAACATTGGAGAATTAAAGTCTGTATTAAACTCTGGGCAATTTAAGAACAGCATAGCTGTAATGTCAGATATGATAAAAAACAATATATTTGTATAACTCTGTTTTGATACATCCACTTTGTTACACTACAGAGACTGAAAGGATATCCTTATAATATACAAGCTCAGAAATATTATTAATTTACATGTATATGGCAAAGAAAAATTCACAAAACATGTACCTTGGAATAATAACGTACCATGGACTATTTTAGGGAGGTTTATGGAACAGCCCGGAAGCCATTTGAAGATGAGGTGAACCTGTGTAACACCCTGATTAACTATCTGAAGAAGTTTAACACGGCCTCGGATGAGACAACGGAGGACACTGAGCCCTCCCCCCGGGCGTCTGGCTGGTCCCTCATCAAAGGTAGGATAGCAGTACAGTTCTGTAATGATGAAATTATATGGAGTAAAAAGTTAAGATACAAACCTTGACAAGAGATGTTTGTACAAAATTTATAATAATGTATTAATGTGTATGTAAGGAAATATTTTGGAAAAAAAAGATGGATTCAGTTAGTACATGTATACAATCAGTGTATTTATTGGACATTATCAGAATTGATAGCAAGTTTAATCAATCTGAAAACATTTGGAAGAAATGGAATTTAGAATAATGGAAACACTGGTGGAATAAAATTTTATAACTCTACTGTACTTTTTATTAAGGAATTGGGGAATCACCAGGTAACTGCGGTTTTATTAATTTAATTAGATGTTATTTAGAGGCAGGTTACTCATGTTACTTTTATATCATTTTTAACCCGTGATGAAATGTACAACTGTTTTAGTTGTCCTTTTGTTTTGTTCAGCATTAATCAAAGTCTTTACATACATGTACCTTACTTGAGATTCATTTCAAGGCTCATTTACTCTGATGAAATTTGTCTGTTGATCTTAGTTAAGGGACTACCAGTACTGTAAACCAACTTTTATTCGCATATTTCGCGACAGCCTCATCATCGTGAATATTTCTCGCTGCGAACTGGTACTTAACGCCTTAACGTTGGTTTACAGTATAGTATTGTATAACTTATGTTGCTGTACACCTTATTTTGCAACATATTTAAATTTTAAAATGAGATTGTCCCATTTCAAAATTGCTCAAAGTGTATCATTAGGAATATACACACCTGCCTTTTGTAAGAATATCTCTGGTTTTAATTTTGTCTCTTATGCCTGAAGATAATGAAAAAAAAAGAGAGGGGATAAAAACAAAAACAAAGCAGGGAATAAATTGTCCTTGGGGGGGGGGGGGGGTGGTCAATATTTATGCATGCTCTCTAATTCAAAAATCAGACAGAAAGCAAATTAACATACTAACTGGGTAACTAGACAAATTTTTCATGCAGAGCATAAAATATGTGTACATGTATTTGTGAGCAATGTCATATTTTTATTGCTTTTGGTTGCCTATACCTTACCCATATAGCCTCCCACTTAAATTATATGTACCTGTGCACTGTGCCACATAATAAAATAGCAACCACCAAAGAATTTACATATAGTGTACATTCAATATCTTAAAGGCAAGTACATTGTGATAATTAATCCTTCTCAAAAAAACAAATTTTGTATTTTTAAAAAAAATTCAATCTCCTTAAGTGATAAATTCAAGGAATGTTTGGTATATGCATGTAGTAAAATTTCCAATTTGAAGCACAGAGCACATAAATAGAGAATATGATTTTATATTGATTGTTTTATTAACTGTATGTTATGTTTGTGATGCTCAGTAAGATTGTAGAGCTCTATTATTTTATGTTTCTGTGTTTAATACGGTGAATAGAGGCAGAGACGTGCATGTGCTTACAATGGCAGTTCTATGAGATTGGGTTTCAAATGTATTTTACAAACTGTACAAGAAAGTTGCACTATTGCCATAATCATGTGAAAACTGAAAAGATTCAAACTTCTTCACATACAGAAAAATTATCATTACTCATAAAATAGTTCTTCTGAATTGATTTGTTTTAATAATTATCAGGTCTTTCACTCTTTATAGTAAATACCAGTCATCTGTTATTGATAAAATTGACATTTTATGACGTTCTTCAGACTTTATTATTTATAATTTTAGCTGCCATATCTAATGAACTAGAAGATGGGAAATATGTCCTTCTGAAGAAAGAGGAGGATGAAGAATTTCCAGATCGTCGGTTGAGGCGATGCAAAAGACCGAGCAAGAAAGGCCGTAAACAGTCAGTGGTGAGTGCCATCTGACCAGGTTTTCCTTTATTTGTTCAGTTCACTTTACGGTTATTGTCAGGAGAGTGAATAACAAAGAAATTAACATAGATTAACACATACAGTGGAACAGGTGTTAGGTAGACAGAAACCATTTATATATTCACACATTGATCAATTTTCTCTTGTTTTTCTTCTCTGATGTCAATATTATTTTTAGAAAATGATATTTGATTTTATAATGATAAAATTTTAGTATAGTATTAAATCACTTTAGCATATATGTTTATTTTAAGCCATCATTTTTGTGTAAAGAAATTTCAATGATATGCATGTATTTATTTGAAATGCCATATGTTTGACAAAGAATGGGTGGACTTTAAAAACTGGCCAGAAAAAAATGCATAATTTAAAGTTCCTAAAATGTTTATTTTTTTCTATCATATAAACCGCTGATATCTTTACCATGTATTCATAGTACAGATGTGAATTTAAAACACTCTTTTCGAGGTAAACTAAAGATTTTTTGAAAAATTTCATATTGACTTTGCTGTAATATATGCCAAATACGTATTTGAATTTTTGGAGAGAGAGAGGGATAGAGAGAGAGATGTCAACAATGACACCAATCGATAGCACGCCTCCTATTAATTTTGATTACATGACCTAAAAACAACTCCGGGTACATGTCAAATTCCGGAAGACGACACTAATGTATCGTTTCTTCAATTTTGATTCATGGCAACAGGGCATTGCTTTTGTACAAATGTTCTACCTAATATAACCATGTATGCATAGCTCTTTCTATTGCTTGTATTATATTTTGGATTCACTTCATTTACAGCTTGGCAGAGGAGTCGTTAAAAGATCCAAAATAGGGCGTTAAGTCCACCCATTCTTTTAATTTTTCAACATATTTAAATTTTTAGTTCTAATTTCAGATGAAGTCGTTGACTCACCCACCACAGATTTTTTCCCAGTTTGCCTCTCTTAACCTGAATGCCCCGTCAAATATATCTGAAATTCCAGCATCTCTAGAACAGCTCGAGGCTAGAAAGGCAAGTAAAAAAAAAGTATTTTTACTGGCTTACCTGTCAGATCTGAAAAAGGTCAAGGGAAATTTTCTGATTGAAAAGTGTCAGGCTACCATCTTTCAAATCTTGTAGTTAGGCCATTCCAACTTTTTTCTATGTTAAGTGTCCACCCTTAATTCAAAAGTTTAAATCAAAAACCTATTTTTCTGTCTGGGAAAAACAAACAAAAGAAAAAAAACAACACATTTTAAGAAAAGTATAATTTATCATCATCTTATGAGATATTTTTAGCTCACCTGAGCCGAAGGCTCAATTAAGCTTTTCTGATCACATTTTGTCCGTTGTCCGTCCGTCTGTCTGTCCGTCCCTATGTTAACTTTTCACATTTTCGACTTCTTCTCAAGAACCACTGGGCCAATTTTATTCAAACTTGGTACAAAGCATCCTTTGGTGAAGGGGAATTTGAATTGTTTAAATGAAGGGCCTAGTCCCCTTACAAGGGGAGATAATCAAGAAAAGACAAAAATAGGGTAGGGTCATTAAAAAATCTTTTCTAAAGAACCACAGGGCCAGAAAAGCTGAAACTTATGTGGGAGCATCCAGGGGTAGTGCAGATTCTAAATTGTTCAAATCCTGACCCCCTGAGTTGGGCGGGGCCACAATAGGGAATCTAAGTTTTACATAGAAATATATAGGGAAAAACTTTAAAAATCTTCTCTAGAACCACTGGGCCAGAAAAGCTGAAACTCATGTGGAAGCATCCTTGGGCAGTGTAGATTCTAAATTGTTCAAATCATGACCCCCCGGGGGTCGGGCAGGCTACAATAGGGAATCAAAATTTTATATAGAAATATATTGGAGAAAACTTCAAAAATCTTCTCAAGAACCACTTGGCCAGGAAAGCTGAAACTTATGTTGAATCATTCTGGGGTAATGTAGATTTTAAATTGTACAAATCATGACCCCCGGGGGTTGGGTGGGCCATCATTTGGAATACAAGTTTTACATTGAAATAAATAGAATTTTTTTTTTTAAATCTTCTTCTCAAGAACCACTGGGCCAGTTAACTAAAACTTTATGTGAAAGCATCCTAGGGTAGATTTTAAATTGTTCAAATCATGACACATGGGGAAGGGCAGAGTCACAATAGGTATTACAAGGGGGAAGGGCAGAGTCAGATTGGGGACCTAGGGAAACAATGAAGTTGTCATGAAGCCTCAAAATATACATGTACAGCAAAACTTGCATAGTTGCCAACTCACCCGATTTCGTCGGGTCACACCCGATTTTTCAACCCATAACCCGATTATTTTTTATGACCCGGCGGGTCATGCTTTTCACCCGATTTTTGCCGACCAACCCGAAAATCTCCCGATTTCCGGATTTGGTTCGTAAATTAGGTTGCACTTTTAACTTCCAGTTACAACCCAAGCTTAGATCTACGTAAACAATGCCGATGGATTAATTATCAGTGCAGGTGTAAACAATTAACTGGGTGTTGTTTTGACAAATCAATGTTTGACGTCAATTAAAATGGCTTCCGATTGAACTATATCGTTATCAGGGCCAGCAGGAACAAATTGAACCAAACACGTCTCTGATTGAACCAAGAAAAGGAGAAACAATATTTATGTACACATCAAGTAATCTTGGAAAAAAAACTTTCATTCTAGATAAAATAAAGTGATCGAAAACAGTGTAGGCCTAACTTCACATTTAATATATACATATTGCAGTAGTTAATTAATCAAGAGAGAGGAAAAATAACTTCAAAACTAAAATTGGTATACTTTCAAATTTAGCAGAAGCTGGAAAGGCTTTTTAAAAAAAAAATGCACACTTACTTCAGGTCAATACTGAAATATGAAACCTTCAATTCTCTTTTTTAACATGTAAATTTAATCAAATTATGTATGAATTTTTTGTCATTGTAAATTAAAGCTTTTTCAATAAAAGAATTCTCAATACACAAATACTTTGTATATATATATAATTATGTATAAAATTTAATGATGGTAAATATGTCGTGAATGTCGTTACGTGTTATGACCAGATTTTTTACTTTCCAAATCTGGTCATGACCAGATTTTTACATGCTGGAGGTTGGCAAGTATGAACTTGTTTAATACGAACTCGGATATTGCGAATTCATGGATATAGCGTAGTTATTTTGGATCCCTAGCTATATAAATTTAACGAATTCCTTATATGAATATAACGAAGTACAGATATAGTGAAGTAATTTCATAGGTCCCAAGGACTTTGTTATAACCGAGTTTTACTGGTAGTAATATTGATCAAAACTATTAAAATCATTGACTTAAATTCTGTAAACACAGTATAGTTTAATTCACGAACTACATGCACAAGCTCATTCGTCAAAAAGAGAATGGTGCCTCGGATGTACATTTTGTTTCGTGTGCCTTTTGATAAGCTGCTTGTTCATATACATGTAGTAAAATAGCTTATTATTCAGTTTATTTACGTGTGTGTGCATGCCTCATTTTTGACAAGTATAAATATGTATCATTTGGCTTTTGTAGAAATATTATGAGGATGGTGCACAGATAAAACTGAGAGTATACACCCCGTCTGTAGAGGAGAATAGTGATGGAGGAGTTTCTACCAGTGATGGTATATCAGCAACAGAGAGTGCCATGTGTGAGATGTCCCGCCAGGCCAGCCACACGGAGAGCATGGAGAACGCCAGCGGAACAACCGACCAGTGTCTAGACGAACTGGTCCGGATGTCTGAGACTCTCAGTGAAAAATCCGAATACACAACGGAACGTAGCAGTTCCGATTCCACAGTAAGGTCGTCTGACTCTGATCACTCTGGGCATTCGGTTAGAGAAGTTTCCAGAGAGTTCCGAGATTCTGAACATACGGCCGCTGCAAGTTCTCCTCTGGCTGCTGAGTCCTTGGTAGTTGGACAGAGAAGTATTGATTCTTTAACGGATGACTGCTTTCAGCCAAATGACTCAGTTACAAAACAGACAGTGGACCATATATGTGACAGTAGTATAGTGCCTCCAGTACAGATAGAGGGTGGTGGTGACCTGGAATTGGTGGAGGGTGCCACATGTGATAATGCGGTGATCGGAGCTGGAGAGATGATGTCAGCGTCATGATGTTAATTTCCTGAGATGGCAGCGGGCTGTCATTGTCAGCTGACTAGGGTGTTGATTGTCAGCTGGGTTTCTGACAAAGAAAACACAGTGTGTCAGCTGAGTTATTATTTATATGATAAAACTACCAGTGGTCTAACTCTTTGTTGTCATTTAAAAGAGCCCACAACACTACTTCATTATAGACAAACATATCACAATCTAAGAGAAAAACAGTATCCATGACTAATGAATTTATTAGCACAATTAGATGATAGAAGCATTTTTAGCGCATTTGCTCATTATAATTTTAGAAAATATCAAGCAGTTTTAAGCCAGCTCCATAACTTACAGTGTAAAGAAGTGTGGAAAACATTGAAAAAAAAGGTTTTACTGTTGTACTGTCTTACATATTATGTGTCAAACACGAGGTTTTATGTATGTTGAAAGTGCTTTTTATATCAACAATTTAATGTATGGTTTTAAAAGAGTTGTTAAGCATGAGAGAGCGGTATGAGGGGAAAGTCTTTTACAATTTTGAATTATTTACTGAGAATTACATGACATACATGTATATATAATCAGTGAAGTAATATGTGCATTATGTATTCATTTAAGTTAAATATTATGCATATTACGGGACTCATGATTTTATTATAATTAGAGAAATCTGTGTGTTTTGGATTTAGTTATGTCAGTTTAACTGAAATTCTGTGTAAGACTTGTGGCATTGACATTATATCATAAAACAAAAAAAAATTCAGAGTGGTACAGAGTGGACCTGTGCATTATTATGTTTTCCTTTGTTGTTAGACAATTCTAATCAACAATTATCATTTTTGTGGTGTAGTCATAGATTGTATGGTGAATGCGTGTCACTCTTTTATGTTGTAGAGTATAATAATTAGTTAAGACATAGCACCCAATATGATGAAACCCCTATATCATTAACATTTGTTTTGAGACATGTTTTGTTTGATGTAAATTTCCTATTTTATTTATTGTAGATTAAGTTTAGTACATGTAGATGTGAATTAATTGTCCCAGTTTATTTATTTTCAGATGTTTCTTACATGTACATGATCATCTTAGAGTTTATTTTGTTAGATATTTAATATTGCTGGTATTGGTTAAATTTTTAACTGTGTTACTTTTTACTGTGTTTCAATATGCTCACAAATACAAGGAAAAATGAATTTCTAATAGATTGTTAGCAGTTCACCATCATCAAATACTTGTAGTTATCTTTCTTTTTTGAACACAGTTCAGGGATCCTGCAGTTACAATCATATCTTTGTTATTCAGGGTCTGTTCATGTGTGCATTTTTAAAAATTTCTAAACCATATCTTTGAAATCATTCTGTACCAAATATCTATAAAACCATGACTGCTCCAAGTTTGAGGTTTTAGGTGATTAGTGCTTGAATGCATGATTACATTTCATACCTCAGACTTGAAAGACATCACTTTTGGTTGGAACTGTTTGAAGTATGAGCCAGAAATCTATTTGAAATAATATAAATGTTCTTGTCTTTGTTTGTTAGAGTACTGTATTCTGTAAGCTTATGCATCAATACACATGGTGTCAAAACGCAGTGTTTTGAATTGGATTCCAGTTCTGTAGCAAAAGAGGAGAAATAAATCGCAAAATTTTTACATATTTCAGACAAATGTACACGGTACTGTGCAGTCTCTGAATTCAGGCATAAGTGAACCTGCATGGCACAGGAAATCAGTCAGTGTAAAGTCTTGAAAACTCAATCTGTATTGTAGATGTAAAAACTTACTAAGTTAGTCCCAAATTAATATTTCCTTTTGTTTGTCTTGTTTTATTTTTTTCTATACTGTATTTGGGATTTCTATTTTTTCCTAATTCATAGTTAAAAGGTTTAAAATATGTCAGAAGCAGTGTTGTTGCTGTGATATGCATTTTGAAAAAAAAATAGTGCTCTTTGACTGAGGATCATGGGAAAAAGCAGAAATCAAAGAAAAAAAATATTTAAAGGGGGGGGGGGAGGGGGTGTTAAACACAGTAAAAATCTCTCATCCAAGAAATCTTGCTTTAAAGTGTCTAGTTATTCTTTAAAAGATTTGTTGTAGTGGAAAAGCCTTTGTTCTTTCCATCATATGTATTCAGAATGTGTTTTTTTTAACTGGGAGAGTATTGAAAAGTTTATTTAATATGCAGATTTTTATGCATACATTTACTTAATATTCATAGCTTAATTAACATGTATTTATTCCTCACTACTCAGTTTTATCAGACCGTGATTCTATATGGCTGTTGAGTGAAGCCAGTATGTTGTTCATTATAATTATGATATTTTGCTTGATATAGTTTGAATGTTGATACATTTTGTACTAAATTGTGAGAAGAATTTGACTAAGAAAAACAAGTGTGTTCCCATTTTGCCAGAAGCTAGATGTCCAGCTAAAGATAGCTGAATATACTTAGGCCACACCAATTTAATTTCTTGTTCATCGGACATTTGATGAAAAAAGTACGAGCGGGCTAGCGGTTAAATAATAATATTATTACATTTTTGTAGGCAAAATTTTTAGGCGGAGCGTGATAAAAATTGAGCGGACAATTGTATTTTTTCTGATTTGCAGAGTAAAAAGAATAAAAGTACAATTAATAGAGCGGAAATAGAACAGAAAAAAACACAAAATTCCCATGGTGCGGGGATTTTGAATTAATATTATTTGTTTAGTTTTGTTTAAATACGAGCGCGCGGGTCTGACGAACAAAATTTTTTATTGGTGTGGCCCTTAAATTAGGGTTTGCAAATTTTGCCATTTGAACTTGATTTTTGAAATTACTCATATGTAGATTGTGATTTTGCTTCAAACATCATGAAATGTAATTAAATTGATTTATACTTTACCTAAATTTTTTAAAATTATTTTTATGTGATATGGGAATTAATTGAATAATAATTAAATGAAATATCCTTTAATTAAGTGATACTTTTTTTGTATTTTTTATGTAGACTCGCGTATACTTTTAAAAAATATACTTATTTCAAATAAACATTGAGATTACATTTAAATTAAGATATTTTGATTTGCTATTTGTTTTTAATCTTTAAAGCACATTCCGTTAGAAAAATTTAATTTCATTACAGAATCTTGCTAATATTACAGGAACACTTTTTCAACAAGATAAATGTATTATACAACTATATTTTTCATGAAAGTACAATTTCAAGTATCAAATATGTGAAAATTGTTTCCTCATAGATCTAATACTTAAAAAAATTAATAATAGTTATAATAATTTAATAAAGCAATTTCTATGTTTTATACAAGTTTCCATTCCACTAAATCTTCCTTGAATATCCATTAAGGCAAAATATGTACGGTAATTTAATTTTAACCCCTGAGTTCCGTAGCAAAGTCAGGAAAGGAATATACTTAAACAACATGTTTCTTTTCTAATGCTTTGGTGATAATTGTTTTCACAAGTTGGATATTTTGTCATCTTGAGTGAAGTAATCTTAACCCCAAAATGACAATTTTAAAATGGATTGTCTGGTGATTAAAGCTCATCCTTTTTTATTTAGCTTGTTCATGTATAAATGATGAGCAGTTATACCCTGATTTCAATTATTTATATACATATTTTTGTGATTGAAATTTGTAATTGTGATCAATTTTCTGTTTCTTTTGAATTTCAATAAATTTTATTAAATTTGAAACTGCTTTCTTTTTTTAAAAAGATATTCAGTTTTTTTTTTAAATAATGTATTTTGAATATATTAGTTTTCAAACTTGATTTCTGTATTTTAATTTTAGAAAAGTATTGTCGTTTTATGAATAATATTTATTTAGGCTTGTTTTTCTTAGCATGACCTGAGTGAAATTTAGTTCAAATGTCGATTAAATTATTGTGGCAAATTTTGTCATAAATGTACACTGAATTTGAAATTCAATAAAAGTCGTGAATCAAAATTATTTTGCTCTTTATTTATTATTGAACTCTTAATTATTTCCTCAACACATATTTGCCAAAGGTATTTCCTGTCTTTACTTAGCATATAAAACTTGATGAGAGCTATTCAACTGTCACATTTTTTTTTTATTTGAACTCATAAATTCTTTACTTGGTCATTATCTGGCCCTCATTAGCTCTGTTTAATTACAATTTTTTGAAGATATTTATCTCAAAATTCTCATACATATTAGTACACATAGTCTTTGCTCAATTGTGGCATTTTATACTTTGACCTTTCATGTAACCTTGACAAGCTATTCAACCATGTCATCATTTTCTAATCTTGACATTTTATATGACCTTGATCACATATTCTTTATTTGCATTTTATTTGGTTTCAAATAAAGTGTTTATGATATCTTTGGTAACATCCCTACAAAGTTACAAATTAGTAGGAACTATTCTAAATTACATATTTGGAGGGGTTGAGGAAGAAGGCTTGAAGAATGTGTATGTCAGTGGAGACCTTTACATGTTTTATTGATAAATAAAGAAGTACATTTTAAAGGTACTTGGACACAGATTTGAAGTTAGGCCAAAAAAAAATTAATTTCTTGGTTCTCAGGCCCTCCCTCATCTCTTCCAAGGGTGCCTCATTGACCATTTTTATTGCTAAATTAAATAAATATCAACACCAAATCACCTCCCTCATCATTTTTTGAGATTTTGTACAATCACAGGGGCATCTTATCCACTCTGTTCTCTACTTCACATATAAAAATACACAAGGGAAGAATCGAAAGTAGCACACGATTTTTAAAAAAAGTCAAAAAACAACTTACTTGAGAAAAGTTACACAAATCCTGAAAGGAACTAGCGCAAATAATGCCCTAGTACTTATCCAGGCTAAAATATTCCAGATATATCCATCGAAAATAGCTTTTATCCAACTAAAACCCCAGCTTTCTGCACAGTGTGAAACTCTACGCCCAAGAAAAGATAACTCACCCGGATGACAATAGGGTAGTACCCGAGGCCTTCCGAGTGCCATTGGAAGACTTTACTACCCTATTGTCATTGAGTTATCTTTTCTTGGGCGTCAGAGTTTCACACTGTGCACACAAAGCTGGGGTTTTAGTTGGATAAAAGCTATTTTCTGGATATATCTGGAATATTTTTTGGATAAAAAATTATTTGCGCTAGTTCCTTTCAGGACTTGTGTAACTTTTCTCAAGTAAGTTGTTTTTTGACTTTTTTTAAAAATCGTGTGCTGACTTTCGATTCTTCCCTTGTGTATTTTTATATGTGAAGTAGAGAACAGAGTGGATAAGATGCCCCTGTGGTACAATGTAAAAAGCTGCCTCATCATGTTTTGGGGGCAATAAAAAAGAAAAAAAAATGCCTCCCTCCCTCATCATATTTCTTGAAAAAAGGCCTGAGAACCAAGTAATTAACTTTGCATGGCCTTAATATTTTCTAATTTTTTCTGTATAATATCACAAATTATATATTTTAATAGCATTTCACACAAAAATTAATTAAAAATCTTATTTCATTTAAAAGTTATTAAAACTTGAAATTTTTTGGCGGGTTTGATTGACACATCCTTGCACTTTCACAAATTTTAACTTTATTCTTAATCCTTAGGAAAAGTGGCAATTTTGATGTGTTTTAATGAGAAATATTAAAACTTTTATCAAGAAAAATAATTTTATTCAGAGTAGAAATGTTAGAAAGCAAAACACCTTCACAAGTATCGTCATTCCGAACTAAGAGATGCGTACAGAGTTTAGCAAATCGAGCACACTCGTGTTATGTACACAGTTTTTGTAAACAGGGCTCGAGTTCTGTTATTGTTTATATTTAGAATTCACCGGGTGCGTTCAATCGTCACAGTCTGCTTACCACATCTGCACGGACTGACAATATATTGTGTGTTTGTTTTGCTTTCGAACGTGTCTACTCTGAATTTTCTGGATTATAGTATTAATATTTTTCATTTAAACAAAACGAGATTGCCACTTTTCCTAAGGATTAAGAATAAAATCAAATTTGTGAGAGTGCAAGGATATGTCAATCAAACCCGTCGAAAAATTTGAAATTTCAATATCTTTTAAACGAAATAAGATTTTTAATTAATTTTTGTGTGAAATGCTATTAAAATATATGTCGTAATATTATAGAGAAAATAATAACTTCAAATCTGTGTCCAAGTACCTTTAATTAATAGGGTGATAATTGGCCTTTTTTGATTGGTGATGTTATTTTGAGATACAGTTGCTATGATGTCATTCAATTATGGTAATTAATCTAACAACAGATATAAAACAGTGAATGGGCATGTATGTTTTTTTCATAAAGGTCAAACATGTTTACTGTCATAAAAGGTGTCCCTGACTTCCATGCAGATACATGTTGGTACAAAAAATTTTTTAAAAAAAAATTCACTTTTCTTTGGTGATTTGTCCAAGTTTCTCTTGATGATTAACTTATTAAATAATTTTTGCAGAGGCTTTTGATATTTAATCAAAATATTGTTCACTCTGCTGTGACCTTGGCCTTTGACCCTTCTTCCAATACAATGATACTGCAGAAAAACAAGGTTTCGAAAAAAGTTTTATCTTCAATTTATTTTCATTTGTTTCTCAATTTTTTCTGTAACACACATTTTAAAAATATATTATAACAATTTTCTTCTATAAAATTCATTTTTTAAAAAAAATTCCTAATGGAGGAAGTGATCCAAATATCTACACACCCGTACAAAGAGTTTGTGAACAACAGTGGACAATCCATTGCATCAAAGTGACCTGATCAAAGTCAAACTGTGATACATTTGGAACCTGTAAAACTTTGTCTAGGTCCTCTCGATGCAATCTCTGTCCTGTAAACCCTTTCTGTAGCCATGCTGTAAATTCACTGATATCTGGAACACTGCAGTGACAGATAATCTCAGAACTTATAATCCTTCCCTTATCGAAGTTAAATATCACAGATAGTTCAGCTTTAAGCTTATTTGAGGTGAATTTTCTGTCTAGCGTGAATTTTGGAGTTCTGCCAAATATCCACTCCCAGTCCTCTGATGCCTGCCGGATCTGTGTCACGCCTGGAAACGAGGCTTCATCCCCAGGGTCTATCCACTCAATCTCTCCCTAAAAAAGTCCTCAATAAAGTCATACACAGGTCAAGGGTGAGTTAAACTTTTGAAAACAAGGTGACAGGATTTTCTTGTCAATGTATTAACAGTAAAAATGTCAAAGAATCAAACTGAGCAACATAAGCCTTAGTGACTATACTTTAACCATGCACTTGTATGAAGTTTCTGGTATTCTACCAATGTTTTAGATCTGAGGGAAAGATATATGTCATAAAATAATTTGCCATATTTAATATTTTCTCCGTTGTGTTCTCAACTTCTGTACAGTCAGAATGTCTGTTTCTGCCATTATACATATACATGTATTTAAAATTGTTTTCACATATTTTCCTGGTATATAAAGAAAATCTACAATCTGTTTACAGTTTGAGTGTATATTTATAACATATCTTTAAAAATATCATCTTTTAACATATTTCAGAATTTAAAGTGGACATTGCTATAAGAATGGATTTACTTTCAAGAATTTCTAAGTGTCATAGTCACTTGGAAAAAATCCTGGCTCTGGGGCCCTAAAACTGGGATGAACTCCATCTCACTTTTTCAAAAGGGATTAATGGCGACACTCCTGACAGTTTCTCACCCACCTGAGTTCCAGCTGCCTTAAAGTACTGGTGACCTATGACCTCTACCAATGACATGAAATCTATAGAGAGGTCACATTCTGATAGGTTCTTCACGTGGGATCTCTTACTGTCTGTAGCTTTACTATGGACACCCAACTACAATTTGATGTGTAAATATAAAGAAATTTAAATCTCTCCTATAAACCTAATTTCAAATCTCTCCTATAAACCTAATTTCAAATCTTTGATCAATTGCAGAGTTGATAATACTTGGTTTATATATTTTATATTCGGGTTTTTAGCTCATTTATTAAATTTTGTACATTTCTTGTCATTAAAAAATTTCACATCATTTTTATGTTCACATTATTTACCTTCAGTAAATATTACCTTCATAGGACTATCCAATGTCATTTCAAGATTCTCTGCATTGACATCATGGAGGAGAGTAAAGTGATGGAATGTGTTGTTTTTACCAAGTTTGGAGGCTGTTCCCGACACCTAGCAACACAAATGATATACATCTGTACATCTATAATGGTATTAGTGCACAACTGCTATAAGACGCCACACAGTCATAATGCTCATCAACACTCTATTTGACAGACATGCTTTATGTTTGTACAAAAGAGTTGAACTTATGTTTCTAAAATAAAATCAGTATCTTAAATATCATGGATATATTGAAGTGAGATTGAAGTTCCAAACACTTTTCCTTTATATATTTAAATCTCAATATCTTAGACCCTCGTTATCATATACATGTACCCGAAAGTTGTTTTTCTCTGTTACATGAGTTTGAGAAAAGATATTTTTCTGTATGGTATTTTTCTAAACCCACCTTGTACAGTCCATCTAACACAATGTCTTCCCTGGCATTGACTTGCAGATCCACATCCCATTGTCTAGTAATGGCCTCCACCACCAGGTCCAGATTCCTTCTCCTGTTGTACAGTTTATAAGTCTTCAGGAAGGAGCAGTTAAGATTCCCCAAATCATGGTACACACACCCCCCTCCACTGATCCTGCGGGCCAGCTTGATGCCTGACTCCCTCAGTTTGGGAACGTTACACTCTAACCATGGATTCTGATGCCTTCCTATCACCACTGCAGGTTTGTTCTGCCACATTAATAGGATAGATTTCTTATTTAGATCTGCTTTTTCATAAAACCATTCTTCCAAGGCTAAGTTTGTGTAGATGTCATCAGAGGTTGAGACAAACACTTGATGTGTGTGAGTGTTCTGGGAGAAGCTCTGTTTACTTAACAACAGAAATTCAGCTGGGATAAATATCCTCTGCTTCAGTTTCCTACACAATTGAATCATAATTCCCTCAAAAGTCTGAACTCCTCCTGTAAATATTAGTAACAAAAATTATCAATCTGACATCAATAAATATGAATATGATATTAAAGGTATTTTTTAGTGAGATTAAACAGTAAAACTATTAATTAAGAAATGGAAATATAAAATCTGCAAAATGTTGACTCTAATCAAGACTATTGATATTTTTATTTTATCAACATATTTGTCAAAAGCCTGCCTTGTATTAGAAATTGTTAGTGCAAAGAGAACACTTTTGTGGATCAATCAACTTGGAACATAATCTTCTTATATTGTAATGATTAAACATCACTGGTGTTTAATTGAATACCAAACAGCAAAATACTTCTTTTTATGTGTGGTGGTCAGCCGGGTTTGATTGCCAGTAGCCGGATAGCTCAGGTGGTAGAGCACCTGACAGGAAATTCAGGGTGCCCAGGTTTGAATCCAACTCTGGTCTGCTGAAATTTTTTCTACTCTCCTGTTACATTTGGTGCCTGTCACGTCCTGGATCTGAGAGGTGAGAGGCCTGCCAGGGATGAGCCTGGGTTGGAGTCTTTGGAGAGCCAAAGAACTTAAAGGAGGGAGGAATGTGGTGATCAGCCGAGTTCGATTGCCGGTGGCCGGATAGCTCAGTTGGTAGAGCACCTGACCTGATTGGAGATTCAGGGGGTCTGGGTTTCGAATCGCGGTCTGGTCTGCTGCACTTTCTTCTCTCCTGTTACACATTTACAAGTTTTTGAATACCACATAAAGTGATATGAACATGAATTGAGACATTTATTTAGTCTCAGGGTCATTTCCAAGAACAGCTATAGTGAGGGATCTTTAGCGTGCCAATGCCTGCCATGATACGGGGCCTTAGTTAAAAAAAAAAATTATCCGAAAGACTCGCAACTTTGACGTCAAAGTGTTGAGATCTTGGCAAAGAAACAGTTACGGTAATGTCGGTTGGTAAAACACTAATTATCATTATTACAACGCGAATTTCCTCAGGAGTTGTAACTCAATTTTTAAGTGTTTCTTCAAGCATACCTTAAATGGCTCCTACACAGGTCATTGATGCTTTTGGATTAATTAAACTAAGCCTATAAGGTATATGAGATGTACAAAAAACAAAACTACATTCATATCTAGAAATTTTTGACATGCCACGGTCATGGGCGCCGCCATTAATATCTGTTCGAATCTCCTTGGATGTTATCATCGCATTTCGAACGTAGTGTCCGAGGTGACTATTGTTGTAAACATGGCAGCTGCCACAGTCGATTTTGATGTTTGGTTGGCAGAAAAATTGACATCTTTGAATCCAGAGGTAGATACTGAAGTGTTTGTGTCCTACATCATTGGTATCCTAGAGACAGAAACAGATGCCGAAGACACAAAGGAATCCATCATGGATATTCTGGGAGAAGTATTGGTAAAAATCATGAACAGCTGATGAATTCATTGCACAGAGATGTTTATAATCAGCATGATCAGATTTAAAAAAGTCAGAATCAATGAGTCTTTTATTAAATGAATGTAGATCAAATAAAGTATTCTTCATTGATAACTTCTTGAAATTAACGTGTTACAACAATAAATGTGAAACGAAGACCTGCTCAGCTGTTGCTATTTATAGAAAATTCTTTGGTATTTTGGGCAAACCCCTTTTCCTTTCCTATTACACAAGGTAGTAATTCATCATTAATGATATCATGAAAGTATGATACTTTATAGTCTATTATAGACATAGAATAATATAATGTTAGACACCAGCTGTTTTATTTTTGCAGAAGAGGGAAATGTGTTCTAGATTTTTTCTTTGTGTGAAATAGTATTGTATGTACATGTAGTTATTTAGTAGTTCATATTTTCCTATTAATTGATTGATCAGTAGTCATTTAGCATGATTAGTGTTTGAAGCATGTGTTTTTATGTGGAAATTACATTCAGTCCCAATTCATTTAGGCTAATTATGAGGAAATGTGAATTAAGCAGAAAGCATTCACCAAATATGTTATATTTCTCTAAAGTCATATTTCTTACCATGCTCTTTTTCTTGTAATTTTGCCTAAGGTTTAGTAAGATTAAATACTTCTAGTATTGAAATGTCTACATCAGCAATAGCATTAACACACTCCTGTAATATTTAGGAGAGTGAGAGGGAGTCAGTTTGTGAGGAGGTGATACAAAGATGGAACAAGGAACACAGTAAACCCACAGAACCAGAGACAGGTCAGTCAACACTCTGTATTGTGTTATGTTGTTTAATAAGGTGAGGAAGAGTTACTGTAACTGCATTAACTAGATATCTAGGATAAAATACTTGAAGAGTAAATGGTTGGGACTACAAAATCACTTCAACATATCTATGGTATTCAAGATAATCGAGATATTGATGTTTGAGATACTGAAGCTCAACTGTATATTACAATTAGATGGTGTTTGAATATCCCAGGGTTCAAGATAGTGAAAGTAAAGTATAAATTAAAGACAATGTGGTTGAGACTTCAAAATCACTTTGACATATTCATGGTATCTGAGGTATCATTCATATTTTGAGATACCAAGTTCAACTGTTATAGTTAACTAGTATTTCAATTTTAATCTTTAGAGTTATCTCCCTTAGCCAAAAGACATCCTTAAGCTTTATTGACACTTATTTCAGATACAACTCAACTCGCAACCCAGCTGTCTGACATTCTTGTCAGTGAGAATAAGAAGATTGAGAGTGTGAAACCAAAAGAAAAGAGTGCTGAAGAGATAGCAAGGAAAGAAGCCATCCTGGCTCAGTATGCAGCAGTCTCTGATGGAGAAACGTATCCTTTTGAAAAAAGATTTTGTAAAGTATTTTTATTTCATTTGATGACTGAAAAAGAATTTTTTCCCACAATACAGAAAAAAAATTTGCATTCATTTTTTCTTTAATAAAAATGTCGAGTAATGAAGCAAAACAAGGAAAGGCACACTTCAAAAGTCTGATAGCTGCTAAATAAAGTTTACTATCTGAATTTCTGAGTGTACCAAAGCTCTGATTTTAATCAGATTGAATCATGGTCCCAACCTTCTTTAAATTTGCTTCATTACTGGTGCATGGTGTAAGAGCTGCATGATTTCAAGCACGTTTTTTTGTTATCTTCATTTTGCTTTAGGGAATATATTCTATTATTAGTGCGTTATTTATCGACCTTGACCTTGAAATAAGAGATGACGATGAGGAGGAAGAGTCAGGAGCCACTGAAGGTAAATCATTTTAAATTAAAATATTCCTCCTGACTCTGTTCTTTCTTTGCAATACAGCTCGTCAGCTCCTCTCCTCACCTTTCTTGTTTTATATTTATTGTTGATTACCATATTTTGACATTTCTTGTAGGAGGATTAGTGAAAAATGACAATGCAGAGGCAGTTCAAAGGGCTGTTCAGGAACAGCGAGAAAAATCCAAACAGGAATACGAGAAAAAGAAGGAGAAAGATAAACAAGACCGTGAAGTACAAAAACAGAAAGAGAAAGACAGAAAAGAGACCGAGAAGAAGCGAACACAGAAAGGAGAGAGACGAAGATAACGACAATCCCTAGCTAGGATATTTAATTGTTTAGTATTCAGAGCTGCCAATTCTTAATATTTTGGTGTATAGGATTGATCGTCTTAAATATGCTTTCAATACCATTTCATAACCTATTCTTCCAATTTCCATTTTTATTATTTCAGTTTTAAATGCCAGAATTTTCATAGCTGGCTACTTATAGTTTTCACTATCATGATAAAAAAGTCCTTACATTAATTGCTAGTTTATATTGTAATGGTCTACTTCCATACACTCCTGCAGTCTTAATTATTTTATTATTGTAAACAAAGGGGAGAAATCCATCCACAAATGATCTATTTGTGTAGAATCTCTAGTGACTGAGGGCCTTAGTGTCCCTTAAATCCCCACTTTTGAATTTTTCAATTTATGACTTTTGCAGCTCTGGGTATTGCCGGTAACCTTTTTTCATGAATATACAGTCGAACTGGTATATGCTTCGATGGCTACAGTTGGACTCCTTTTGCTTATATTTGAAACTGAAATTTCAGTAGATAAATTAAATCAGATAAAATGTAATATGTTTAGAGATATGAATTACATGTAGTTTACTGTTTAATTAGATACATGTGATTCTTTGTCATATATATTATACAGATTCAACTTATTTACTCCCATTTTATCCAATTTAGTTTTCTTTTCAAATATATATACCAAGTATATATATTTCTTTCTTTTTTGTGTTTTAGCAAAAGAGAAAAAAACCCATTCTTTTGTAATGTCACTTAAAAAAATATAAAAACTTCAAAGAAATACCCCATTGCTTTTTGGTTGAACTGTACAAGCAAAAGAAAGTTTCAGATTATGTGGGTATAAACTTACTATTCTGATAGTAGATGGTAGAACTGTTGAAATTCATAAAATACTTGGGGCTGAATAGTACACTATGATATTTCATTCTCTATTTTATAAGCATCTGTGTGCTTGTACAAATACACAAAAGTGTAATGCTTGATGCACTGAGGCTTGGATTGTTGAATGTAGCAGCTTATAAGACATTGTTGAAAATAAATACATATACATATGAAATGTTTCTTCTTCAGATTTTCTCTAGTGAGTATGATTTATTTGTGAGTCTTCAGACTAAATATGAACATGATTAAGTACATGAGAAAGACATACTTTGAATAAAAACATAAATTTTATTTTCAATAGGCCTACATATGTAAGTCTTAATTAGAAGTAGATATGGATTGAATGTATTCTTCATGAAACAAAGAAAAACAAATTATTACTCATTCTTTATATTACACTACAGTTGTGTTTGAATCTCAAAACATAAATGTGCTTCGTTTTCACACTAGATTGTCAACAGATTTTTCTGTTTCCATGATCATGACAAAATGTAAACAGCAGGCATGTCTGGTTAACAGGGGATAAGGGATGCTTACTCCTCTATGGCACCTAATCTCAACTGTTGTTTTTAGAAATCTGTATTTGATCTGCTCCAAATTTTTGTTTAAAAGGACTTTTGAACTTAATTACTGTTCATTATCTTCTTTGTACTTGACTGGAGCACTTGACTGGTGTTGCAAAAGCCCTGGGTTGGAATCCTGGTCAAGCCATACTCTTCTCTTAATAGTTTGTCTCATCTTAGTTACAGATATGTAGCTTGCTTGCCTAAAAAACTGGGATGGATGACCAGAGAGCTACAGTGCCACCCACTAAAATAAATTTATATTTATTGCACACAAAAAAGTATGCTGCTTCTTGATTTTGTTCAAAATATCATTAATAACAGTGTGTTGCTGACATATTATTTTACTACTTTCACAATAAAACTGCATGTACAAGTCATGCACAAAGGACGTACAACAAAATTATCTTGCTACCTAATATGGCAGTATAAATACATTTGTGGCCGTCAGCTGGGTTCAATCGCCGGAGAGGGCTTAGTTGGTAGAACACCTGACCGGAGTTTCAGGGGGCACGGGTTCGAATCCCGGTCTGGTTCAGGATCAGGAGGGGCTATACACATAGGGTTTGGGAAATGCTTTGTTGTGGAAGTAGTAAATTAGTATGTAGGAATACATGGTTTGTAAAATGTTTAGATAGCAGCATAATTAAACGGAAGTATAAATTAAGAAAACTGCACTTTAAGTGTGCAAAATACACTTTTTTCAGTGGGTGGCACTGTAGCTCTCTGGTTGTCTATCCCAACCTTTACAGATACGCAGCTAGTCTCATCTAATATTTTGTAAAAAATTGCTGAACTAAGAATTTGTCTCCAATCCAAAATCCCTAAAACATGCATTTTGGCCAAAATCTTACAAGCCCCCTTCTTTGACTTCGGAAGAGTGGAAGTTTTAATCAGACTGGAGGAAATGAAAACTACAATTTGTTATTAGAGAACAAAAACAACTCTTTGGGTTTTCAATTTTTATTTTACGTCATAAATTAATGGTCATAAAGCAGATGAATTCATTTTGACAAAATCAGCAACTAACATCTCTCCTTCTGGTCATGTACATGTAACAATAAGATACAGATGGTTTTCCCACATTGGATTTTCACAGACAAAAGTATAATTAAGTCAAACACAAATACTTAACATGATCTCAAAAAATATACATCTTCCACAAACAACAGATCATTCATGACTCCACATAATGGAGAGTAAAAAAATAACTGATTGAATATTAATCCACAATTACGCACATTAAGGAATGAAACTAAACACAGTTTCATTTCACAAATGGCATTTATTCATTTTCAGCAGTCATGCTCTCTTGTAAACACATATATACACATCCACACACAATACATTTAATCCACACATGACAATTTAAATCTATAACTCATCCTTCATATCGTCCAAATCAATATCGCTCAGATCTAAATCCTCTTCTACTGGTAGCTATAATAAAAAGAAAGTTGGTGTAAAGTAAAGGGAAATAACTGCTGTTATTGATACTAAGTAAAATATCTGCACTAATAATACAAATGTGGAGTGTAAACCCATGCAGTAGCTCTGAAAACCCTACCTCTCCATCTTTGCCATCCCACTCCTCTGCTTTCTCTATCTTTGCTATCTTGGAGTCTTTCAGTGGAACAGGTGCCCCCTTACCATATGACAGATCTCTGACAAAACACAAAACGAAATCAGTTTAGTGCCTTCACTTCTTATAATTGGTGAAAAATAAAAATTGTTGAAATATTTGTGCAATGTTACCTCAAAAATTCATTGATTCCTTTTTCACTAAATGGTCCCTTCAGTAAGACATAGATTTGTTTCCTGGTATTTACAGCTGCCATGGCCTGTAAAAAAGAAAGAGCAATTGTAAAAAGATGCATGAAATGAAAAATGTATTTTGTTTATTAAAATTCAATTGAAAGAAATATAGTAAAAAATAGCTATAGTAATGAAGATGACATACAGGATAACCAAATCCACCAATACCAAGAGATGACTCTAGCTCCATCTGCTGACCAGCTTCTGTCCATATCCAGCTACAAAGAGAAAGGCATCAAATTACATCACATACTTGCACAACACTGGTCAATACACAAACGGTTAAAATCAGTTCCCTCTTATGGTGAAAATCTAATGGAACATGTTCAAATGAGAGATAGTATCCTTACCCCCAGGGCTGTTTCTTGAATTTGTTTCCCATATCCTTGAGGATTTGTAGGTAATCATTCCTACACTGAGACTGACAGTCCAGGATGTGGGGTAACACAGCAATAACACACAGCTGCTTTTCTTCACAGTTCTCCTTAATGGTGTGTTGTGACAGGATCTGTCAATGGGGAAATTAAAATACTCCATTAATAAACAAAAGAGTACATGATTTTTGTTCCTTTACTAAGATTTAACCATTTGTTACTGATATGAGATTATAAATCTGAATGTCCCATTACTGATCAATTTAATATACATATAAATTAGGAAGCTATTCCTGTAACCTACCTGCACAACTTCTGGGGGTGGGAGGTTGGCAGCGAATTTCTCGGTGACCCAGTTAACGATGTCTGAGGAGGTCCTTCCTCCATCATAGTCTTCAGCCTCCCCATCCTTCTTACCTGCAGGGAACATCTTAATGGTGGGGTATCCTCTCACCTAGCCAATCAAAATAGGTTTTATAAAAATGTCCAGTGGACACAATTTAAAAAAAATAATCAAATGAAAATATACATCCCTCTCCAAAATTTCAGTCCTAAAACATTTTGATTTTAAATGAAATTGTAAACTATATTAAGAATATAATTTTTATGACATGATAACATCAGCAAAATTTTTTGACTTACTCCGTATCTGTTAGCCATGACAGAATGCACTGTAGCATCCAGAGCTCCAAACTTGACCTTGCCCTTCATTTCTGAGGCAGCACTCTGCCAGTGTGGGGCCAGATTCTTACAGTGTCCACACCACGGTGCGAAGAACTCAACCATCCACATATCATCACTGTCCAACACCAGCTTCTGGAAGTTACTGTCTGTCAGCTCTACCACATCATCAGGACTGCCACCACCGCCAGACTGAGGAAGGAAAAATTACATGTACAAAGAGCCTGATTTTTATGATATACCTAGTTACTAATATAGGAGTTATTAATTCAGTTCAACTTCCATATTTGTTCAATGAACTTGAAACGATATGCAGTCCAGTGAATTTGAGTGAAATCATGTACAAGAAGGTCAATGAGCCTCAAACAAAATCTTTTGACAAGCCATAAGGCTCAATGGCCAGAGCTAATAACCAGTGGTGAAGCAGATAAGATTTTGGCGAATTGGCCAAATACTAGACCAATGTGCCATGTTTTCCGCAATGGGCTAGAGTAAATTAATCATCTTAAAACTCTTTTAACTTGAAGCATCTTTAATTTCTAAATCTATAAACCTGTATATTTGATCAGTAAGGTCCATCTCAGTAAAAAAGATTTGTCCAAAAAAACTCTTACTTTTCCACCACCACTTCCACCACTCCTACCCCCGGATCCTCCTCTACCCTTCAGTCTGTCCTGAACTAGACTTCTCAGTTTGGACATGGCTTCACTTACAATAGCATCAGCTGTTCTTCCCCCTTTATATAAAATAAGATGTGTTGGTGAAACACAAATTCATGGCAAACTTTTTCATGTAAAGAATAATAGAAATTATATGGTATATCAACAATTCTAATTTTCAAGTTGGCCTAAGCATAAAATGTTGACAATGAATGAATTATTAAATATAATTTCAAAATCATGAATTTTACACAACTGTATACCTTACCCTTTTTGATCTCAAATAATTAGTCCAAACTCATCTGCACTCATTTAGATATTTATTTAGAATTGGAACTATCCACTTACTCTTGGAATATTGACTCTATATAGATACTTGTATGCATGCTAATGTTGCACTGCTCAAACTGACCACATCACTGTTTATAGAGATTTACCTTGATAATCAGATGGACTGTTTTTGTTGGCTCCAAACACCTTGATGGTTGGGAATCCCTGAATCTGATACTGCCCTCCCAAGCTCTGGTGGTCATCAGCATTCACTGCAGCAATTTTCACCACACCCTGTTTAGTAAAAAATTCTCAGAAGTAAATTTGATGCACTACTTGTACATATAGTCCCCGTTAATATTTTAAAACAATTGAAATTATTCTAAGTCATGTTTCATCAATAAAGCCAAGTAATGAGAAGAACTTTTCATGAAAGAATACTAAATGCACCTTGTTTATACATGTTTAAGGTGTCTCAAATATTTTTATACAGAAAAAATTCTTCAGAGGATTTTACCTTCAGGGCAGTTGCAGCCTTTTTCCATTCTGGAGCCAGCTGTTGACAATGTCCACACCTGTAGTACATTGTAAACAAGATTACAAACACAGTTTCTACTTTCTGTGTGGGAGGAAAATGGCAGTCACACACATTTTCACTCTTTCAAGTAAGTTCAAATAAAGTAAAAGTTGCTTAAAATTTACATTACTCGAAGATCATTAGAATCATTACCCTCATTAAAATAAAACTGTGCAAGTAAAATAGAAATAAACATTCATACCATGGTGCATAAAACTCCACAAAGACAAGTGAGTCACTTTGGATAACTTCTTTGTTGAAATTAGAGGGAGTTAACTCTAGGACATCATCAGAACTAGAGTATAAAGCTGAAGCAGAAGACACCGCCACCGCCAACACTGAAAGGGAATAATATCAAATACATGATTTTTTCAAAATAACTAATTTAAAGACATAGAAATACATCTGGCTTTATTAGGGAATTGACAGAATATAGCTAATGGTTTATTAGATTACATTTATTTGGTCAATACTAAAGGGTGGTTGCAGGATATACATTTACTGACTGTGTTCAAGGGCAACATGCATTTTGTTGGACGGTCCCATACAAAAACCAAACTATCTGTCTGAGGCAAAGAGTTTCAATTTGGTTCAAGGGGTCGACAAAATGTTTATTTCCCTTTATTTTTTATCTTAGACACACACATATGACTTTAAATCACCAAAGAATGCAAATGTGATACAGCTGATCTGGTCCAGTATCTCATCGACCGGTCAAATATCTCACTACGCAGTCTAGATAGAATGTTCTATAGTTAAAATGATAAAAGACCCGGTTTTGTGGAGATCGAGGGTTTGTCCGAGACACAGTTTAATTATTCTAACTATCCACATTCAAACACATAACTGCTCAGAAAAACGTCGGAAAATGGAAAAGTTAGACTTTTCTTAGTATTGATTTTCATAGGAATAAATTTATACCTGGTATGCTGTACCTTTGAAGTTTCATATTTTCTATGGACTTTTTATCAGAACATATCAATTTAACTCCTCCACATATTAGGCTACGCCAAGGTTGACTGTTTGCTAAATCTTGTCTGAATCTTAAGTTCTTGTATATTTTAAGTAAGGGGTGGACAGAGAGCTTCCCCAATCCATTATAAACAGATAAATGAAAATTGAACAGTTAAGACTTCTTTTCCTCACACCCCTTCTTGGATGTGTTATGAAAATTAACAATGACATGACAATTTTTCTGAAATTCAAGACATTTTTAACAAAATCCACTATATAAATAAAGATTGCACTTACAAAGTATGTTCATTGTCGTTTGTTTCTCCTCTTCTCTCAATCTCTCACTCAACTGCCGGTTTTCTGTCAACACGTTGTTGTCCCGAAATAACAAGCGTGGCTTTTTCTGATTGGCTGAAACGAAATACGTGTAAGCTGGGATTCACCAAGGGGGAAGTAAATCTTGAGTTCATTATCTAACACAAGAAAAAATATATTTCTTTTCTAAAATTTTTAATTGCACTAGGCCTAATAATAAATTTACAGGATTACTTTAAGTTCTTTTTTTAATTAAAAAAAAAAGAAAATTCATAGGTAACAAAATTAAAAAACAGAGCATCAAGTGCTTAGGGTTGGGACCCCCCCCCCCCCCCCCGGGTTAATTCTTCGACTTTTTTAAAATGAAATATTTTTCTATAACATATTCACAAAGATTTAAATCCCCCTCCAAAAAACAAACTCCAAAGGTAAAGCTTGCCTTTTTAAAAAAAATCACACTCTCTGATACTATAACAGATACCACAACTTACAGTATCAGCTATCTAGAGAGTATGAAATATAAAAGGCTATATATTTAAGCTTAAATTTTGGATTTTTAAGTTGTAATACTTTGTGAATATGTCATAAAAATATTTTATTTAAAAAAAGTAAAAAAAAAAAAAAAAAAAAAACCCTTGGGGTATCGAACGCGGGGAGGGGTTTCCCGTCCTCGAGCACCTGTGAATATTAGAGGGAATTCTTCAAAATCTTATAAAATGTCAATTTTGAAATTCATACTAAGCAAAAGAATTCCCAACAATCAAAATGAATTTGAATAAGTCATATCATATAACGTTACTGGATTCTTAAACTTCTTGTTTTAAAAAAAAACTCTGAAGAACTTTTAGAAAGAAGACGGGGGAACAAGGCGGACAGAATGCCTATAGCTTCAGATGTAAAAGAAATCATATTCAACAGGTGAATTGATTATTTAAATTAGGCCTAACTTCTCATTATTGAAATTAATAAAATTATGAAAAAAACCTTTTCTGAGAGGAAAAATTGTCTTTAATTTTTTTTTAATTTTTTGAAAATATTAGTTGGTATTCGTGGGATTCGAACTTCTATCAATAAAAATCTGACGTATCATACTGCTTTGACTTAATGGACCTAAAATTTTTCTCGAAAAGACGCGAATGTTTTGTCATAAAAGTGTACTTTTAAAGTATAGTGGGTCATCGCTCCATGTTTTTGTAAACCAAAAAATGTATATTCTATAGCAAACTTTTAGGACTATCTTTCAAAAAAAAAAAAAAAAATGAAGCGAGTCCGACTCATAATGAAAAATGTTAAAGTATGAGAAAACAATCGTTTTTGTTCTTTTTAGTGTGTGTATGCTTTTTCATAGGCAAATATTTTCAGTCTTTGTGAGATTTTTGTAAATTGTAGAGATTTTACATTAAATATACTTTGATATTAGATGAAATATAAAAAAAAATTGGATGTATCTGAGATTTAATTTTTCACTCCATATCTGTCGCACTGTAGGCACTTCGTCCGCCTTATCCCCCCATCTTCTTTGAAATCACAAAATTTGACCAAAATCAGTGGTTTCAAAACGATCAACTTTTAGACAATTTATACAACCCTTCCCCTCAATATTTAGTAAAGTTCTTTTTTAATTACAGTTTTTTCCCAATAAAAATGGAACTCATAAAATAACTTACCTTGTTATTGCATGGCCATTTGCAAAATTATTTTAAAAAAAAAACAGTCTGATTGTTTCACAAGTAATAATTTAAAGAAAATGCTAGATCAAGAATTTTTGAATGACAATTTACACTGTATCTATCAGTTTTTGGAGATCAAGTCTTCCAACAATCTGTCGGAATTCTAATGGGCACTAATTGTGTACCCATTTGTAATTGTAATTAGAAGGTCTATTTTTGTATTCTAAACTTCATAAACGAAATTTGTCTTCAGTGCTGTTAAATAATGATATTATATTTTTCTTTTTCTGAACATTGTCATTTTATTTGTCATTTTGACTGCAGTGTATACTAACATGGTGATATTAAATATAGGGCCCGGGAAAATGTTGAAATAATTAGTGAAATGAAATGTTTTCAAATATATCCCCTTCTAGATCAGTGCTTCTAAAAGATATCTATATCTGACCAATTTACATATTATTCTCTCTCTCTCTCTCTCTCTCTCTCTCTCTCTCTCTCTCTCTCTCTCTCTCTCTCTCTCTCTCTCTCTCTCTCTCTCTCCATTGTTTTTTCGTAGATGGATCTCAATTAAATGTTATTTTAAAATAAATCAAGAATTTCATTACACAATTAAATTCTTCTTAAAAATTTTCTTCTTAACATGTTAGTATTTTTATTAAAAATATTATTTAAAAAAAGAAAAAAGAAATACCCCCGGTACTTGAAGAAAAGATCTCTGAAGTTGAAGGAAAGTGACTTTAATTTCATGACTTAACTACCATATATGCGTGTATGCCAATTTTTTCAAATTGCAAAAAAGAAGTCAAATATTTTTTAAAAAAAATGTTTTGAAGCTACAATCTTTGAATGCCATGTTGTTATGTTTAACTCACGGCAAATGTAAAAGTATCTAGCATTCACATTTATCGTAATGAAATTAGCTAATTAAAAAAATTATTAAAACAATTATAGAATTTTGACTTAGATTGTCCATAATACCAATACATTTAACTTTCAACTATTAAAAATCATACGTATTTGATTACGTATATTTTTATTTGGTTTTAATAATAGACTTTTTATTTATCTATGGAGAATTCCTTTTTTGGCAACAGTAAATATCAAAATTACAGCTTTGTGTATGTTTTTTTTGCTAAATTTTATTAACTTCAACTTCGCCAAATCGTTATTTTTTACATCACCTACTTTAATCTTAAGTCTGTTGATAATAACCACCCCAAGAATTGATTTCTATTTGAAAAACACAAAATCTTCAAAAGCACATTTATCTTTTCAACGCGTGGTCCGTGTGATTTTTAAATCCATGCAACTGAACACGGACATAACCGATATTCAACATCATTTCACTTCTATGCCCATAGAGCATAATGATAAAAATGATATCTAAAGTCTATTTGAATGCCCAAGTAAATGAAATAATCCGACTCTACTGGAAAATTCAGTGCGAGCTGGTTCAACAAACCTAAAACTAAAATCACAACAGATGTTAAAACAGGATAAAATGTTGCCGAAATGTTCCGTATTTTTTATCCTTTTTGCATTAAAATTTAACCTATTAGATGGTAAGATTTATAGTCATGCAAAGAATAGAAATCAATCAAATTAAGGATCAAAATTTATAATAATCAACAACTTGCCAGCTACTATACGTACTAAAGTAATATCAAAAATAGTAGATAAGGGAATTTTTTACCATAATTGAAATAAAAACGTACAGTATTTTTTCTTTTTTTTCAGGATCTGCCTGTACCGGGACGACAACTTTAGGAGCGGATCCAGTCCATAACAATGAGACACTGGACAACAACACAAGTAAGTGTGTCCAGAAAAAAATATAAAGTACGACCCGCTTTTTATTCACTTAAAAAAATCCTTACTTATGAGGGAATAATTTGAAATTCTACATTTATTTTCAATTAAAATCCTTGTTGCTGTATCAGAAAACCATTGTCAGGACCCGGGTTTTCCGATTAATTTTCCAATTTAAATAGAGATATGTGGTGAAGTAACCAATATTTTTTAAAGGTTTAATAGAATGCATCAAATTCTTTCGAAATGCTAATCCTTCTTCAGATATACTTCTGTTTGTTCAATGAAATTTGGAAAACAGGTATGCTAATCTTAGGTGTAATATTTTATATTTTGCTTGTAAATGACACTACTCCAATAATTTTAACCTGATCTGAATAAAACCAGGTTTTAAAAAAACCACCCTTGATTTTGTAATTTTGAGGCTGTGATTTCTTACTGTTGGAAAAATACACAATTCAATTCCGTTTAAATTTAAGTATTAAAAGTTGTGTTGCAAATTCTAACTGATATAGACATTAGTCTCACTACATAGAATTTTGGGTTTCACTACCCTGTTCTCATATGCATACCATGGAAAGTGGCACCTTTTAATGTTTAAGATAAACCATGTCAAAATCAGCATTACTTTTATGTTCTTCTTTAGGTACTGGTTATTTAATGACAGACCCGTCCTTCACCGCAGGCTGTTGTGGGGTACTGGTCAATTGGAAGGTGTTTATTCAGACTCAGGGAACAATTAACCTACAAATATGGCGTCCGGAGGATTCAAAGTATAAATTAATTGGGGAACACAGTTACTCGTTTGACTCTCGTAAGTAAATCTCCCCCTCTCTCATCTGATATACGGATTTTTGTGTTTGCCTGACCATGACAAGGAGCATACGGTGGATGTGAGCAGTTGACAGTGGACGCTTACTCCTCCATGACACCTGATCCCACCTTTGATGTTTTATAGGTCCATGCTTGATATTTTTTTCAATTTGCATCGTTTCAAGATTACTTTTAGTGTAATACTAGTAACAATTGTTTCAAAAGGTTTTAAAAAAGATTATATTGTTTGAAATGTTCAAGATCAAGATTTTTTTTTATCTCACAATCTTGCATTATGAAATATGGAGACGACAGACAGTAATTAAGCCCAAATTTCCATTGAAACAATACAAATTGAAAGCAGAGTAAACATGGACTTTTAAAACATCAAAGATGGGATCAGGTGTCATGTTAGACAGCTCACGACCGCGTTGTACGCTCCTTGCCGTGATCGGGCAAACTCGGAAAAACTCATATATATTAAACGAGAGAGATTGTGTTTGCCTTCTCCATATTTCATTACACAATATTCTGAGCTAAAAAAAATCTTGATCTTGAACATTCAAACAACTATAAACTTTTTAAAACCTTTTCAAAAAGAGGTTACCAGTATTGCACTAAAAGGCATCCAAGAGGATGATAGTATATGCGCAATGTATTTGCCTGTATTTTCTATTTAAATGTAAAAAAAAAAATTCACAAGTCACTTTATGCAAATTAATAAAGGAAAATTTCCTTGTTGAATATACATGAGATAGCATGTTTTTATGTGAATAAACCGTAAGAGCAAATTAGTTGATGAAACAAGGATACCTCCTCGTTAATAGTCAATATTTTGTAAATTCTGTGGTTGACTCAATGGTATTTTTGCAAATGTAATCTAGATGTTGACTAACATATTTCATGCCAACTATTAGGTCATGATATTCACTTTGAATTGTCTGTGGATTTTCTGTTTACCCAGTCATGATAATGTGTGGCAAGTCAAAGGGGTTTCTGACATTTCCATGGCACCTGATCTTACCTATGATTTTAGAAGAGAATTTTCGCCCATTCCTCAATCTGTATTGTCTTGAATGGACTTCAGAAAACAACCCCAATGTTAAATTCATATTTCAATTTTAAGGAAAACAAGATGCTTAATTGTTGTATTACCATTCAACTTTACAAAACAATTGAAGCTTATTCTCACAAGTGCTGTTAAACTCACAACTCACAATTTTTTTTTTAAAATTACCACAGACAAGATAAATATTTTTCATAATTCTCTTTATATTTAACACAAGTCCCAAATTCATTTTGATAGAAACGCAGATCTGTAAAAGTTAGAATGCAGTATTCAATATATGAATTCAGTCCAGTTTATTGACCCATGGATATATACATAGAGGTAGTCATAAGGCAATACACACACGCATTAAAAATATACACACGGTTACATTTTATGACTTCACTAAGCTTTCAAAATATTAAATCTTCCTCATTTCAAAGTGCTCTTTTAAAAGCATGAACATTTTTTTCAAGTACACCTGTTACTTGTGGAGTTAACAATGTCGTTAATAGGGTCACTTTTCATTTGAATCTAAATTAATTACATTAATGATTGATATCATATATAAATATCCCTGTACTGTATTCTATATTGAACATAAACAGTTCTATAACATTTTATGAACATTTAACAAGTAAGTAAAAATCTCTGCGAAGAGGAGGTCAGGAGTATCTGCCAATTTCAAGAGTTAAGGGGACTTATTCATAATGAGGTTAACTTGTTGGGATTATTTATTGCCATATAGAATTTTTAAAAATATACTTAATTAATCATTCTGCTATGGAAATGTTATTTTACCAGAATCTTTCAAAATGAAAAAAAGAATATGGAGATAGCAAACAGTTATCAAGATCAAAAGTCCATTTAAACCTATAGATATAGAATAGCGCAATCATGGACCTTTGAAAATATCAGAGGTGGGATCAGGTGTCATGTAAGAGTGAGTATCCCCTGTCTACCGGACACACCCGTCGCACCCTCCTTGTCATGAAAATCCGTAAACAATTCACTGCGTAAATAATAACCTGACAATTAGTATGGAAAACGTCAGTCAGCATTCGACTAGATGGCAGATTGTATTTCCTGAGAAGGTCAATGTATCGACCATAGAAGTTGCAAAGTGATGAAATTAAACGACACTGTTGATACCTTTTTTGTGAACTTGTTTGAAGCACTCAAGTATATGTAGATCTAAGTGCTAAATTTAAATAATCTCCGAGTCCACTCTCTTAATCTATGATGATATTTCGACATACGTTTGAACAAAAATAATATGTACGATTTCAACATTTAACCACCTCTGCTGAAAAAAAAATTATGGTATCCTAAAGATAACATTTTCAGCATGATATTACTTTCTCTATGCTTTATACTCATACAACCATTCATAAAAAACAATGGCCTGTTTTACAAAAGAACTTACGACTAAGATTAAATTTTAACTCTGCTTATAACTTTGTAATCTATATTACATGTATATTGAAACTGGTTTGGTCATTTTAAAAGGATTGTAGTAAGATTTATTTTTGCGCAGGCAATTTTAAAAAGAATCGATAATTTTGCAGAATTTTACAATCAACTTAAATTTTTGGACTTAGTTTCAAGTTCTTTTGTAAAACGGGCCTCAGGCTTTTTGACATCATAGACAGATAACAATGGAGCTTTTTCTTAATATTCATATTTTGAGTCATATAAGGATGACCTCGTTAAAAATCATTCTGATTCTTCATATAAATTCTCTGAAATTGATTTTAAAAGATGCTGAAGCTCTTTATTGGCGATATCTATGTAGTCTTCAAATTATTTTTTTTTTCAAATTCCGATAGTTACTTTAACTGTTCTCCGTTATTAGTTTTTTTTTTCTATCCCCAGAGATAGAATTTATTAAAAAAAAAACTTCTTGAGAGAAAATTTTGCCACTCAACTACTAGTATTATAGATAAATTGACAACGATTCAAATTACAGTAATTACTTTCATTCGTATGTTGACTCGATATATAAATCTATATATATTCTATAGCAAAATTGACACTCAAGGCATTACTTCGAAGACTCTCGAGGTACTGAAAAATAAATTGTTACACTTGAATCTTTGAAAGCAAGCCAGCTGATCGTTCAAAGTCTTGACATTCCCCAAGGACAGCAGGTTGTGATAAAGCAAAATGACGTCATCGGATGGTGAGTAGAAAACTTCAGTACTCTTTTAAAATACGTTAGAGCATTACATGTATTTGAATATTTTGACCATTATGAATATCTAATAAAATTTAAGCCTTTAATTAAAATTTTCATTTAATAATCACGCAAAACCTTTTATCCTTATCGCGATAAAGGTACAGTTCATCTAGTGACATGGTTCCATACAAATCGGGAGCGGGATCCGCCGGTGGTAATTATTTACAGGTCTTTGCCACGCCTCCTACCTTGGGGACATCTTATGAATGGAGTACAGCGAACTTCTTTAGCCAACGTTCATACGCTGTTCAATCCACGATAGAAGCAAGTACGATTTAGAATTTATGTTACATTTTGAATGGCGATTCTGTCTCCCTATCTTTTTTCCCCATACTGCAGAATAAAAAAAGTTTTCGGGGGTCACTATTTGTGGATTGCGTATTTTTTTCAGTAACGTGGGGACATAATTTTCAAGTGTTTTTTCATCTACTTTTTCAGACGTCGCACCAACATTGAAAAACCTTCCAGCAACCAAGACGTTCCAGGACAAATCTCCCGCCACAACAATAATGACAGTGACAATAACAGACGACAATTCAGCAGATGTGGCGACGCTCTCCGTCAGCCTGAAAACACACAATGATAAATTTGAGATGTCCTCGAGTACGTAAGAATTAATCTTATCCACAAAATCAAGTTCATAGACTGTAGTAACACTTACTAGTATTTTATCCACACTTTTTCAAAGAAAGTTCGGGTACATTGTTGTTATTCCGGCCTGTCTTGCACTCTTTTTTCTTCCATCAACTCCTCATATATTTAAAGTAGTAACCAATTCATCTTGTGAACTACATGTCAAATCAATGTTCTCCTGTAGATGTACCAAAAGGTAAGGAAGTTTCACATCGAGGCCAATTAGATTTCTCTATATGCATGTTAATTTTTTGTATAAAGAGTGTTTTTCAAGAACCATGCTGTATCAAAATCATCTTTTGGGATATGAATGATATATATGCAATACGGTTTCTGAATTTTCATTTTCACCTTGATGCTATTTCGAGGGCTAAAAATTACTACTTTTTTCTACAGAAACTGCTATCCAAAAACTCTTCTCACGTTTAAATTTACTTAGCCAAATCATCTTTTGTAATATGATTGTTGGTATTCTTTAGAAGTTTTTCAACGTTTCGAAATTTCCATATCTGTCCCAAGGGCTATTTAATATAGAAAAAAGATGTACAAGTTAAACAGAAACTATGCTACAAAAGCTTTCTTAAAGTTTACCCAGTAGCCAAATCTTCTTTTGTAATATGATTGGTTATATTCTACTGAAGTCCATCAAGGTTTTCAAATCATAGGCCATTTTATACAGAAACAAAGATGGATCTCACTTCTGATGTTTTAGAGGACCCTGTTTGCTTCTGATATGTAATGTTTAATGGACCTTTGAGCTCGAATACTGTCCGTTATCTCCACACATTTCATTCTACATACGTTATGTTATAAGAACTCTTATGGTTTACTCATTAACCAAGGAATCTTCTGGAATACCTGGTGGTGGGTGGTTGATGTTTAATGTTCTGGAATTTTCGACTCAATTTTAGTATCTAATTTGGGGTTGAATAAAGACATCCATTGTAATTCTATAAAAGCCATATTCCAAGGACTCCTTTAAATTTTATTCATCCGTCAAATAATTTCTTGGATCATAACTGGTAGTGTCCTTAAGATTTGCAATAATGTGATAGAATTTTCAAATACATTCTAGGGACCAGTTGGGGATCAATAAAAGACATTTTTCTCTACATTTCTAAACATCTACACAGAATATAAGCAGCCCTCCACAAGCCACTGGGGGCGTCCCAATATGACTGATAAATTCTCAAAGGGACTTAAAAAGAACAAACAAGAAAAACGTTTAGGATTAAAAAGGGGTTGGAGAAAGTTAAAATTTAACTACAATAGGCCTTTCTGACAATATTTACCCTAAGCAATCTTTACTTGAATGTCCATTAACGTCCAATTGTTTCACAGACGTGGTTTCTCCAAAAGCTGGATGGACGTGGTCAGTGGGAACCTTTGACGTTAGTATTGTTGTTACTGACCAGTGTGGGAACTCAGGGACAGAAACCTTAACAATCGTCATAGAAAATACGGTACAGTATGTTGTAGGACCAAAAAAAGTGAGATTATTATGAGATCATATAAAGTATGTACAATAATAAACATCATTTTACTAAGAACTTTGAAATCATGGTATGAAATAAACTTGATTTTGTTTAATATTACTGAGTTCAATTTTTATTTGAATGAAAAAAAGTGAGTATGAGATTCAAGCGTTGATTTCGATAAATTAACCAGGCACCGGATATCTCCATCCTTCCATCAGCTTCAGACCTGTCTGAAGTCGTGACGTCAGAGACTAAGCTCGGAGATCTCACTGTTACGGACGTACAAACTTATACGTGCTCTATTCATGACGTCATTCCATCCTCTGGAACCGCGACATTTACTCTCAAGCAGGCATCAGGGTCATCGGGTATGTAACTAGAAAATGCCTGTCATAAATGATATATTTAAATATTGTAAATGCTGTGAATGATATTATAGAGTGTAGCAGAACCTCACATTTCTTTGTAGTGTATTCGATTTACTCTGCGGAAAACCCAAACTTTGTACACTCAGTAGTATCCCAATATAAGATAAACGTAACGTGTACCGATGTCTACAGTTTGACGTCATGGGGAGACCACACTGTTAATATCATACCAAATAAGCCACCAGTACTCGACAAATTACCAGGTACTATAAAATTCATGTTTCCGACTCCCACATTGAATAAATAAACCAATGATATACTGGTAACATGTTTAATTCATGGCCTATAATGAATTAGCTCTTTATATTTTTTATGACGTTTAAGCAACACAATCTGTATCAGCGAAAACCACAACGCTTGGAACAGAGATCTTCAGCGCAGTAGCTACTGATACTGACTCAAGTCAGATCTTCTATAACAAAACCTGCTCCCCAGACCCCTGTCCTTTTGAAATATATGCAGGTTAGTAAAACGATATTCAATAATAAAACAACACACCTTCTAGGTATGCTTTTTTAATATTAGAATCTATAGAATAATACCATTTTAATTTTATTTATCAACGTTCTAATTAAAAAGAATACTATAGAATGTAAACGATACACTTACTTTCATTACTTATATACATATGTAGATGGAAAGATTAAAGCTACTGAAGACCTAATGCTTCACAAAGTTCCAACCTATGACATGTTTATTTATGCTTATGATGGACGCACTCTTGTTGGACCTGAGACTCTCACCATCAATATAAATGGTAGGTTTATATTAAATGCGATTCGTGTCAATAAACTGTACTAAAAAAAGTTCAGGATTTTTTTTTATTTCTATCACATCGATTTACTTAAGTTTAACAGAACTACGGATTCTTTTAGTAATTTTTGCAATTAACTAACTTAGTTCAGTATGGAGATTATACTTCCTTTTTCCCTGTATGTCAGATATTAACCACATTCCTGTTATCAGCAACATACCCACGTCCACAGTTACCGTTCCTGAGAACACGGCCGTTGGGACGGGGGTATTTTAGGTGCAGGTGACTGACCAGGACCCCGGGGACACCCATACGTACACTGTTACCTACAGCCCGGCGGAGGGAGGCGCATACTTTAATGTTGATGCTAACAGTACGGTGTAGTCAAATTTAATGAATAAAAATGTCTTCTAGTTAGAAAGAAAGTAGAAGAGAAAATATAAGAGAGCATTTTGAATACAGCCCTTTTCTCGTGTTTGTTTTCACTTGACTGAAACAAAAAAAATACCGATCTCAATTCTCTCTTTTTTTTTTTTTTTTTTTTTTTTTTTTTAAACATTTTATTTAGAAAAACAAAACATCATATACATGTTACAGTGCATTTGATTTTATAACTTGAACAATTTCATTCTTTCTATTTGTCATGTAAAATCATGTGGAATAATTTATCACAAAATATCAAAATGAAGAAAAGTCATTAACAAATACAGCTGATTATCTTATGTATGATTGTAAAGGTTTTATCCCAAAATTTAATGAAAAAAAAGTCATAAAAAATACAGCTGATTATCATATGTATACTTGTATATAGGTACCCTTATATATCTGGGAGACCTCACCTCCAGCTCAAACACAGTCTATTTATTGTCTCCCAGATAAGATCGTAGAACTACAGGCTTATTCTACAATGGGTTTATAAATTATAGTTTCTCTTTAATACATTTTATAACATTATAATATTTCATATGGTTAATTTTATTATATACTTCAGTAAAAATATTCAATATACTCTTCATATGATAACATATTTCTTGAGGCTTTTCTTCTTTGTTTTCAAGTCTACAGTACATTTTGTATTTGTAAATTTTACAAGCAATCAGGGATATTATGCTATTCAAAAATAATATCTTTTCATTTTTTTCATAATAAAATCCAATAACAATATTTTTCCATGTTATATCAAATTTCAAAACTTGCTGAACAACATCCCATATATGAGAAACATTTTGACATTTTAGAATAAGATGTTCATTGTTTTCTTTTACATCTTTACAAAAAACACACATTTCATTTTCAACAATTTTCCATTTCTTCAACATTTCTCTATTACATAATAAGTTATTTAATAATCTGTAATTGAAGTCTGATATGCCTCTATCTGCAATTGCTAATATTTTTTGTTCATATATAGATTTCCAAGCAGTTTTTGGAATTTCAAACAATTTTCCATAATAATACTGATGTAAGGGAGGTTTAAATTTATCAAGACACAGAATTTTATAAATCAATTTTGAAGTAATATCAAACACTGCTACTTGATGATGGTATAATAAATCATATGAATTAATTTCATATTTGATATTTTCATACTGTATATTTGTAAATTCATATTCTACAAAAGCTTTCAAAACCACATTTTTCATTATCATATATTCACAAATCCAATTTCTCTTACATACAAGTTTATCATAAAACCATTCTATGGGTTGCATACCATTTTTGTCTACAATATCACCAATATATTTAAATCCGCTTTTCAGCCAATTTGAAAAAAATATTGGCTTGTTTTTATGCTTCATTTTATTATTACACCACAGTGGTTCCTTTAATAAAGCATTCAAATTCAGTTCTCTTTTGTTTCTTTTACATTCATCAAAAAATACTAGCATTTCTTTGTAAAACAAGGGAAAGTTTTCCATAATTTGATAGTCTTTTGTATCAATAACGTTTGTTTTACATAGATATTCAAAATCAAAATTTCTCTCTTTACACAAACTATCAATAAATAGGAATAAGGAGTTTGTTTTACTTAGTATGTTTTTAATCCATGATACTTTTATGGATTTTAGTTTTAAAAGTACATCAACAATACCTATTCCTCCTTCTTGAACACTTCCAATCTGAGTGTTTCGCTTTATTCTGTCTTTTTTATTCCATATAAAATTAAAAATTAGACTTTGTATTTTCTTAACTGTATTTTCCTTTGGAAAAGTTTAAAATTGACCCAATATATATAATTTTTGATATTGCTAGACTATTAATTACACAGACTTTGCCCAGAATTGTTAATTTTCTTTTTTCCAAGACTCAAAAAGTTTTTCTAGGTCGTCTACAATTTTTGTCCAGTTTTTATTGTAATATATTTCCTTATCATGTCCTATGAATATCCCTAGAGCTTTTATACAGGAATTATTAACTTCAACATTTTCTATTTGTCGATACAAATTTTTCAATTGACCTGTTAAGAGACATTCTGTTTTAGACATGTTTAGTTTCAAACCAGATACTTTACTGAATTTTTCTATAACCTCTAAAGAATGTTTAAGGGACTTCTTATCTTTTAAAGGAAGTGTCTAGTCATCTGCATGTTGTATTATCTTTATAATATCAGTCATTCCAGGTTTTTGAAAACCCTTTATGTTAGGATTTGATCTAATAGCAATGGCTAATACTTCTACTACAAATAGGAATAAAATAGCAGAAATAGGACATCCTTGTCTTATACCTCTGTGCATATCACATGTTTTAGATATCCACCCATTATTTTTTATTCTAAATATAGGCTTATCATATAAAATGGTGATCCATTTCAAGAAATTTTCTCCAAAATTATTTTTTTAAGAACTTTCAACATAAAATTCCATTCTACAGAGTCAAAAGCCTTTTGGAAATCAAGGAATAACAATACTGAATCCAAGTTATTTTCTTCACAGTATTCAAAAATATCAACAATTAATCTTGCATTTAAGGCTATATTGCGCCCTTTTATATATGCTGATTGATTTATATGTATTGCATTATTCAGTATTTTTTGTAGTTTGTTAGCTAAGATAAAGGCTATAATTTTATAATCAGTATTTGTTAGACTAATAGGTCTATAATTTGTCAGATTTTTAGAGTCACCTTTTTTAAATAAAAGAGTTATTAAAGATAACCTTTGTGTATATGCCATTTGGTATTTTACAAAAATCTCCTTGAGAGTCAGATAATAGAAATCTTAAATATTTTCCCAGAATGTTTGATAAAATTCACAAGGTAGTCCATCAAGTCCTGGGGATTTATTTTTCTTCATTTTAAACACTGCTTCTTTACAATCGGATATTGAAGGAAATTCATCTAATTCTATTCTTTCCTTATCATTTATAGTATATTCTAATTGTAAATCATTGAGATATTCCTCTATCTTATTATCAGTTACATTTTCTGAAGTGTATAATTTTTCAAAAAAATTACATGTTGATTGCAATATTTCATCTTCATCAAAAACAGTACCGTGTTCAGTATTTAAAGATTTTATTATATTTGATATCTGTCTTTTCTTTTCTAAGGTTAAGAAATATGAAGTGTTTTTCTCTCCATTTTCAATCCAGTTTGCCCGTGATCTAACTTGAGCACCTTTTGCTTTTTTGTTAATAAATTCTGTTCATTGGTTTTCCAATTTTCTTTTTCTATTCATATCAATTTTTTCGTAGGGCAGGTCTTCTATTTTATTTAATTCTTCTTGAATAAAGTTTATTTTACTTTTGTAAGATTTTGATAGATTCTTGGAGAAGATTATACAGAAGTCCTTTACATTTCTCTTTGAGTCTTCCCAAGATTTTGTTGGGTTTTCTCTATCGAACTTAAGCTCATTGAGAAAAGTTTTCATATCACTGATGAAAGTTTCATTTTCAATTAAAGATGTGTTAAATTTCCAGTATCCAGGACTCTCAATTCTCTTTTTGTCATATCTATACTACCAGCAACAGAACTTGGAAAAAATTGGAAAAATTATTTTGATTTATATAGATATTATTTGTCCTATTTTTTGCACCAAAATATAATATGAAATAAATTTTTTAAGTAGATATAAATATGTAATATCATTCTCCTCATGAAATACAAGAACCTTATAAGTATTTCAATATGATCAACTAAAAATATTCTATAATAGTGACGTAATATTTTCCCTCCAAAAAAATACTTACCTTAGTATTTTTTGCGAATTTGATTCTATAAGGAAGAGATCAAACTCACTTCTATCTCATTTTATACTCATGGCGATGAAGGTGTGTCTGGTTCATAAAATAAATATATGCATTTAACCACCATCATCATAACAATGAGATATGTAAAACATATTGTATTCATTTTGTAGCTGGTGTGATTTCTGTAAAAGACAATATTGACTATGAAAGTCTTCGAACACTTAATCAACTAACGTATGACGTCACAGTAACTGCAAACGACGGCAGGGAGAGTTCTATCCCCCAAACAATGACGATACTTGTTACTGATGTAAATGAACAACAGACAGGGTTTGTTAAATCGGTATATGCCATAGAAACAGGAGAAGGAAAGGTAAATCTTATTTTATAGAGCTCTTTATAAGAATTAATGACGAAATGAATCTTCTTACAGAAGACTTTAGGATCTTTTTATCCGTGTAATTACAGACAATTTAATGTTTTAGTCATATAACTCCGTAAAAAAGATTTAAGAATAAAAACATTAAACCATTTAAAGATTTTTACAGTGTGGTTGTGTCTACAGACTAGTATATGTAGCTTGAGTTGCAAAACTTTGTTTAAAATACTTTTGAATGAAATAATATACTTCAGTCAGGAAACGTGTTGACCAATCCCTTTACGGGTACGCAAGTTATAGATCCTGATTTCAATGATGTTCAAACTTTTACCATGGACTGTGGCACCAACCAAGGAAAATTTCGTATGGATCCAAATACAGGTGCATATTGTCAATTTCGTGTAGAAAGTTAGAAACTGCTAAAATTTTATTCATATATAAACATTGAGGTTCTTTATTCAGCAACAATATTGAAATCATTCCTTTTGATTTTTTATTTTAAAAAGGTTCTATAACCCAGTCTGTAGAATACGACCTTGATTCTGTTGGGAAGGAACAGGAAGTAGTGACATGCACAGTCACGGCAACGGACAAAGGCGGACATACTATATCGACTCAACTCTCCATCACAATAAATGAGATAAATGATAACGCACCTGTTCTAGACAAAGGGAGCTACTCCTTCTTCGTTTCACAATGCTCATCAGTCGGGTCCTCGGCAGGCCAAGTAACTGCCACTGACAAGGATATTAAACAGGAGCACAAGGACGTGACCTTTACTCTCACTTCAGGGGCGGGGTTTTTGGTAGGGAATGATGGTACAATTCACGTTGCTCAAGATTTGTGCAATGTACCTGTGGGCACCAAATATGACCTAACTTTATCTGCAGCTAACGCAAATGGATTACAAGATACAGCTCCAGTTACTATTGTAATCACAGGTATTTTTCTATGAAAAGAATGCAATTCTGTTATTTTTTTACTTAGAATACATTTGATTTTTGTAAAGAACTTTATTCGGTAATAACTAATATTTGCCCCCCAAATCAGACTTTGATGGAGAAATATTTAATTATGTTCTAAAACAGAGGGGTATATGCTGACTTCAAAGCACTAAATATTTTCATAAGTAATGGTGTCATATGTATGATATGACGTCACAAACATGACGTAAATTTTAGGTTTTTATGAATTCTATGGGAAAATGTACATATTTAGTCGATATTCTGAGTTAATGTCACCGAGCGCATGTGTGTTCATGCTCAATATTTCGATATTATGTGTAGAATGATAATATCAATGAAATATATAAATATTGTTCCTGAACAAACTTGCGTTCTATAAATTTTAAAGCTAAAATTGTTGAAATTTTGTCCATTTTGTCCTCTTTCTAAAAAAGGATATAAAATCGGACTAGTTTGTGACGTCATAAAAACAAAAATTGTGAATAAACTACTTTGGAACTATAATATGTTCTGTTAATTTATATTTTTCATACAATTAATTGAATTCAGCACATTTCAGGAAGTTTTCAAAATTTTACTTTTGTGGGGGCAAATACATGTATATTCAATATACCGCATATAGTTCTTTTGCATAAGTATTATAAAATGCATAGAACTCCGAAGTTTAAAAAATCGTTTTGAAATTCTTTTTACTTTCACCCAGTGTTAATTCAAAGTAGAAAAGAAAATCATCACATGTCAATATCTATGTAGGTGATTTTATTATATGCCATCATTGATTAAATCTGCCCCCTATAGACCCGACTACCACCACTTCTACAACAACCACTACCACCACCACTACGACTGCGCCACCTAGTTCCGGAGGATCAAGTAACTCCAAGGGCGGATTCTTTGACAACCCAGAGAACCTGGCCTGGTTCATACCCGCCGTACTTCTGGCAGCTTTAATGGTGGTTCTGTTGATTTACTTCTTGTACAAGTGTTTTCGTCATCCTGGTTTGTTGTCCAGAGTTTGGTAAGTAACATTTCCTGAAATGCATAATATACATATGTATACATTATTTTTAGATTTTGGCCCTTAATACTTGAATTTCTTTACAGCTGCAAAAAGAAAACTTCACCAAGACAGAAAGGTAGCGGGCAAACATGGTCAAAAAAGAAATTTTACTGAAAGCTCTCGTCTTTTTTTCAAAGTATTTAAAAAATTTACCTTAAATCCTCTGTATGTTACAGTGAAAGAGCCAGAGAAGATAAATGGAAAGTACGAGTGGAATGTTTGGTCTCACAGTGACTACACGGATGACAAGTAAGTCGTATTGTGTTCTTTCGAAACCTACACCCACAAAGATGACGGCTTCTCTCCTAAGTTTGTCATGAGGTTTAACAGCAATCTCAGATTTATTTTTTAACAACGTGATAAAGGCAAACTAGAAACTAAATTATTTCTATCTTGTCCTTAGGAAAAGTAATTTTTTGCATCAAGGTTTAATAATATATATATATAATTATTGATTCTTTGTGTAAATATGGTTTTCAGTGGTACCCGGTAGTTAAAGAGTACAGATTGCAACTTATTTATTTTTCATTAACTTGAGCTATAAGGAAAGCTATGTTTAACTATTTTATGGTATAAAAGGACTTGAATTTCATCACATCTAACTTTGTAGTGACTTCACAATTACAGCATCGGCATCTTGGTAGAATTATGAAGCAGAGTTTCATTGTTTTTTTTAGAAATGTATATTTCGTTGTTGTTGTTGTTTTGCTTTTATTTCAATTTTCAGGATCGAGATGCGTTAAAGGTCCTTGTTTGAAACATTAATTACAAGAGCAGGCAGTATGGAGATTTCATCCAAAATATATATAGAACTGAGGAAAAGATATAGAATAATCAACAGATGTTTGTACTTTTCCTTATCATTTTTTAAAAACGTCATTTGTGTATGTTAAAGCTGTCTCTGTCTAATAAAGGAATCTGTCTGAAAAAAAAATCATGAGTTATATAAGACATTTTTTCCATTATTTTTCATTTTATTTTATTTGTAAAAAAGGATTAACAAGATGTGTTTGTGAAACACTATGCGCCCGGCAGCAACAAATTTCGGAAAAAGCTATTTTAAGCATTAAAGTCACAGTCAAGGTCACAAGGTCATTGACCTTGGTGTCATTTGAAACAACTTAATTAGTAGGGTATGCGCACCAAATATGAAATCTCAATCTTTTATGGTTTAAAAGTTATAATGAGGATTCAAAAAAGCTATTTTCAGCATATAGGTCACAGTCAAGATCACAAGGTCATTGATCCTGGTGACATTTGAATGAACCTGATTAGTGGAGTATGCATACTAAATTTGAAGTCTCTATCTTTCATGGTTCAAAAGTTATGGTGAAGGTTAAAGTTTGCAGAAAAAAGCTATTTTTAGCATATAGGCCACAGTGAAGGTAACAAGGTCATTGACCTTGAAGTCATTTGAAAGAGCTTAATTAGTGGAATATGCATACTAAATATGAAGTCTCTATCTTTCATGGTTCAAAAGTTATGGAGAAGGTAAATTAAAGTTCAAAACAAACAATCAAACAGACACAGCGAGACAGGAGAAAAACAATATAGGTGGATATTCAAGAGTTATAGTGAGGTTTCAAAAAAGCTACTTTTAACTTATAGGTCACAGTCAAGGTCACAAGGTTATTGACCTTGGTGTCATTTAAAAGAACTTGATTAGTGGAGTATGCATACCAAATATGAAGTCTCTATTTTTCATGGTTCAAAAGTTATGATGAAGGTTAAAGTTTGCAGAAAAAAGCTATTTTTTCATATAGGCCACAGTTTAGGTCACAAGGTCATTGACCTTGGTGTCATTTGAAAGAGCTTAATTAGTGGAGTATGCATACTAAATATGAAGCCTCTATCTTTCATGGTTCAAAAGTTATAATGAAGGTGAAAGTTCAGAAAGACAGACAAACAAACAGATAGACAGACAGACAGTCGGGACAAAAATAATACACGCCCTGGATCTATCGATCCGGGCGCATAAAAAGATCATACCGAACGTCCGTCATGAAAATAAGTTTATTTATATCGTTGATTTCTTGATACCGTATAGAGGGTTATTTTAGCAGGTGTTGATTTTGGCTTATTTTGGCGTTTTGATGGTAGCCCGCTAAAATTTTAATCGCTAAAATATTCAGAACTCTTCTTAGTGTTCTCCTGCAAAGAGCTGAAACTCTGTGTCCGCTAAAATAAATTACGCCAAAATTATTTGCATACCTTTAAGCAGGTAAAACGCCAAATTTTACATTGCCAAGAAAAGTGTTATACTATATATATATAAAATTTATACGAGTAAGACGACATTTGAGTTGCAAATCTTTCTTTAATATAACAAATTTAATATAATATTTAGGAACAAATACTTTAATGTTGTTAATCTCTAAAAATATCAATTGTATGCTGACAGTATATTTAAAACAAATTGGTCTAATTAATTGTATTGCAGGTTGTAATAACGGAAGGAATCCAAATATCTTTAAATAGCTTGTGTCTGCTAGTAATGCCCCCTACAGGAATTGGGTTGTTTAAAATGTCCTTATTTTACACATGCAATAATATTTGGAGTATTGACAAAAATAAATAAATTCAATGATTTTCAAAAAGAGTTTTATTAACTACATGGTCTCAACACCTAAAAAATATACTTCTGCAATATAAAATCATTTAATATATATAAGTTATGTGTTAGCGGTTAACTTTAACCTTCATAGACTAAACCTCCTGGCTTGGTGTTGTCATTTCTTTGGTAATACAATAATAAGACATTTAATGGCTCTGGTCACTGTATCTCTGTTTGGTAAGGGGGTTCAGATCTACAAACTAAAAGATGACAAGGATAACTGTATTTCAAGAAGTTTGTTTTTCCTGCATATACAATAATAAATTTTATACTTATTTTTACAATGAATTTTAATAAAAAGTATGAAGATAATTTTTTTAACGAACAGTGATCTATATGAAATATCTTTTAAAACAATAGAAATCTGTGGACATGACTTGCTGACACTTGGAGACTCCAGAGGTGGGATCAGGTGCCTAGGAGGACTAAGCATCCCCTGTTGAACGTCACACCCGACGGGAGCCTTATGTATTGTTCAGGTAGACGAATCGTCAGAAAAATTTAAAACTTTCATATCTGGTATTTTTGTGCAAATTGCACAACTCTAATGCATCTTTGGTATTAGTGGGGATGAGGAGACAATTTTACAATGGTTTACTATTATAATTTGGTAAATTGTTTACGAGCACAATGATTTGCAAAATAGATAATATAAGTAAACGGTATTTAAGCACATGAGAAAATGCTTCCTTTGTTTTTCTAATAATTACATAGAAATTCTGCAAATGTTATCAAACACATTTTCTTTTTTCAAGTACTTTTGTACACTTATGAAATTATGCACTTTGCAATTGATGATGTAAATTAAAAGTGTTTACAAGTAGTCTGACAATTCATGATTTACTATCTATGATACTCTGATACGCGCTGTAGTATTTTTAAATATTTAATCAGGGCGTTATCAATACATAAAATTAAGTTCCTTATCAATATTGGGCAACAATTTCCGTTTTCTTGTACTTTTAAAGTAAGTCCACCAAGCAGAAATGGATATGTGTACCTTTTAAAAATAGCCCATCTGCCCTGATCACGTTTGAAGTAACTAAAAGAAAAAGAGCTAGTAATGTGAACATCTTACATGTTACATATATTTCAGAGGTGATCCACTTAGCATCTTGCAGAATTTCTTTGAAGGTTGAACTCTAAGATTTGCCCAAAGGAGGTATTGTCATTGACAAGTTAGGAGAAAATACAGTGCATAAGGTTTTGTTCTTTACTAAAAATTACACAAAATGTTTTCTTTTAACTTCTTTACACCAATATTATAAACATACAACAGTGTGATACGTGATTTATAACCTATTGCATAATCTTAAACAAATGTTATAATTTTTAAAGCAGAAATTCAATCATCCACTATCATTTCCTTATCATACTGATTAAGAACCTTGATATTTTGCGTGTTTCTTTGGTGCAAGAGTCTTATTTGATGTCTACCATTTAATTTGATTTAAGTCCCTCCTATTAGATCCCTCGTTTTGTCTGTATTTGAATTCGTGGTACTTGTAATAGGTTTAATAGGCTAAATAGACGAATCTTTCACATTAGACACGTCTTTTCTTGTGAGGATAATTTAGTTCAAAATGAATACTTAAAAAATATTGTAAACGGCCCGATCTTTCAATTTGCCGACAGAACATTTCCATTATGAATTCTGTCAAAGCAAAATATCAGACCAAATGTTGGGCTAAAAATTAAAAAGGAAGACTTTAACACTTCGTCATAATTGATTTAGTGTGTATAATGATAAAGTAAAGATTTGTACTAGAAAATTAAAAGGCGATTTGCTAACCATCTATCCTTCCGTTTTCTCGGAAGGGGTGAGAAATTAGAAACTTAAGACTACATGAACAATGTAGACAAGACTTGAAACTATGTCGTCTTTGTTTGAAAGGAGCATCTATATACAGTGTAACTGTATTTTGGTAAATTTTTACATCTGGAAATCTAACATATACTCACAGTTCACTTTCCAAGGAATTCTCTAAAATAGCATTTTTGTATCTAATACTTTTAATATACCAGTCAACCAATGTGAATTCGGTCTACCCTTCCTTAACTGGATTCCTAAACTCCCTAAAAATCCTTCCAAACAAAGACATATTGCTGGGTCCAAAAAATGCTCTACCAAGCCCCCATTTTTACTCCTTACAAGAACTGAGTTGCTCTAAAGGTGAAATTTCAGACGTACTGTGCTATGTCATAATGTAGAAGTGGTGTAAATCAGGTAAGCGTCCTCAAAAACTGCAAAGAACTTTTAGAATGTTAAAACTCAAAATTTTGAATGTGTATAACATTAAATCGCACGACTTTTAATACTTTATACAACAATTCCTAAATAAAATCTCGACATTCTGGTATCATAGAGACAACTGTTTCTTCAATAAAAACGGAGCTCAGAAATTTTCAATCTTGTGATTGGTCATCAGCAAAAGGCCTAATTTTTTCTTTAAAACAAAAGTCCTAGCTGGAGGATGTGAACTAGCAAACATTCATGCTGCTCTTAATTAATTGAGTTTTTCAAAGTGCATGTCTTTTCTGCCAATACACGGTTCGACTTTGAAAGTCTGTCTTGGAATATACAGTAATTGCTACGTCGACTAATTTTATTCCTTGAAATACAAGTATGTTTAAGACGACCATTTGGGAAAACCCTGAGGCGATTTGTTTTTAGTTCTTTAATTGTACTCTCTCGATCGAGTTATGTCATCGAAATGTTGATTCAAAGGAGAGAATCATAAATATTACAGATGTAATATAATATTTGGTATACCTTATATAAATACGGTAACAAATAAATTCGGTCGACATGGTAAACAGTGAATTTATGTAGCCAATTAAGATTAAGTAAAAGAAGGAGAATTGCATAGTAACATGATCATATTTAATAGGAAAGAATGCAAAAATTAAAACGTGACAAGAAATGAAAATACAAGAGGAAGTATGAACAGAGCGGGTTTAGTTTAGATTTATTTAACTACAGCTGTGAACATGTCTAATGAGACAGAGGATAAAACTAAACAAAATAATGAACGTGATATGGGTAGCAAAGACTTTATTGTACCCACTGAATTTGGTAAGTATTTTACTTATGTATTTTAAATTTATAAAAATCAAGATACTGAGCTTCAAAGCCTTGTAATGAAATTTTTTTCATTCTTTCAATTAAATTTTGTATGAAGTTGATCATTTCTATTCTTACCATAACTAATAAAAAATGTAAAAAAAAAAAAAATAAGGATGATTATTTATTTTTATGAAATAAACAACAATTCTGTATAAATGTTCCTGTTATGTAATATAATAACACATATCTGTAACTTTTTTTCAGGTGCCGGGTTGATAACAACTATATGTCTGTCTGCACTTGTAATGGTTAACCTTATCTTTACTTTCTTCTTCTACCGCGCTTGGAAGAAAAGGTAAATATTTCACATAACTTGAAAATAAGCGTAACCAAAATGAAATATATTAGAGATAACATACAGTATTCATACTCAAAAGTCCATTCAAATAATTCAAATCAGGAGCATAGCAAACACGGACCTCCAAAACATCAGAGGTAAATAATCATTTGGACAAAACACTTGTAGTTTACAATCATTTATGATTCACCTTAACAATGCAGTCTCAGTACTTAAAGTTTTTTTCCAAAGTTCTGCACTATAAATGAAAGATGAAAACTAAGACTAAAAAAAGTTAAAAGTATAAAATAGGAGCTGAAGTTCATTCTTTTATCTGATATTGAGTTTTTGAATTAAGTGCATGCCTTTTTATTTTAGTGCCGTAATGTAAATTAGTCTAGCATATGAAATAAAGTGATATTTTTGAGCATGATTCCGAAAATTTCTCTCATTAAATTTGACAATTATTTATTCTTGATACTCAGTATTTTCAGTTTTGATTTGTGTTTTATTGAATCTTTTACTACTTTTTAATTGCTTCAATACGTTTCGATGCGACCTACACAAACAATAAAAAGGTCAAATAATAACAAAAAATATAAATAAATAAATAAATAAAAATAAAAAAAACATCTTGTAGATGTGCAGTAAGTTTTCTTTCGAATTTTTATTTTCACACCGAGGGCAAACCGGGTATATTAAAAATTAGTTTTTTTAAATACAAAAGTCTGGTTTCCAGAGCTCCTCCTACATTTTGCGCAATAACATAATAATCTTTTGAAAGATGATTGGTGATGTCATGGATATATAAATAAGATTTCAGAATTTGAATTTCTAATTTCATCCAGGGGGTCAATAATGATGTTTTTCTACTAAGGGTTGGTTCCCAGCTCCTCTAACATTTTATGCAGTAACCTTATAATTATTTATTTGGAAGTTGATTGGTTTGTCATAAGCAAAAAAGATATCTGAATTATCATTTTTTCCCGGGGATGTCAAATGGGGGTCGAAAAATGTTTTCTCATTGTTTTAACCAAAAAATTCTGGTTCCAAGAACTCCGCCAACATTTTAATGTAGCTTATTCATTTTTGGGAAAGGATAAGAGATGTGTGTATTTGGTTTCGGAATTTTCATATTCACCATTGGGATGGATATGGAGATAACAAACAGTATTCAATATCAAAGTCCATAAAACAATACAAAATAGGAGCAGAGCAAACACGGACATCCGAAACATCAGAGGTGGGAGCAGGTGCCATGGAGGAGTGAGCATCCCTTGCTGACCGGTCACACTCGCCGTGTGCTCATTGTCATGATCGTGAAATAACAGAAAAATCCGTCGTCAATTCAGTGTATGAATAATGGACGAACAATTGGTATGAAAAACGTCAGTCAGCATTTGACTCAATGATAAATTGTATTTGCTGACAAGGTCATTGTATCGACCATAGAACTTGCGAAATGATGACTTTAAAAGAGACTGCTGATATTCTTGTTTCATGAACTTGCTTTTCAATAATTTACCCCGTTTTAGAAGTTGTTCGTACGTAGAGCATGCTCTTGCGTATCGAATCAACTGAGATATATACACTCCGTATACAGGTGATGAAGGTATATTGCTGCATAAGTAAGGGAAGTTGACGATAGAAAAGTTAAAGTCATCACGTTTATCATATAACTTGGTTGTTAGGTTACCATTAACGTCTTTTTCAAGTAAAATATCCAAGTATGAAACAGATGTGTCAGACTCTGTGGTATCTTTTATCTCAAGCTCTCCTGGATATATCGTATCGACGTAGGAATGGAAATTACCATTGTTAATTGACAATATACGTCGTCGATATATCTGAAGGTCGAGTTGAAGGCCACAGCAAAAGTCAAAAACTGCTCCCCCCCCTTAGAAAAAAATAATAATCTGGTTCTAAAAACTCAACCTATATATGATTTTGAGGTAATATCTAATCATCGGATATCTCGAAGCTTTTGTTATTGGTCTCAAGTAATTCGAGATAACGAGTGTTGATTGTGTCTATTTCCAGCTATTATGGCAACACGGTTTTAGGAAATCAAAAACAGATAAAAAGGATTATATATAGCCTAGTATAGCCTATTTGTGCTGTCTTACTAGAATCTCATTAAAACGGTAGGAAGAGCAATATTTTGTAAGAACAGGTTTTTCGTCTTAACTTTGTATCAAACTTCCAAATTATTTTCCACTGCTTTTTCCCAGTGGTTCTTGAGAAGATTCATACACGTTCGTATGTAAAACTTTGTTTGCTCTTGTGGCAATACTCTAGCCCACTGGGTCATGGTTACTAAAAGTACACTGTGTTATGAAGCTTTCACAACAGACTATTCCAAGATTATTTTTCTCTTTTAAAGTTAACCTTAATTATTTTTGCAAAACACACATGCCAAAAGGTTAAACAATCAAAACGTCATTCAAAGGATTTCTATTCATTTTTCTATTTTTTCTCCATAAAGGAGGACTTTACTCTTCATTAGAAGAAAATAAGATTCCTTTTCCCCCAGGATACGTTTGAGGCCATTTTTGGTGATATCATTCATTGGAAATTATTAGGTGATATCACTTGTTCGGACTTCATGGGTGATATCACTTATTCGAATAAGGGATATCACCTATTTGAATAGGCGATATCACCTATTTAATTTGAATTAGTGATATTACAAATTTGAATAGGTGACATTTACAAAAATATTTGTGACATGACCCGGCGAGTTTTCCTTTGATGTCAACCGTACAATAACTGCGATACGGAACACTTTTTCGAGGGCGTTTCTCATGCAAATGAGCAGAAACTGTACAATAACTTCGATAGAAAACATTTTATTTTTAGCGATGACTGAAAGCTGTATCCGTATCTTAAATGAGACAGACACGAGAATCAATCAAAAGGCATAACATTATTATTATGTTATTACATGTATTTGATGAAAAATTGAGGTAAATTTAGAATATAATTTTACAAAGTATAATTACCTATGGTGGGAAAAGAAAGGAGGGAGTGAAGCAGTTCACATTTCACAGTTCGCGATTTTCTTTGACCAAAAAAAGGAAAATCGTATTTTGTGGGGGTAGAATCATAATCAGCTCTGACACTATGTGTGATCGTTATATATTGATTATGAACAATTATAAAGGATATCCAAGTTTGGCAAATATAGATCTAATTTAAGAGGGCCAAAACGAAAAATCAAAGGGGGCTATTCAGCACTTGACTTGCCTTGGTTACGCTTACATTTTTTTCAAACACGAAGGTAATATATGCTCCCTTTTTTCATCTGTGCATTTCAGATTAGAGCCAGTAATATTGTAATATGACGACTGGTGGATGGTATTGTAGGATATTTCTCTCAGAATATAATCCCCTAAACCTTTTTTTGCTTCATTTTCATATGTTTCTTATGTATCAAAATGTTTTACACATTTTTCCTTTGCAAGAGGAACAGAGGAAAAAACCTACGCAGTCAAATATAAATTAATTTTCTGGAAAAAAAACATTATACATTTACCGGGGCATATCACCTCCCATTTTTAAAATTATTTAAATTTATAGATACCTTCGCCTCCACCTTACTCGGCATTTCAGTTGCGACTGATAAAAATGGGGTGCGAAATTTCACTTTCTGAAAAATCATCTGATTGGCTATAGAATGACCCAAATACACATATAAATTAGTGAGGTCATAAGAAAAGTCATGTCACAAGTCATTTAGAATACTCGTTTCCTATTGTTTCGGAGATACAGGGCGGGGCGCGGTTCGAGCTGTCGCTCTCGCCTCAAGTCCAGTCCTGTATCTCCGATACAGTAGGAATTTCGTACTCTAAATAATACATAATGAAAGGTCCCCATTTCGGGAAACTAGTCGCGCCCAGTCTGCATATGGCACTCACAGCCTGTGACAATCACTGATCACTGGTTTTCAGGTGTCAGACAATAGGTTTGATTTGTGTTACGCCAAGACTAAGAAGTGTTTAAAAACAAAAGAAAATATTTTGACTTAGGTCTTTCATCCTTAAAAATTATTTAAAACTCTGGTCAGACCCTTATTCATGGGAATACTCTTTGAGTGAAATGTGAGCCAAACTGAGCCATAAGGAGTCAAAGTGTGCTTTGTACAAAGACTTTACACAGAAACGTGTTTTGACATCAATATCTATGATTATCTGTCTCTGAACACCCTCAAGCCTTTGGTACTTTATGGATATCGTTTGAGCCATATAAAGTCAATGGGAGAGAATACTAGTAAATACTCGATATCTGAATAATGTTTTCTCATGAAAAGACGTTTGTTTTCTTACCTTGACCATTGAACTAGAAATTGTTCAAAATCTCTTTTATATTCAATGGTACTCTCTATTCATGAGTTTGAGCCAGACTGTCCATCCTCTACCCAAAGGTGAAACGTAGGCCAGAGAGGGTGAAGTGAAGAAATATACACCAGACAAAGATTGTTATAATTTATATTTTTAGAGGAGGAGGGTGAAGCTGACTGTAAAGCAATACTTACATACAGCTAAATTGTTCCTTTTAAAAAAAAATGCAATAGTAATGCTTTTACCCCATCCCCTATTTCATGGATAAGATTTTCAACAAATTCTGCTTCATATGAATACAAAAATAGGTCTGCTTATAACGGGGCGCAATTGGTACCCAGGGCAATTCCAACAGACCTGGTCTCCGAAAACAACATAGATACATGTACTGTCAATCAGAAACTCAATCATCTTTTTTTATGTCAACTTCAGAGTAATTGTATGTACAATCAGAATGTTTTTAACAAAATAATTATGCAAATGACCAATGACAAGGTAAGTAAAATTACGAGTTTCATTTTTATTGAAAAGGCAGCTGTCAATGATATCAAAAAAATTGGACTTTAATTTATCATGGAGAATGCATATGTTTGTGTATTAAGTTGAAAAGTCGTTTAAAAAGTTTTTTTAAAAGCTGTTGATTTTGGTAAAATCCTGTGATTTCAAATTGTCCAAAAGTTCTTTTGTAAGGAATATACTTTTATGTGGATTATTTGATAATTTATATCATGGTTCTTCATTACTCAAGTAGCTTAAATGAAGATGTAAACACTTTTAAGTGTGGGTATTACTGTCATATTAATAAGTTTTAATGATTTCAAAACTTTTACATGAAGAGAGATAAATGTAATTTTTGTAGGCATTTCCTACATTGGAGTTAGACATTTATAATTAAAACCAACGTTTATTTGCTTTTGTCCAGTACATATAAGCATTTAGGCAAAGCCAATATTAAATCAACTATTTCTTTCTGTACAGACAGGAAGTGCGTCGAAGACAAAGCACGATTGAAATGAACACCAATAATTCATACAGTGCACTCGAGCGCATGACTAGGCATGTTTACTCCGACGTCCGGGATTCACGTATAAGCTTTCAGTCCGATAGATACGCAACAATCCAATCTGTAACGAAAGCAAAGGAAACGGAAATTTCTAAAGAAAGTGTGCCACCGCTCAGAGCCATTAAAAGAGACAGATTGAAAACCCTAACGACACTATTTTCATTGCACTCGAATGATGTTAATCGCACAGTTTCCAGATTGAAAGCCATTGAAACAGGTGTCCGATGAGTTTCGATGGTTATTATTATACTTTATATGACTAAGCATATCCTGAATATAGTGAATAAAAGACATTTGTTGAGTGATTTACAGTTTCTTTGACCGATATTTTGATTTGGGAATAGTGCATTTGTAATTTTTGTGCACGACTCTATCATCAAATGAAATAGGACATAGGGTTATTCTTAAAATTTCAATATTTTTTAAAAGTATATTTTAAAACCTTATTTTAGAAGACTTGTAATCTTCATTATCTTGCTTGGGGTGAGGATACAGGCATTAAGCCTAATATTTCAAATTACATGAATACTTGACGTCAAATTTATATTCTTCATATTGTATGGCTGAACAAGTATCAGTTTTACTCAATATTTTTGTGATCAAACGAGGAAATTCATGCCTTCATTGTGATGTTAGATTTTTTTCAAGTGTCAGACAATAAGTTATTTATATAAAGTTGATGTTTCACAGCTGGGACTACATTTTCAAAAAACAAGATATATTAAGAGGAAAAAGATTTTCAAAGAAAAATGCCATGCTCTTCTAAGTTGACAGTACACATAATCTGAACGAAAAATGTTATCTGTCGTATGAAAATAAAAAATAGGACCGCCAAAAAGAACACTGATTTTAAAGTAATCTATGCTCTTTTGTACTTGACTTCACGATCACATTTATCTATCTCTTTTGAGCTGCAATTAAGATTGATTGTACATGTATATTGTTTAACGTCCCTCTCGAGAATTTTTCACTCATATGGAGACGTGATCTGCAATTAAGAGTTAAATGCAATTAAGAGTTAAATATTGACACGCAGAATATTTTCTTTCTCTATTTTGTAAGCAACATAAGTATCTTCTTAACTACTTTGACTGTCCTTTATAAGCTGTCTGTATAAAAACTTTCTTAAGAAGTGTCAATTTTATTCTTTTCTCAAATATTAATAATACAAAATTTCATGTTTTCGCAATCATTATATTTAAATAATTAAGTATTAAAGTAATAAAAAGTCATCAACAATTTTCCCCTTTTTGATATTTTTTTTCATAAACCATACATGTAGGATATACAGGCGTTTCATTAACAAGTATGATTAATATATAATACTTATATCGAAAAAGTATCAAATTAAAACACGATATTTAATGTTCTGTTTTTCCTGTTCAAGTCATGTCAAGTTCTGTAACAACAAATTACTCCAGTCCTGTTTGTTTGTCATCCTTGCCCACGGCTAAAATAGTAAAGTACTTAGAAAAATACTCATCGCTAAGAAGTCAATTGGAAAATTTCAACTAAATACCCGGTAGTATCAAAGAAAGCGCGATTAATTAATTTCATATACCTTTGACAGAATCATACAGAATGTAACATCAAACCATTATAGATGAAGTCTAACTGTAAAACATCAACTTTGAAAACTTACAATAATGATTTTAAAGAACATGTACCTTTGACATGAGATATGTTATACATATAATGGTTATGTCTCGAAATGAAGTTAGATATTAAGTTTACTACATAAAAAATGTGACCTTAATTTGTGCGAAAAACCTTATGTGCGGATCTGTATTGTTCATGTAGAGCAAGGTCCCTTCGTGAAATTTCTATATTTTTATACATCTATGCTATTCACATGTGTATTTATAAATTTATAAAAATTGGGTCATTGAAAAATTATCCGAAATGATAATTTCCTCTGGTACAAGTCACTAAACGAAAAAAAAGGTCAATTTACTAAATTTTGTTGTTTTTCACATTAGAAACCAAAGAAAAAATAAAATCTAGTATTTTTTGGGTGGGGGACTTAAATCAAGAAGTCAAATCATTTCGCATATTTTTTCTTCATTAAGCTCAATTTTGATGGATTTTTTTTCATTCCAAAACAATAAATTAAAATGTTTTTGGAAATAGAGATACGTAGATAATTTTTACAATATACTGTATACATCCTTTTTTTCAAAGAATTGTGTGCACGTTTTATGTTGATAATAATTTTTTCAATATTTAAGTATTCTTGAGTATTACATTTTGAAATGCACCTAATACATAACATTATGATCATTTTTAAAAAAAAATATCTTTTTCATCCACATGCGAGGGTCATTCAAAAACTTCGTAGACTTTTGTCATAACTTTTTTTATTTAATGTCATATTCAACCAAATTTAGTATATATATTTTAACAACAGATTCAAATATTTTGAGCGAAGAAATTGGAATTTATCGTGATTTATATTAAAATTATCAAAGATATAAGACAGCAAAAATGAAGTCACGGAGCAGGGTCAAAAATGAGTTATTGACTAATTATACACTTTTCATATCTATAGCCATAACTCTTTAAAATTGCCTTAAACGAAATAAAATTTAAATGCTTAAATTTAGTATTGTTTTATTATTTCAGAAGCTAAATGTTAAAGCAATATATTGCTTTGTTTAAAAGATATCAATTTCTAAAGACAGATAGTCTTGATTAAAAAAAGAGCAAAATATCATCACGTCGAAGGACGTCACGGAGCAGCGAGTAGCAATAAAAATTTGCTAAAACAAACTCCGAAAATGCTGAAGGAACCAGGAAAAATATATATAAAATGAACCGTGTATTTGTTTATATTGGAAAAGACAATTTTTGAGGGATAAGGACTTTGAATTCGACGATGGACAGTCTGCAAAGAAACATATTTTAGTTCAAAATCTCGTCAAAAGAGTTAGTAACGTCATGAAACGTGATGTGCACTTCACTGTTGCAAAACTTGTGAAACCAGAGTTACGCGGTAAAGAATTTAAAAACATTGACAATCTTACTTAAGGTACTCGAATTATTGTTAGCACACTAGGTGTCAAGTGTTATGGATGTGTTTTAATGAATGAGGAATACGATACTAACGATGTATAAAATGAAAAGGCAGAGTGAGTTTGAGAAACTTTCTCGACGTTGTTTTTGACGTTACAATGTTTTAACCGTGCTCCGTGGTCACAATACACATTGCTTTTAAAATTGGCTAACATGAGTTCCATTTAATCAAATAGAATGAAACTTCACACATCTATAAAATACATGTTTTACATATAAAAAACCTTCTGATATTTAACTTTGTAAAAATAATGTGACGATGAGGAACATTGTCTACGTATTTTTTGAATGACGCTCGTACATACATGACCGATGTCTTATTAACTCATATTATTATCTTTTTAAAAAACGTGTTTTTTCGTGCATTTTAAATTAATTTATATTTAACCTTATCACAGCCACATATTCCCAACAAAAAGTCCTTACGTCGCGGGTTCGTCCCACTGTGGGACATGTAGACCGGTCCTTCGGATGAGGCAGTATAAACCGAGACCCCGTGTCTCAGTAGTTCCTGGCACGAAAAAGAAAGCTCTCTGCCCAATGGTCATGAGTGCTGAGTACAGGACAAAATTTGTAGCTCTCCATCGGCAAGTGGTGGCGTCTCCATGAGTGAAAATTTCTCGAGAGGGACGTTACACAACAATCAATTATTCAATCCCAACAAAAATCTACTGCATTTTTTTAGGAAGTTGAAAGGTAATATACAAACTGTCTATACTTTCGATTAACTAAATCATAGGTGAATAAAGAATTTTTTAACAATATGTTATGGCTTCAGCAGGCAAAGCTAAATTGTAACAATATTGCCTTTGTTTGAAAGACTCACTATTTCAAATGCATTTTAGAAGACCTTGGTTTTAATTCTTGGTTTGAAAGAAAAAGATCTCATAGTTCAATTTCAAAGGAGAAAAAAATCTAACATTCCAGTCACCAGGTGAGTTTTATCTCCCCAACTTATACTGGATAGATTAACATAAATTCTGTTCACTTTTAAGTTTCATTCTTATGATGAATTGCAAACAAATCAGTCTTAATAAAATCATAATATTATGAACAAAGTCTTCAAAATACGGATAAGACATAGCTATAGCCCACGCCAAAAAATTAACGGAAATGAGTACGTATATAATTTAACTTCAACCAGACAAGCTTTTTTGGAAAAAAAAATCAATTGCTTGCATCACAAAATACGTATATACGATGTGCGCTTTGAATTTTATTTAACACGGAACAATTTACTAGTAGTCTGTGCTTAGTATTGTGTCTTTGGTTGTTAAAATTGAAATGATTTACTGTTCATAAATTTCCAACTTTCATGGTCAATCAAAAATTTGAAATTTATTCATACATGTTTGCTTAAAGTACGGTAATTGATTGATTGAATGTATGTTATTTTACGTCCCTTTCGAGAATTTTTCGCTCATGTAGAGACGTTACCATATACCGGAGAAGAGCTTCAAATTCTGACCTTTACTCGACAATGAGGGCCATTAAGCAGTGAGGGATCTTTTTCGTGCCAACGCCTGTCATAACCCGGGACCTCGGTTTTTAATGTCTCATTCGAAGGACTCACAACTTGCACTTCAAGTGCTGAGCACATCAAAGTGTGGTAATTAACAGTGTATATGATTTATGTAATTTGCATATCCAATCCCTGATAAAATAAGAATATTTTCCTTGTATTGAAAAATAAATGTTTTTAGTATAAATAATATATATTTCCTACTTAAATTAATGGCATGTAGTTCCTGGAACCGGGTATTTATTTAAATGACGAGAAGATTCACCAGAATGTATCATGCTGGTCTTTTGGACATATATAGATTTCTTTCACACGGAGATCCATACCTTGCATTCATTGCTTTTAATGATGTTGCTCTGGAATGGTAAGTTTCATGGTTACAATTTAGCATTACTGTTTCCAGTTTTATTCCGGCACTATTACATTTAAAAACGGATTTTGAAAGATACACAGAGCAACTCGTAAAATTTTGTAAAAGAAATAGATGAGATGTAATTTTAGCGATTTTATTAATTTTTAGCGATTTTAATTTTAGCGAACTTGGCACCCTCGTATTTTACAAATCTGTTAAATTAAAACGGCTTTTGAAACATACACTAAATAAATAGTAAAATTTGGTTAATGAATGATAAATATTTTAATCGTCGTTTAGGATTGCATGCTGAGAAAGATGATGGATACTCTCCTTGGTCTTCATGGAGCTGCTGTTATGAGGATGATTTGTACAGAGCAAGGGACTGTTTGACGAGCTGCACAGACGCAAAACTCTTCGATAGAAAGCCTTGTGAAATACATAACTGCGGTATGACAAATAATATTTATACTGAAATTGTATTGTCTATCGCCTTGGTTGTGCGTTGTGGATGTTTAATACATACTTTGATTATTGTTTATATACATACGTATAGATAGCTTGTAATCTTAACTGTTATCACGCTTTTTCTGAAAAAAGACATGTATTATTATTAGGGACCCTTTTTACTTTTTAAACCATTAATTTGTAACAAATATGAATTTAAGTATTACGTAAAATTGTACTTGTTTTTCGTTTTCAAATAAATGACTCTACATATATAGGAGAGCAAAATTTGAAGTCTTCGGAAGCAAAACCAAATACAACAGGTTCCACAAAAACTCCATCCACAGTCGCTGTATTTGGTACGTATCTCAGCAATGAAATACTCAAACAATGGATAAGACCTTGAAAGTATTAAAGACAACTCGACAAAATTCGTATGTGTATACTCATTTATTTGTATTATTCACTTGTGACAAACATGTATGGAATTAATTACTAATTTCCTTTTAATAAAAACATTAAGTTGCAGCATTACAAAGAATCTATAAAAAGATACGGAAATTTCATTTGATACTGAGGATCGTAAAGAGTCATTCGTATAGCAAATTGCCAATAATCATACTACTATAATTAGGAAATTTATTTTTTTTTTCAGAGCAAACTTCTTTAGAGAACCTGTTTTACACGCATGATGACAAAAGAAGATATAACCATCTTGATGTTGGCACTGTTGAATTTGCATCATCATCTACATTTGGTGAGTCACCTAGCAAATATATACAACACCATCTAATTGAATAAAATCAAAATAAACTGTGTACACTGTAAAATCACTTTTTGAGGTGTTAAAATATCATGATTTTGTGTTTTAATGACACCTTAGAAAATATATCCTCCACGAAGTTATATTTGTTATCTTTTAAAACCTCCACAAATTTAAAAATCAAATCCCCACGAACCATAACTCCAAAACCTCCAAAATTTGACCCTGCGAAAATAAATACATGTATCACTTTATTTACTTTCTTAAAGGTATTGGAATGATAACAACGCTTTGTGTATCCGTGCTGGTGATTGCTAATTTTGTCTTCACATTGTTCTTCTACCGCGCTTGGAAGAAAAAGTATTCAATTAATTGTTTATGTATTACTATATCTTTACATTATCTATTTAAAGTAAATATTTTATATACAAAATGTGTAGCGATCGAAACCTTTATTTCAATATAAAACTGACAATTTCTCCTAATTGACCATACCGACTTTTTTTAAAGAAAAGTATAACATAGTTGATAATATATTATACGTGTATTATAAATAAAATCTTGAAGTGATGATCAAGGGATAACGAAGTTTATTTATTATAACATAGACAAAAAATACGTCGCAGACAAAGTGGCATTGAAAGAAAACGTACATACAATGTGTTGGAGCAGTCTAGAAAGTCGAATCAACACCTGTACAACAACAACATGCCAGAAAATATATCTAGAAGATCAACAGACGACATCTACTCTAACGTCACAGAATCTATGTCGCTGTCCTCCTCCTGCCGATCTGATACTTACATGACAATTGAATCCAAAGACAGGAATACGTACACGGACATCAATTTCTCTGACAGCTTTGTACCACCACTCAGAAAGGAGAAGAGGGACAATCTCAAAACTCTGACGACGTTATTTGAAACACATACCCCTGAAGTTCTACGCACCATTTCAAAATTAAAAACTGTAAAAGTTGTTAGTGAGCCATGAATTCTTTTACCTATCTTTTATGATTCTTTTTGTACATGTATATAAATAGGTACACATGCATGAAGCAAAGGGTCGGTATCTTCGATAAATGTTTGAAAGGTTGAACGCTTTCAATCCCATAGAACTTGTCCCGAGTTATCGAAGAACAATTCATTCTTTCTAGAGACCAGCGTAAGCTCTAGAGTCGTGAAGTAAGGAGTTGATCCTTACTTCGAAGGTTTGAATCCCACGAAAAAGATACTTCCCTGCTCAATAGCCCTGGGACCGAGTACATGTCAAATTTGCACCTCACCATTGACAGGTGGTGACGTCTCCATAGGAGTGGAAAATCGTCGAAAGAGACATGAAACAACAAAACAAATTGAACAAGGCTTGGTGGTTTCCTTAATAATCTGTATTAACACTCTTAATGCAGATGCATCGGAAAAGGTCCACCATAAACAGATTTCTTTTACTTATCAAGAGGTGCAAGAAACTTTCTAATTTTGACATGCTTCATAATCCATTTTCTGTTATTTGAATTTTCAAATATGTCTGTTATCAAAATACATTTGACTTCTTTTGATTCAAATTGTTCATTTTAATGTTTATCATATTCAGGTTATAACATGACGTTAAATTAAACGCTTGTAAATGATATTTGTCAGAAAGTATTCCTTTCAGACAGGCCCTCGAGTAATTTTGTTCTTATTGCAAATTTGAGAAAAGAGGTAACTTACTCACGCAATAATGTATAGTGTATGATACTAGTATCTGGAATTCGTAATATCTATAAAGTATCGGCTGTAATTTTAGAAATAATTGTCAGAAAAAGGAATTAACCCTTCTTACTCTTATGCCCTGTTCACATGGAGAGTTTGATTCACAGCAAATTAATGCGAAGTAAACTAATGCGAATTAAATTGCGTTCACACGACAGCTAATGCGAAATATATACATTTGTGGTATCTTTCCATTATGATTATATAAACATACAGAGAGAAATTATCTTCAATTCTGTATGAAGTTTGTCAGAGGTCAGAAGTCAATAGATGGCCGAATCACACGGCGCAATAATATCTACCATTACTTAAAAATATAAAATGACTTGCTTTTCAATAGTTTTCATGCATAAAAAATGAACAAAATATTAAAGCAAGTGAAATAATTGTTTTATTTACTACGTAAACTAGTACTTCATACATTTTTGGCGATCGATTTCATTTAACCTGTGTGCATAGAGAATATACCGATAGAAACTAGCCTTTGTTTACAAGTTGTACGTCACTTTTGTCAGCTGCACAGTCTCTAACTTTTATCCTAAGATCGTAGATCTTAAGATTAATCTTCATGATATAGGCTAAAACTATATTTTTCCATTTAATTCTACTCACGATAAATGTGTAAATCTATCGGAAATCAAAGCAATGCAATCAAGTAGCAATTCTTCCTAAAAATAAAAATACAATATAAGGTCAAATGTCATTTTTCATTATTCTATGTTCATACAAGTATATTCTAAATGAAATTTGTTTAAACACCTTCTAGTTTCCATAAAATCAAGTGTTAGGTAGAGCCTACCTCAGACAGCGATGTGTGTCTCAAGGGAAAGATAAATTTGAGTTAGGAAGGATAACTCCTATCTATAACCCTTTTCTTTGTATTAGTGTAGCATAACACAGAACATAAAAAAATGGGATGCATTTAAATTCAACTTATTCACAAGATTAGTTTCATTCATAAGCAAATGTTGTCATAATTTTAGGCAATGAAACTACACAGAACATGTCTACCATGAAAATATATGACGTAAGTTGAACAAAACTATAAACAACAGGGAGGTAATAAAGCACATAATCATCACCACTTCAATATACTTAAAAAATGATCACCAAAAAGTGCTGCCTCTGTTCAAACTGTAATTTTGCATAAAAATATCTAAACATATTTTGCACTTTTTAATTGATGGGTTAGCTTAGGTTGGGCAGAAATACCTTTGCAAATAATTTTTTATTCTCGATGACAAATTCATAAAACGTGCCTTTAGAATGATTTTTGTTAACATTTCAAGTTGTAACAGATAAAAACTGAGTAAAAATAGCTTTCTATGAACCTAAAAAAATTATATTTACCTTGTTCGGACAATGTCATACGCCAGGGAAGTATTTCAAGTAGAACTCACGACCTGATACTTTGTTTGTCTATTCAAGAGCAATATCAACAATATAACACAGAGCTTTTTTACAGACGATAACATTAAAACATCAAATGTTGTTTTCAGGCTTAGAACATAGGGTTTTAGAGTAAATTTTTTGGCATTATGAGAGAAGGGCTTGATTTGAATAGATAAAAAGAAAAATAGAATCTTACCTCTCTAGATGGCATAATTTTCTATTTTTTGGCTTGATTACACTTTTTACATCTGATGATAATTTTGGGATAAGAGTTCCAAAAAATTACGAAAGGTTTTCTGATTTATTGTTAAAAACATTAAGCCTATCGAAATTAGGATACTATCGAAAATAGGTAACGTCACAATATTCTTAGCCTGTCACGAATTCAATGCATAACCGATTTTCAAGCCGATTTACACCTTGCGTACTCTTGAAGGAAATCTACGGCGACCGGTTAGTGCAATATTTATATCCAAAAATATCGAATTTAATGTTTAATTGTCCGTCTCAAATGTATATATAAGTAATAGATAACAAGTTTATAAACTTCAAAAGGAATTGAAGTGGGTCGGTATATGATCAAATCTTCCGAGAAGGCCTTCTGCCTTCACAGGATTTGATCACGTGACCGACCCACTTCAATTCCCACTGAAGTTTATAAACTTGTTATTTTTCCTTAAGGACGTTCGATCCTGAGATTTTGAGCGTAATTTGGTCAGGTCCTTTATTTATAAAATTCTGCATCATTTTTAAGTTCTAACATTAAATCTGAATTCTACAGTGCAAATTTAACTATATTCAATGAAAAAACAGCGAATAAATTCCATTCAAGTAGAATTAAGATAGGGACTATATTTTGTGGCGGAAGGTTTTTTAGACGAAAATGATAAGTTTTTCAATTTTGAACTATAACATTACTGTTAATTTAGGATTTCTATTTTTCCATCCTGGTTGCACAAAACCTATTTTATGCAGTTAAATGTGTTACGCTGCTTCTAAAATATCTTTTGAATTATTTCTTATGAATTCTATCAACAAAGTTTGACAAATATAGTAAATATATTCTGAAAATCCGGGAAAAAATAGAGCCAATTTTAACGTAAAATTGACACTTTTGTAGTAATATCTGAAAATTTACATTTTATACCCCGCTTTTGATGTTCTTTTCTAAATATTCAAGATAAATTTGGCCTATTTGCTTAAAATCAGAAAAAGTTTAAGACTTTAAAAGAATTTTCTTGCCTATTAAATTTTCAATGCCAGAAAAATCACTTTTTGTTAGTGCAGAAAGGACAAATAATTGATTATGCGAAGCAATTTAAAATGTTTTCTTAGTCACACCTTTTAAGTGTCTTTTTTTAAACAAACTTAGAGTTCATTTTGTTTAATGCTTTAATTGGATAAAAATATAAGAGGGAAATCGTTCAAAAATATAATTTTTAATTAAGACACAAATTTCAGTGCAAAAAGGTCATATTAAATGAACTGTAGCGCCAAAAGATGCGTATTGACCCCCATTTTTTTATTTGAATTTTAATTAAGCTATGTTTGTAGACACTAAAAATATACTTGGCAAAAAAGTTTAAGACTTTAAATATCAGGATCGAACGTCGTTAAGTAAACTAATGCGAATTAAAATTTTACTTCTGCAGCCCGGCGTCAGCACGGCTATTATGACGTCATTTGCAAATCACGTCACCTTCTCCAACTGACATAATGTCACAGTGTCTGTACACACATTTTAATGATTAACAAAATTTTCCTTAGTTTTCACTCAAAAATAGCACAAGTTTCTATAGCTGACCATCGAAAGGTGGTATTTGACTAAATTTTGCCATTACGCATGCGTCAGAATTTAATTCGAATTAGCTTCGCTTAGCGTTCACATGGACATGATGGAGCTAATGCGAAGTAATTTAATGTAAACTCAAAAACTCTTAAATTCTCGTGTGAACAGGGCATTAATCTCCGCAGGGCATTAATGCGCAGTAAACTTATTCGAATTAAACTAATTCATTAATGCCCTGTTCACAATTCTAAATTAATGCGAAGTAAACTAATGCGAATCAAATTAAGGTATACCTTTACTCAGATGACTAAAAAATTCCACTGATGACAACGAAAAACCACCTATTGCACATTTTACACCTATAATTCTTGTGTTAAATTTTGATTTCAAATAATTAGGTCAATGACTCTTTTCATGCTAGTGTGAACAAAATACGTTGATTTTTCACACTATGACCAATTTTTTCTTCAACAAAATATTACAAGCAACAAAACTCTTTAAATATTGAAATATTATTGCAATGAAACTCTTGTTGCTTCATATAAAGAAACGTGAACAGGGTCAAAAACTTTTAAAATTACAGAATTTCCTCTGTCATATTTGTATTTTTCCCCATTTTTAATCGAATATTAAAAAAATATGACTGATGAGAAATTATTTATAGCCTCATATTACCTTTGTTGCCATAATTCTCATGGTATTAACATTATATGGGATCAATGATCAAATTATTGAGATATATTGCCTGAAATGGTTTGCTCATATTTCTGAATTTCTTTATTTAATAGCATTTAATTATTTGAAATAATTTATTATCTTTAAGACATATAAAATTTGAAAAGTGATGTCTTACAATCTTTACATTTTGAAAATTATTGCAAGAAATAAAAGATTTTGAAAAAATGGTTTCACATTATCATTCACAAAAACAATTTTGTTTATATTTTCTTTAATAAAATATGAAATTTTAAAATTGATATTGTGTTAAAACTTAGTATTTTATCACATTTAAAACAATTTTGATTTAATATATTATACTTTATGAAATTTCCTTTCTGTTTTCTCAACATTCCTTAATGCGTTAAATTGCGTTCACACGACAGCTAATGCGAAGTAAACAATGCGACAGTACAAAAGTCATTTTTTTCAATCCTTTGATACATCATGTAGCAAATCATTGATTTTAGTGATTAACTTTTTCCAAATATAGCACAAATACCTATATATAACTTTGTGATTAATTCTGGCCTTACGCATGCGTCAAAATTTAATTCGAATTAGCTTCGCTTAGCGTTCACATAATAATTTTTGTAAATTATTTAAACTTCCGTAAAACAAATAATTTCTGTAAGAATTACAACGTAGATTAAATATAATCGTTTGTAATATATTTGTTTCAAAGATTCCGTGTGAACGATCTTCTTCTTGTTACTCACCGAGTAATAATGCAAAATGAAAGGTTTCATTTTTCACAAAAACAATTTTGTTTATAAACTTTGCATTTAAATAAGGCAGCTAGTACACAAGGTCTGTAAACTCACTTTTACATATCATCAACATTACGTGGTTTAGAATAGTACAAACAGTACAAAAGTATTTTTTTCAATTGGTAAATCAGTTCTTTTTCCACTATTTCTTTGATAGAAAGAATCTATCCAGCAGGGCCTCATTGATTTTTGTTTATTTATTCGTAAAACAAATAAATTCTGTAAGAATTACAACGTAGATTAAATATAATTGCTTGTAATATATTTGTTTCAAAGATTAACGATCTCCATTGTTACTCACCGAGTAATTATGCGAAATAAGCATTTTTACTAACAAAGTTAATTTCAGCATGATTAGTTTAAATATGCTTAATAACATTTTAAATTGAAAAAAGATAGAGTGTAAATTGATTTGAAAAAAAATCTTGTTGGGTTGTCATGTTAGGACATGATATATTATTCCGGTAAATTGATTTTCAGAAAAATCTTATTTATCCCTATAAAAAAACCCAACGTACATGTTTAACATTTTCACTTTCTTACAAAACACTCGTGTTGCATAATTGCATACTTGTCAATATATAATTAAGTTTAGATGCATTTTCGATTGATAAAAAATAAAAGGAAGAAATGTTTTATCCTTATTTCATGATGCAGGAAGTGACAGTAATTACCACGAATTACATATAATAACATCATGAGATTGTAACTTTACTTCTGGTTAATGTGACGATTATAAACATCTGCTTTCCTTGATTATAAAAAAAATTATACTTAAGTCTAGTGTTTCGATGAGAAAATCTTCTAATGACATAACAAACATCGAGAAGAAAATTTTAAGTTCTTCGTTCATAGTCGAAAGTAGATTCTTTTTATCCGCTTAAAAAAAATGAAGTCTGATATTTTCATAAACGTTCTTTATGGAGGACCAAAAAAAGTAAGAACGATGAATCTCATTATTTGATTCATGTAAGTTTAGCCATCTAAAATTAAGGCTTTTTTTAATAAAAGAAATTGAATTTTTAAAAAAAAATTGGATCTGTCTTAAATGTTCTTTGAGGTAAGCAAGCAAACGTAAAACAAAAATAGAAATATTATTGTTCAGAAGAATTTTTATCAGTGTTTCTACCTTATTAAACAATATACTCCAAAGTCTTTAATTTAATTTTTCATATAATTGATTGTAAACATAAGTAATATGGATTTGATATTAAAACGATGCTTAAGTTTCTGATTCTGATTGACAATATTGACAAATCAAGGCCAAAATGCACGATCCTCTCCCATTCTGGCCGTGGTTGAATGAAAAGAGAATATTTCGTAGCTCATTTAAATATTGACAAGTGTTAGTAAAGCATAGTCGGAAAATGAACTTTGATACGATCTTTCAATAACCCATCCAGTTTACAAATTATTTTTGTTTAATGATGATGTCAACTGTTGATCTCAATTAAGATGGAAGCAAACATTGTCATTGGCTAAACATTACGTCACAGCACAGAGGCGTAAATATTCAAAAATACTACAATTGATGTTATCAAGCAGTCAAGCAGCCACGGACTACGAACCGTGGATTGAGACGACGCATCTTTGTAGTTTTCGGAGATCAAGTCTTCCAAACAATCTGTTACGGTACTAATTGCGCCCCGTTGTTTGCAGACCTATTTGTGTATTTTGTGAACCAATCTTAATAAAAAAAACCTCGACAACTCGATATTTCACTGTAGGTCGTGGAGACCGGCCATTCGGATGAGATCGTGTCTAGTATAGGGCAAAATGTGAAGCTCTCCACCGGTGGCGTCTCCATATAAGTGAAAAATTCTCGAGAGAGACGTTAAACAACATACAATCGATCAATCAACTCGACATGTTGTTAAATCGACTACGTATATCAATTAGCATTAGTTTCTTCCATTCATATGTCGACTAGATATAGAAGAATCACAGTGAGCTTGAAATAAAATTTAAGATCCCCAAGAATCTGACATTTGAATGTTTTAATTGAAGAAAAACATTAATGGTAACCTAACAACCAAGCTTTTTGAAAAACGTGATCAGTAAAACTTCTCAATTGTTACTAATGCAGCAATATACCTTCATCAACTGCACACGGCGTTTATATCTCTCCCGTTTCTTCGATACGCAAGAACAATTTATAAAACGACGCAAGCTATATTGGCAAACTAGTTGATGAAACAAGGATGTCAACAGTCTCCCTTGAGGTCATTATTTTGCGTTATTTTGTCTAAACAATGACAGTGTCAGCAAATAAAACCTATCGTTGAGTCAAATGCTCACTGATGTTTATCAATCTTATTGTTGGGCAATTATTTATACAATGAATAGTGTATTTTTCTTTTTGTTTTTCCCGATCAAGAAACGGATTACGCTAGCTGTGGGTGTGATACCTTTACAGGTGATACTCACTTTTCCTTAGCAGTTGACCTCACTCTTATGTTTTATGGGATATCATTTGCTCTGCTTCTTATTAAAGTATCTTCATGAATGCAAAAATACCAATACGTTATGTCACTATGAATAATATCTCACAATTCCAATAATACGAATCGGGAATAGAGCAAACACGGACCTCTGAAAACATTAGAGGTGGGATAAGGTGCCACTGAGGAGCAAGTATCCCTTGTTTACCAGTCTCATACAGAAAATCAATAAAAGGCGCAATATTGTTATATTGTTATTCATCAAAGTCATTGAATATGTGTTCATAAGAAAAAAGTTAATCTCCTAATATTATACTTTATGATAGGTAGAATTGTTGGTCTCTGATATCATTGTGCACATTTTTCCCGTTACAGCTACTACAAAACAAGAAGTTGCCCGCGTTACGCTGTGGCAAGAAAGTTTTGTGAGGTAAGGATTTGATCTTTACGACGCGTGTTCACATCCTAATATTGGACGTGGAGACCGGTTCTTCGGATGAGACCATATAAATCGATGTCCATGTCGCAGTAGGGGCTGGTACGAAAAAATACTCTGTTCAATGGTCCGAGTATAGGACAAAGTTTGCAGCTTTCCACTGGCATATGAATGAAAAATTCTAGAGGTGGACGTTAAATGGCATACAAACTAGAATACCTTTCAGTTTGATATATTCTTCGAAATACATTTATTAGTAAATTAGAGGAAAATATTTTGAAATACATTTAATCATCCCGATGGTACGATCCGGAAAGAATACTATTTAAAAAATCACTGTAAAGGAACTTTTGTATTCACAATTATAACGTGCCTGGAATAGTGTTATGCATTCCTAATTATTTTATTTTCATGTAATTAGTGTTCCACTTCACAAACATTTAAAGTGGTATTAGTCACAAAGAGAGATAGAAACACGATCATAATGTCCGGCCAGTCAGAAATTGAGTATCGTGAAGAACAAGATGTGGGTGAGATTTATTTCTTATGCTGAAGATTTTATCAAAGAAAGTTAAATATAATAATTTTTTATAGTATATGTGACCAACCAACAAGAAAGATATAGATATTGGCATTCAACCCTAACTGCATGACATATTTATAAGCCTGTTTTGATCTTCTCTATTATCTAGGTTATTTGTATAATTTTAACGATTTTGTACCTTCCTTATTTTTTAGCCTGTGTGTACCTTCCTTAATAGTCTATTTGTGTATTTTTAGTTGGAAGTTTATTCATACATTTTCTATTTTGTAGCTATTTTTAAAAAAATTTTTTTGTCTCTAGTCCGTTTATAAATTCTTTTTATTTAATAGCCTATCAGTACCTTCCCTATTCTAGCAAATGTCTTCCTTTTTGTAGCATATTTGTTCCTTATCTTATTTTATAGCATATTTATACATCATTATTTTGTTCTGCAGCTTATTAGCCTATCTGAACCTCCCTTATTATTAGTCTATCTGTAACCTCCTTATAATGTAGCCAGTAATTGTGCCTTCCTTATTCTATAGCCTATCTGTATCCTTTTTATAATATAGGCTATCTGTACCTTTCTTATAATGTAGCCTAACTGTGCCTTCCTTATGTTATAGCCTATATGTACCCTTTTCAAATGTAGCCAGTATCTGTACCTTCCTTATTTTGTTTCCTATCTGTACATTCCTTATTTTGTGGCCTATCTGTATCCTTCTTATTATGTAGGCTATCTGTACCATTCTTATAGTGAAGTCTATCTGTGCCTTCCTTATTTTATAGCCTATCTGTATCCTTTTTATACTATAGGCTATCTATACCTTTCTTATAATGAAGTTTATCTGTGCCTTCCTTATTTCATAGCCTATTTGTATCCTTCTTATACTATAGGCTATCTTTACCTTTCTTATAATGTAGGCTATCTGTACATTCCTTAGTTTATAACCTATCTGTATCCTTTTTATTGTGTAGGCTATCTGTACCTTTCTTTTAATGTAGACTATCTGTACATTCCTTATTTTATAACCTATCTGTATCCTTCTTATAATGTAGGCTATCTGTGCCTTTCTTATAATGTAGCATATCTGTACATTCCTTATTTTATAGCCTATCTGTATCCTTCTTATTGTGTAGGCTATCTGTACCTTTCTTTTAATGTAGCTTAGCTGTGCCTTCCTTATCTCATAGCCTATTTGTATCTTTCTTAAATGTAGCCCTTATCTGTACCTTCCTTATTTTGTTTCCTATCTGTACCTTCCTTATTTTGAAGCCTACCTGTACCTTCCTTATTTTGCAGAATAGTTTTACCTTCCTTAGTTTGTTGCCTATTTTTTTGACCTTACTATAAAATCTATCTGTACTTTTCTGATTTTATAGTCTATTTAACTTATTATGTATTCTATCTATCTTCTTCACTTTGGCAGTCTATTTTTATCTTCCCTATCTTTAAAAGTCTATTTTGACCTTACTGTTTGACAGATGTTGGCGTTGTGGTCCTCTGCGGGATATTTATGTTGCTGTTTTTCAACATTATATGTGTGTGTATATTCTACAGGAAGTGGAAGAAAAGGTACGTATTTCCATGTAAATGACTTGAACAGCCATCTGTTGATATTTCATTCTAAAGATATTTACCAAAATCATATTTTTATTCCCTATATACATTGTTTATCTAAATTACATACTATCAACCCTTACCAATCACAATTGTCTCTATTTAAAAAAAAGGTGTAGACGTGCTCACTTTTTTTATTTGATTTAAATGACAATCTTCGGGTATAAGGTGCAAGAAGTCTAAAATTTCTTTGTAAATCTAAAATTTTACATGTGCAGTAAACTTTAAAAAAAATTGTTCACCATAGCGACCATTTGGGGATTGAGAAACGTTTCTAAACGAAATAACAACAGAAGAAATGACTTGATTTGCTCGATGCACACATACTTAATTTACACTAGTGTCCTAGCTGTAGTAAAAATTAATTCTTAATAAAAAATTTTCTTAAGTTTAAACATATGTTCGAATAATTTTATGGAAAAAATTAAATCTTTCAAAAAATAAAGAGTTTATAATGTATATAAAAATAAAGAGTTTATAATGTACATCGTATGTCAACCTTGTATCTTCTTCCGAAGAGTTTTTGGTGGAAAGTCTATTCCTCAACCAAACAAACTTTTTGATCTCTCTTTCATATCTTTTAAACAGACCAAGAATTTTCTTTTACAGGCAGAACAAATTCCGTCTGGAGTATATAAGATATGGGCGATCAGAGTATCTACGAAGACATAGAGCTCAGCCAATCAGAATATCATTCAAGTACATACCTGATTGGTTTCAGCGGAATTGGAACAACCGATTTGGCATTCAGTCGATGAGAAATAAGAGAAGACAGCATAGACCACATTTATCTAAACTGATGCAACCAAATTTGTCCACCACGAAAGGTTTTCGTAATCAAAAAACATCAAACTCACTCCAAAGTGAACAACGCAAACGCCATCCACGGAAGACAAAAATCATAGTGAAGGACGGGTTATTATCGAACAGGATAAATCTGTTTAAAGAAGGAGTGACCAAGGATGGCACTATGGATGAGAAAACAATCCTTAACACAGAATCTTCACAAAATAGAGAATCAAAGGGACTTTCAGACACAAACAACAAGCATTCTATAATTGATATAAAACAGATTCGCCCATCTACAGGGAGGTCATCAAATCAATGTCCTTCAAAGGTCTCAGAGGTACAGATACACAAGGAAAAGGCAGCAGGGGACGCTTGTTATAAGAGAGCTACGAACTCCGTTAAACAGTCGATGGATGCATGTCCAGAAAAAACTTCCAACAGTAAAATAGAAACACTCAGTACATTATTTCTTATTCATTCTGATGATGTATCAAACGTTTTATCGAGGATGGGACACAAAAACCAAACTAAATGAATAGGGTGACAGTTGATAATAAGCATATTTTATATTATTGTCTTCAAAATAATTACTTGAAGGCTAAATGGAATACTGTATTGTAAAGATAAAATTAACTACAATGTATAGGTTTATCCTGGAACTGATAGTATTATGGGTGTATTTACATATAAAGTGATATAAATAGTATTAAAGCATTCATTCTGGTGAAGACCACTCATCACCTTGGTTCTTCCAGGACTTAAAAATTGTATCAAAAATGGATAAAATGAAAGAACAACTCAACTTATTTAAAATTGAGCTTTACATAACCCGTTTATCTCGTACTTCTCTATCAGTATCTACCTCCAATCGTCATCCATAAAGTCAGGTATAAAAATGTTCAAAAGTAGATCCTAATATAATTACCGAGGAACTGCCGAGACGAATAAAATGGGCAAAATCTATACTCAAAAATAACTTATTGCTCAAATGCCTAAATGCCTAGTGGTAGTCTTAATTTAACCTCTCCATTAGCAATTGGTGGCGTCTCAATTTAAAAGTTAAAAGTTCTCGAAGTGACGTTAAAGCAATATGAGCTGCAAGTTTGATGTCTGAAATTTCTGTTGCAATATTGAAATTAAACAAATGATCCCAAAAAACAAAACATTTATAAACTTCTAATCTTTATATCTAAGGCAGAAGAACGATTTATTTGCTCTGATTGAAGCAAAATTACATTATTGTCGCCCTGTACTTTATTGATTTCTTATATAATACTATACATTCCTTTGTAAAAATCTTTCTTTTGAAAACGAAAAACATAATGGTTTGAATTACATACAGATTCATATTAACAGCAAATTTAAAACAACATTAATATTCAGTGGCGTGGAAAAAAAGGTTGCAGCATACACATCATTTTCTCCGGTATAAAAATTCGTTTAAATAAAGGGGTGGGGAGTTGATAATTAAATCGAACCTATTAGTTTATTTAGTCGCAAATGCTAAAAGCATTCTTAGCACTTTACACGTTAATACCTATCCAATTATGTTTACAGTTTTGTTTTATATTAAATTTTAGGGATAAAACTATTCCCTAAGCTGGAAATGTTTTAAGCCAAAGTTCAAGTGTTATTCAAGTGTTATTAAGTAACTATCAGAAAATTTCATCGAAAGCAACAGGAGTCCATAATAATTGAAGGAAACGAAATTGATATTATGAATTATTATTTCGATAGTAGGAAATTCAACATATTGATTGAATTTTGATTATTCAGTAAGGAAGTTTCTATATTTTCTAAGCAGAGTTAAAGGATAAATTAAGAGCTATCAATTTTGTTAAGTTGTCTTCACATCGCTGTATAAACTGTAAATATATTTACAATATTATTTCACACGTCAAATTAAAATAAATTATTGTAGGTGTCTGAGTTTGCAAAAAATACTCCCGTTGAACCCCCTCCCCCCGGTCTAATACCAAGCGAGAGGAAGCTCATTTTCTACCAATACTTTGCACCTCAGGTTAAATATGTGACTTCACACTAGCCTACACATTAGCAGAAAGAAATATACGCCACTGATATCTCCAAAATGCAGCTCATATTGCTTTAAACAACAGACAAACAAAAACTTATTTCATGTTAATACCCTGAACAAGGTTATGTTTTAAGTAAAAAAATTTTTATTGTCAAGAGAATTTTTTCTCAAAATAATTCGATATATGCCTGCATCATATTAAACTGAATAAAAAGTATGTGTATTATTTCATGCTGATGTTCTCGTTCTCTTATTAAAGGTACTTGGACACAGATTTGAAGTTAATATTTTTTCTGTAATTTTACCACTTATATATTTTAATAGCATTTCACACAAAAATTAATTAAAAATCTTATTTCATATAAAAGTTATTAAAATTTTAATTTTTTTGGCGGGTTTGATTGACAAGTGGCAGTCTTGTTGTGTATTAATGAAAAATATTAATACTATAATCCAGAAAATTCAGTGTAGACATGTTCGAAAGCAAAACAAACACACAATATATTGTCAGTCCGTGCAGTTGTGGTGAGCAGACTTTGGCCGTTGAACGCACCCGGTGAACCAAAACACCAAACAATAACAAAGCTTTCGCCCTGTGTACAAAATACTGTGTACATAACACGAGTGTGCTCGATTTGCTAAACTCTGTACACAACGGAATGACGATACTTGTGAAGGGGTTTTGCTTTATAACATTTCTACTCTGAATAAAATTATTTTTCTGGATTTAAGTTTTAATGTTTCTCATTAATACACAACAAGATTGCCACTTTTCCTAAGGATTAAGAATAAAGTTAAAATTTGTGAAAGTGAAAGGATGTGTCAATCAAACCCGCCAAAAATTAAAAGTTTTAATAACTTTTAAAGGTACTTGGACACAGATTTGAAGTTAATATTTTCTCATTTTTTCTGTATAATATCACGAATTATATATTTTAATAGCATTTCACACAAAAATTAATTAAAAATCTTATTTCATTTAATAGTTATTAAAACTTTAAATTTTTTGGCGGGTTTGATTGACACATCCTTGCACTTTCACAAATTTTAACTTTATTCTTAATCCTTAGGAAAAGTGTCAATTTTGATGTGTTTTAATGAGAAATATCAAAACTTTTACCAAGAAAAATAATTTTATTCAGAGTAGAAATGTTAGAAAGCAAAACACCTTCACAAGTTTCGTCATTCCGAACTAAGAGATGCGTACAGAGTTTAGCAAATCGAGCACACTCGTGTTATGTACACAGTTTTTGTAAACAGGGCTCGAGTTCTGTTATTGTTTATGTTTACAATTCACCGGGCGCGTTCTATCGTCACAGTCTGCTTACCACAACTGCACGGACTGACAATATATTGTGTGTTTGTTTTGCTTTCGAAAGTGCCTACTCTGAATTTTCTGGATTATAGTATTAATATTTTTCATTTATACAAAACGAGATTGCCACTTTTCCTAAGGATTAAGAATAAAATTAAATTTGTGAGAGTTCAAGGATATGTCAATCAAACCCGCCGAAAAATTTGAAATTTCAATGTCTTTTAAACGAAATAAGATTTTTTATTAATTTTTGTGTGAAATGCTATTAAAATATATAAGTCGTAATATTATAGAGAAAATGGTAACTTCAAATCTGTGTCCAAGTACCTTTAAATGCAATAAGATTTTTAATTAATTTTTGTGTGAAATGCTATTTAAATATACAATTCGTGATATTATACAGAAAAAATTAAGTTCAAATCTGTGTTCAAGTACCTTTAACCTCTGCAAGGAATATTGAAGATAGTCATAACAAAATAAATATTGTTCTAACTAGTATCAAATAGGGCTGGTTCAAAGCAGAAATTTGATATAACCAATAAGATTTTTTTCTTTTGCTTACTTATCATAGTTACATGTATGTATGTTTGTATGTAAATTAAAGTTAATATAATAAGAAAATGTCATTTTAATACCATTAAAAATATTACAATACATATCGCAATGCAGTTAAAAATGTACCGCAATATACCGCAATACCAATTTAATATTAGTATATATTATATGATTGAATAATTCCATCTCTCTGACTGGCTGAGATCCAACTATGTTAGAAAAATAATGTTATGACCTGTACGTGACGTTCTAGGTCAATACAAGGATTTATTTCTTCAACATTGATCTAAAAATAGATTGGAAAATTCCAAATTGATACAAATTGTTTTGGAAAGCTATTTAAACGACTATGGGTTTTTTTTTTCATGTGAACAAAACATAAGCGATTTATATATTATATTTTAGGGTGAGGGTGGTAAGAGGGGATGTAGGGACCCCCCTCCAAAACTTTTACTGAACAACAATTTTTTTTTTGCTTTTTGGCAGTCAGTTTTCCCTGATAATACTCCTTCCTTTCAAAATCTATCAAATAAAAAAGACTAAAATTATATATATTTTCATGGCAACTAAAATTGATAAATAAAAAAAAATTTCAAATTGATACGACTGGTAAGGTTTATTCACATTTTAATTCTGCTTCTCTCTTGTATTTGGCTAGGACTTAATAAAATGCAAACAAGTAATGAGCTGTATCATTTTATCAGTGAATCATATAAAAAAAACAATTATTGCTGTTTTTTGAGGTCAATACAATGATTTAGCTATCTTCGAAGTATATATTCACCTCGCCCTTCGGGCTAGGTAAATATCGTACTCCTCAAATGGCTAAATCATTGTACTGACCTAAAAAAACTTCAATAATTGTATAATATATAACATATCGCAATTTGGCCAATATCCAGCGACCATAAAACAGTTCCTGTCTTACTGCTTGCCTTAATAACAAACCTTTCTTGCATTTATTCATATATTTAATGATAAAATTCAAAAACGTATTGAGATACGATATTGTTTGTCGCTGTATTGCAATATACCAAAATATCGATATTTATGCCAAGCCCTAGTATCATACAGCTAATTTTCCTAAGACTAAAATACTCAATTTCAGCAAAGCTGTAAAGAGCATAAAAACTCTTTATTCAAAAACTTATTTCTTGAATCAGTTAAAATATTATTAATATCTTGGTTTTCTTCTTTAAAATTTTGTACGTTCACTTATTAAGCACAAAATCAATAACATAAAAACACATTAAAAGCATATTGCAATTTGCATAAGGATATCATAAAACTAAATTAAGATGTGAAAATATTATACGAATTGCGCCCCTTTATTCATGCATCTATTTTTATATTCATATGAAGCAGAGTTTATTCAAAATCCTATACATGAGAAGAAGAACACACTGGATAGATATCATATAAATATTGTATTTACTCAACTACAGGCAATATAAATTATTTTATGCTGAATGTTTTATACAAATACGCATTACAGTGGTACTTACACGCATGTAATTTGCGCAGTCAACATTTTATAGAATATCACCCGTCGAAAAGCAATGTTAACTACTGTGGCTTCATTATTCAGCTTCATCATTCAGCGAGTACATGTAATAGTGTTTTTTTTAAACAAATGTTTCCCGACGAATCAGATTCAAGCAATTTAAATGAAAGCATAATATTTTGAAATATCGACGACGTGTTATCAAACGACACAAGTTATTTCTATATATGTATCAACACGATATATCCCTGATAGCTTGAAATAAAACATACCATAGAGTTTGGCAATCAGTTTCATATTTGGATAGACGTCAGTGGTAACCAAACAAAAAAGCTTCATGATAAACGTTTTGACTGATTATGACTTTCCAATTGTCAACTTCTCTTACTTATGCAGCAATATACTCTTTTTTACATTTCAGTTCTTCATCATTTAATTTTGAACTGTATAAGTTCTACTATTATAAATATAACATCTTTGAAATTTAATGGTAATGTATTTTCGCTATCAGGTAGCTCTTATCTTGGTTTGAAGTTGTTTTCTTTTATTTTTCGCAATATGCTCTTATCACCTGCATACAGGTTTTATATCTCTAAGTTTATTTGTTACATAAGAGCAATCTCAACGTACGAACAATTTCTTAGACAAGTCAAGTTATTGTCAAATAAGTTGATGAAACAAAAAATATCAACAATTTCGTTTAAAGTCATCATTTTGAGACATATATGATCTAGTTATCAAAGGGGCAAAGCTGATAGACTTTTTTCATACTAATAATTGGGTCATTTTTACACATCGAATTGTCGATGGATCTTCCATTGTATGTATTTCTCGATCAGGACAAGACGCACACGACGGTTGAGACCGATCGGCAGGAGATGTTCACTCCTTCGTGATACCTGATCTCATCTCTGATATTAAAGGTCCATTTGCTCTGCTCCTGATTTTTATTGTTTGAATATAGACTTTTTGGTGTGCTACATTTTGGTTTTTTTTTCATACATTTCATTCATTAATTGGGCCGCATGACTGTGCAAATTTTAATGTATAGAATCAATATCTGAGGTGTTTTCAATCCACATTCCATTAATTAACAAAGATAAAACATTTAAACAGTTTTGAATGACCCAAAATGTGAAGAAAATACAAAAAAAATAAATTAAAGTGAAATTGACGTGTTTTTTTTTTTTTTTTTTAGAAAAACAGCAAACTTGCATTATTATTTTGTAAGTTAATCATTGATTTCCTAAATTTTTATGACACATGTTTAACAACTGGCATAAATTGAAAAATAAAAAAAAACTTTCCTGTTTTGGTTGGGTTAGTATTATGACAGACAAAAACTTTTATGTTAATTAAAAAAAAAATAAATCTACGTTTTAAGAAGATATAAGATCAGGACAGTAACTAAACCATCCCGACAGTGACTAAAACTGTCAAAATTTCTCCAAATGTTTAGTGTTAGCTAAATATGACGTTTTAACTTTGACGTCACAGCCTTTCTTTACTAGCTGTGTAAAGAAAAAATCATTTTGTTTCACTCGGGAAATAAATTCCAACCTCAAACATTGAATACTCTCTATACATTTTCATAATCTGAAAAAGATCCAAACCTGACAATAAAAAATTAAAAGAGTTCCCGTTGTGAAAAGCAAATTTCCTGAATTAAAACACAGCCATGTGGAGTCCTCTTGTATACAATGATCTCCTCAATCATCAACATCCGTTCAAATAACAGATGATATGTTATTTTTAAAATATCTAAATATTTATTTTATATTTTTGATTATTTTTTTTTTAAATAAATAAGCCAGGTCCCTTTTCAGACTCGGTATCGAAAATTTGAAAAGTACAGTAAATGGTCACAATTAAGTTAGAAGTTTTAAATGAGAAAACTTTAAAAGAAAACGTGATTATGTTTATGTTTGATCTGGACAGTCTTTAAATAAAGATTGATTTCAATATAAAAGACAAATTTAGAACCAAAAAAAAAAATAAAGATGTTTGAGACACAATTCTATACAATAATAATTTTGCAGACCAGATGTAATTTAAGGTCATTCAGCCTTGTTCACGTTATCAGAACTTACTCTGAACTGACATTGAATTTAAAATGTTTGTGTATTCATGATTTTGAAGACAAATATAAATGCATGACAATATAAGGGACATATTATATTCAGTTCATAGAACGCAAAGATTACCCTCATTCCCGATTTAACAATTATAATCAGCCATCTCAAAATTAAATTATATATACTTATGATAATATACAAAAATTTTAATATCTTCATTATTTCTACTTTTTTAAAATATTAAAATTCTTGAAGTAAAAATCTGATCAGGAATTATTTATAGAATGGACAAGTACACTTAAAATTGAAGGTTTTAAATAGTACATAAAACAAATAATAAGCACGCAGAACATTTTTTTTCGAACATAGAACGATCGAGTCGTCTTGAAGTAAAAATCTGGACAATATGTCTCAGTGGTTAATATTTGTATTTTCTTTGATAGGAGTATACAATATGATTGGTAAGTATAAACATTCACATAAAAAAGCCTTTTGTATCTTTTGGAAGAAAAAATGTTCCACTAGAAAGAATTTTTTTAAAAATGTAAGAACTTATATGCATTAAATGAGAGAGTCCAACATATCCCTCATAATTTTGATTTCACTCGAAAATTTTAAAACAAATGATTTTTACTAAAAATTGTTCATTTGTATTGTGTAGGTGCAATATTAATAGAGAAATTAATCTGAATATTTTTACTTTGGGGTTACTTTTTCGAATTACTGGACTACAAGGTCAATACCAAAAATTGATATATTTTACATGGCCTTTGTGATCAAAATTAATGAACAAAGTGTAGCTTATAGATGTTTTATCTACTGTTCAGCTGGAAAAAATTAATTGTAATTGAAAGACAATTTTTTTTTACTTCGTGAAGATTTTTATGGAAAATGTCAGGACTATTTTAATGGCCTTTACTTATATCAAAGATGCAGTACGGTGATTTGTAAATATTGTTGCATACAATTAAAATATAACAATTTAATTTTAAATATTTACATTTCCTGATGTCTTTCCTTATATAACAATGATAATGAAATTGAAATTCAATTTTCATTGACATGCAGTTGGTCACATGATCAGATTTTCTTGCATATGGAAAGCAAACTGTACGAGCCATTTTGGAAAGTTCAGATTGTGACGTCACATGACGTCGTAGATACGTTATGTTGCATTTCCATAACAAAGTCTAAATAGTGCGTGTTTTCCTTGTCACATGAATAAAAATGAAAATATAAATATAAGAAAAAAATATAATTTTTTAGAGTTTCATTGGGAATGACATGAAGTCGGTCGCTAAAGAATTTGATCACGTGACCAACTTCATGTCATATCCCAATGAAACTCTAAAAATGATATCTTATTTCTTCATTGTAACACGTCATTTGATTGGGTTAAAGATTTAATCCATTTTGTATAACATAACTTGCCCACGTCAAGAAAGTATTACTCCGCTTGACGTTACTTTTAAAATATGCTAAATTTTAGGCATTTTTCCGGAGGAAAAATTGTCTCATTGTCTACACTGAAATTAAATTACACGGAATGAAGTTTATCGTATGTTATACGATATAACAAACCTTGTGACAGTTTACGCTTTTTTTTATAAATCGCTTCATTCCTTGTATAAAATCATTCATAATTGCAAATCTTAATCTTTAACAATTTATAAATTCCTTCCTCGAGTATTTTACATAGCATTAAAAAAATGGGTAGGAAATATCAATGAAGGTTACAACAAATTGTTTCTGAATAGCAGTCAACTCGACCTTTAGACCTATAATTTATCTATTCTGTGTATTAAAATACATTCTTTTTTTCATTTCAAATGTTTTCTCGATACTAAATCGAAATAAATGATACCACAGATTTTGTCAGTTTGCTTTCATATAGGACAGTATACAAATGCTAAAAAGAAATTTAAAAAATCTTAATGATTTGAAATTTCGAAATGAGAATAACAAAGACGATCGAGACAACACCATTAAAAACGAAAATGGGTCATTCTTATGAGGGTAAAAAAGTTAATTCTCCAACAATCTTTCTTGGCATTTTTGCGACTTTTAAGATAATAAAACTGCCCTGACTTCACATTTTTCTTTAGACAAAACATTTCTAATTTTGTATTTTTCAACATCTTAAACTTGTATTAATTTCACAGAGTGTAAGCCATCATGTGAGAAGGAGATAGATTACAAGAAGAGAATTATAGCAATGAGAGAATTGGAAGAGAACACTTGTACGTGGACAATCCAAGCACCAGAAAACCGTGGCATCTGGTTCCGTGTTACAGCACTAAGAGTTTCTGTGCACTCTAAGACCTGTTCTAGTTATCTCATGGTAAATTTTATTAATTGTTGCTCAGTGTTTATTTGCTTTTTTTTTTTTTTTGGTTTGATTGCTCACTTGCTTATTAGCGTGCATGCGTTTTGTCACTTCTAGTGAATAATTCAGTAGTTATTTTGATTATCGTTCAGCTTTATTTTCATATGTTTATAGCTAAAAGAAATACATACTGAACAAAGGACAACCCTTAAGAATTACTGCTCCTCAATAACACGTGACCACGTGAAAACACGTCATAATCAAGTCCAAGTGTCTGCTTACAATGTCACATTCAAGCTTAGCTGGAATGGTAAGATAAAAACGACCAATATTCACTTAATAAAGTATTCATTTAAAATCAAAATTCGTATCTCATATTGGTTTTTCGTGTTCTGAACATAGTCTTAACTACTAGTATAAATAGTTATTTTTTTCTGAATAGTTTTTGTGTTGGGTAAAGCCAATCGTAGAAAAGACCTCAATCCTACAACACAGAAGTATTCACAATCAACAGAAAGCATAATAGAAGGTATATGTACTTGTCTAGAAAAGTACGTTAGGCCAATCCAAGTTTTTTCTATGCTTAGCGTCCGCGTGCGCCTTGGTTTTTGACACCCTATATTAGAAAAAACACACAAAATCTGAAATTCATTAATTTAGTCGAAATTTTTTTTATTTTGTCAATTTCTCCAAATAATTCTGTACAGTAAGATATATTAGGTGTATTTTAAGTATTTAATCCCTTGTTTTTGCTTAAGAATAGAAATTTCTTCTATTAAAGCAGTTTAGTTAGATCAAATCATTTGAAGGGCGTCATTTTTATGACTTTTAAGCCTGTGTTTTATGTTTTGGCTTGTGTGTTTTTTTGCGAATAGGTAGGTAGGTTTTTGAAAGATGAGTGGACGCTAAACAGAGAAAAAACTTGGAATGGCCTTACTAACAATATCCAAAGATGACTAAGGTCCACCTAGGATTTAATGTACATAAGAGTAGACATACTGAAAATTAATGAAAGCATAAGTACAGGAATATTTATTTTACATTTATGTACGTAAGGAAACGTGTTCAAGCCAATGTTATTATTATTTGCATCAATATTAAGTTATTAAAAAAAGCTGTAGTTTATTCATAATTATTTGATCTGATGTATATGCTTAAGGAAAATACGTAAGTGTTTATTACACATTCAATTTATTTTGGTTATATTTCAGAGGATACCGTTATTGACTTTTTGAAAGAGAACAAATATTTTGGTAATACGTTTCTTCTAAAATTGTTTCTTACATTGTTTCTTAAGTTTAAATCATCAATTAAAACAGATAGAAATTTTAAATAGAATATTTTAAGTAATTTAAAATATCAACGGTTGCAGAACTTCATTAAAGACATAAAGGGTTATATGTTGTATACTTAAAGTCGGCTTAAATAAATATTTATTTTTTAATTTTTTGAATAGTATTGGCGATTCTTGCTGGTATAGTGACAACCACTGTCATTACTTTTACAACGATAAAAATATGCTCTAAGAGGTAAATAGTTTTATTTTCAGATTCATGGGAAAATAAAGAAGGGGTATTTTTAAAATCGATGACGAAATGTCACTGAGAGAATTGAAAAAAAAAATTAATATTCTAAGACATCACGAAGAGTATTGGGGCTAATAAATGCCTAACTATTTAACTAAGAAGGGCACTTGTACATGTTGTAGTCTTAAATCATTCTTTTTTGTTTTATCCGCATGGATATTCATGCAAAATTCTTAGAAACATCTTTTATGCCTTCTTGAAATGATGTCAAACAAACTTCACTTACAGGTCCGATTCTGACTGTTCGCTCGTTAATTTGTTTGTATGTTGTTTAACGTCCTTCTCTAGAATTTTTCACTCAAATGGAGACGCTGCCACTGGAGAGCTTCAAATTTTGTCCTGTATTCGGCACTTAGGGCCATTGAGCAGGGATGGATCTTTTTCGTGCCAACACCTACTGCGACACGAGACCTCGGTTTATAGGTCTAATCCAAAGGACCGGTCTCCATATCCCAGATTGGGATTCAAGCTCGCGACGTAAGGATCAACTCCTTACGCCGCGACTCTAGAGCAGACGGTCTAACCACTGCACCATGTGGGCAACCTGACTGTTCTTAAAAATAGTAGAATTCCGTAATGTGTCTTGATTTTTAAAATAAGAAATTAATGTCGTTTTATTTATCTATTTTAATAATTCTTAAGGGATAAATGAAATATGTTTAAAAATAAAATTTATCAAATGTTTCTTTAAACAAGAGGCCCACGGGCCTTATAGGTCACCTGAGTATCGTGTAACAACTTTCAAATAATTAAAATTGGTTCGTGTTTTACCCCAGAGGCCATGAAATTCACAATTCACAATTTTGAAAGAGGCACCATTGCTTATCATAATTATAAACTTAGCTTACTCTACTTACTTAATACTCAGAGGTAGATCAGAGTAACAAAGAGAAAATGCACTTCCATTTTATAACCAGTTATGCACCTCACCCCAAAATAACCACTGACCCTGGGGCCACATATTTCAAAATTTTGCAAATTTTATCTTAAAATGGTTGATTAATACTAAAGAGCAGATTTCAAAGCATTAATTTATTTTCAGACTATGTTACACCCCCCCCCCCCCCCCCCCCAGGGAGGGGGCATAAAAAATAACCATTTTGCTAGATGCACCTTTCTTCATCACTATACAGTTATTGACTGGGTATGAGGGCAAGATATGATTTGTTGGACCTGAAGGTGAAAATGTTGCCCGAGGCCGCAGGCCAAGGGCAACATTTTCATCTTCAGGTCCAGCAAATCATATGTTGCCCGAGGCCGCAGGCCAAGGGCAACATTTTCATCTTCAGGTCCAACAAATCATATGTTGCCCGAATCCCAGTCTATAACTGTTTTGTTATACCCTTCACTGCTCACTTAAGATTGATCAATTTTATCAATACACGCTTTACTATCAATTATTTTATATGGAAAATTATGGCTTCTTGTAAATATAAAACATCAAGCTGAGAAAGAACAAAATCAATTATAAATCTATTATATCACAAAAATTATTTATCACAAAACATACTCTTCCCTTCTACCTTACCTTGCTGTTAGCAACAACTCTTTTAAAATAGCTCCTAACTTCGGCTATTTTCGTATATTGAACGAGATTATTAATTGTGACGTAACAGACAAGTGACGTTATAACAATTTGTAAGACCGGTCAATAGTGAAATTGTGAGACCGACGTAATAAACATTTCTTTTGTTGGACTTTTTATTAGTAATAAATATATAGAAGGATATTTATAAGGGTATAACAAAAATATATATATACTTGGATCATTGGCATAAAACCCAGGAGCAAAGGAATAGATTTTCAAAGAATTAATGCATTTTCACTATATAATCAATAGAGCCCCGTCCTAACACCAGAAACCCTGACCCTGGGGCCACAAAATTCACAATTTTGGAAGAAGCACTCTTTCTCATCATAACTATGTACTTACTTAGTTTATTTAATACCCAGAAGCAGAGAAGAAAATTTTCAAAGAATTAATGCATTTTCACTATATGATCAATAGAGCCCCGCCCTAACACAAGAACCCCTGACCATGGGACCATAAATTCACAATTTTGGAAGTGGCACTCTTGCTCGTCATAACTATGTGCTTAGTTAGTTTATTTAATACCCAGAAGCAGAGAAGATTTTCAAAGAATAAATGCATTTTCACTATATGATCTATATAGCCCCGCCCTAGCACAAGAACCCCTGACCCTGGGGCCATAAAATTCACAATTTTGGAAGAGGCACTCTTGCTTAACATAACTATGTGCTTAGTTAGTTCACTTAATACCCAAGAGCAGAGAAGAAGATTTTCAAAGAAATAATGCATTTTCACTATATAATCTATATAGCCCCGCCCTAGCACAAGAACCCCTGACCCTGGGGCCATGAATTTCACAATTTTGGAAGAGGACTCAATGCTCATTACATTCATGCCAACAGTTTGACTGCTTGATGTCCAGGAGTAAAGAAGAAGATTTTTAAAGATTGCAATAATTTTGGTGGTTTTGGCCCCACCCCTCAGGCCCCAGGGGGCGGGGACCGTAAAATTCAAAATTTTTGTTCCCCTTCAGCCATAGATGCTGTATATTAAATTTGGTTGAAATTGGTTCAGTGGTTTCAGAGAAGAGGCTGAAAATGTTCAAATGTTAACGCACGACGCACGACGGACGACGCACGACGACGGACGAAAACGTATAGCAATAGGTCACCTGAGTTACTCAGGTGACCTAAAAAACTATTCGAAAGTATTTAGAGATTTTAATTCTGATTAGTGATTTTGGTGTTTTTAAACAAATAATAGGCGCAATCAACGTGCATGTACAGTCAGCAGAGAAAACTACGAGATGCCGAATTTGCCTGAACAAAGTGACCATAATGAAAGACACTTGCAAATAAATGAAAAGTGCAAATCACATCAACGAGATGATTATGAAAATATCAAGACAGCTGATTTTAAAAAGAGCAAAAAAGAATGGACGGATATTGGACGTAAAAGCGGTAGAGCTGCAGAGGCAAAAGAAAATGAAAGTAGTTTAGAGGATTGGTGTTCTTACTCATTTTCTAGCAGTCATAAGCACGTGAAAGACAGAATAACAGATCACTTATACCTGCTTAGCCAAGAAGATGAGACGGTATTTAATGATGATAGTCATGAGTACCAGTCTTGCCGACAGGTAAAGATCGAATACGGACATACTAGTATGCAAAACAAACCCTACAGTTCAAAGAAGCAGAACATCTCTCCAAGTGTGTCTAGCACTTCTGACTGCGAAGATTACGTTAATCTCTACTGAAATTACTTGAGAATTTTTTTCTTTTATTTTGTACAATTATTAATCACTCTTTAAACAGTCTATTGATAGTTTTTGATATACATGTACACGATGTTAGCGAGCGTTATTTCTCGGTGGTCGTTATATTTGAGATATACAAACCTGAATTCCTTCAGTATTCAACCATTCTAAATTTCATACATGAGAAACTTCAAGAGAAAACATTTCAATAATATATTCGAGAACCGGTGTAAATCAAATGCGGATATAAAAAAAAAATCCGAGGAATTTTTGGAACATTTGATATCACAAAATTTACCAGAATAAACAACTAGAAAAATTACGACTTATCAACTTTATATACAGATATTATCCACGATAAATTAAAGTCCAGACTTTCTATTTTCTAACATCATTGACAGCTGCTTTTTCAATAAAAATGGAACTCGTAAATTTACTTTTGTTATTGGTCATTTGCAAAATAACTTTGTTTATAAATAAAAAAAAAAAACATTTTGATTGTACACACAGTTCTCTGAAGTTGATACCGTATATACTAAAAAGATGCTCGAGTTTCTGATTGACAATATCTATGTTGTTTTTGGAGAGTGGGTCTTCCAACAACATTTTAGAATTTTTATGGGTAACAATTGCGTCCCGTCGTTAGCAGACATTTTTTGTATTCATATGAAACAGACTTTGTTCAAAAATATTTTACGTGAAAAGAAAAAAAAGAACACTTGCCGTGGCCTTCAACTCGACATTTAGACAATCGTCGACGTATTGTCAATTAACAATACTTGTAGTTAGTATTTACAATCTTAGGTCCATACGATATATCTCGGTTGGCTTGAAATGAAAAATACTACAGAGTCTGGCATTTCTATTTCATATAGATTTAGATATTTTACTTGAAAAGGACGTTATGGTAATCTAACCACCAAGCTTTGTGACAAACGAGATTAATTTTACATTCCTGTTAACCAAGAGGAGTTAGATATACTCTTACCTTTATTACCTTATTGGGTGTTGCTAAAACGCGGAACGGAAAGCGGAACGGAACGGAAAACATAATATATTATTTCAGATAAAATCACTTCAAGTAGACAAATTTTATCAGAAACGATATATATTTTACTTTTTCAATCCTCCATTATTAAATACAAGTTGATTTAGTCATGTTCAGTCTCTTATTCACGAAAATTGTTGACATAGCAGTGACATAGAATCGAATTTGAATGAATGTGTGAATGTTTGAAGGGGGGGGGGGGGGTAAACTGAGCTTATAAGAATTTGTCAAGAAAGAAAGAAGACAATTGTTTTATTCGGGAGGGGGAAAGGAGGTTCCAACTCCCAACATCTTTCAATACTAATTTGTTAATACTAACTTAATGATCAGCTATTTTTAGAAACTCTGCTTTTAGAGATAAGAGGTAAAACTATTTCATATGCATCATATACCAAAAAGAAAAGAGAAAACAAAGAGAAAGATTTAATAGAAAGTATCAAATTATTAGAAGAAAATGTTTGTGAAAGTAATATTGATGAACTATATAGTCTAGTCATCAATATTACTAAAAGATCATTTATTTTAGGTTACATTGAGAATTATACTGATATTCAAAATACTATTATCCTTTGGCTGAAACATTATGTTTACACATCAAGATGTACTAAGAAACCTTTGAATTTATGTGCTGCAATATCACAAGTGAAGTTTTATTATGAAACACACAAATTTATATCTTATAGAAATAGTGAAAAAGAAAAATTTGATGCCCAGTGGAACAGATGGAACCAACTTTTCTACTATACTCTCTCTTTCACTCCTCTCTCTCCTTCTCTCTCTCCTCTCTTTCTCTTGCTTTCCTTTATTCTTCCTTCTACCTCTTTCTATTAAAAAAAAACACATTATGTATTAATTCAATGTGTGATATTGTAAAAAGAGATGTGAATAAAAAAAAAATAAAATACTAACTTGCTATACAGTAATTACAATGATTGTATCAAAATGTGTGTGTGTATCTATATGTGTGTGTGTGTGTGGGGGGGGGGGGGGTGGCAATGTTAAAGGTTATGTCTGGAAATAAGTTGGGGGAGGTAAATATTCAAATATTCGATATCTAGATAAACCATGGTAAGAGAAATAATATGTAAAAAAAAAATCTGGATATTAGAATCGGAAACTTTTCTGTGGTAAATTTAAATATACAGTAGCATCTTTATATTCAATGAAGTTTAAGTTTATTTGTATATGGTACATAGGGGGGGGGGTATGAATGACCCCGTAAAACATTTGAGTTTGTTTTTCCGCTCATCGAAATGGTCTAAGAAGTTACAAGCCCCCCCCCCCCCTTCCCTATTTGTGTCCAAAAATACATAAGATTTAATAAATCATTTTTGTTGGTGTCGCTGTTGGTCCCTAGCTACTAACACCTCCCCCCCCCCCTTCAATATTCCTGGTTTCGCCAATTTTTGCGTAGTCTGAATGTAAAAAATACTATAGTAGTTATTTTTGTCTTGACAGATACATGTATGTACATATTAGTATCAATTTATTCTGCTATTTCAAGACAATGTCTTTTTTTCATGAATGAGCTCTTTTTTTTAAGAAAAGAAAAAAAAGATTCGTTAAATACGATGGATACTCATGATCTGAGTCAAATTGGTACGTATTTTATAGATAATTGTATGTACACGTGCCAGTTCTGAGGGATACAGGATTCATGAAAATATCATAGTTTACGATAAATATTTATTAGATATGACTTTTATATCAAGAATATTGCTTTTTATATCTGATTAACATCGAATCTAGGTTATTTGTTTGACATAAATTTTCCGTTTTCCGTTCCGTTCCGTTTTCCGTTCCGCGTTTTAGCAACACCCCCTTTATTGGGTTCCTAAACTTCACAAAAATCTTTACAAACAGAAATACATTTCAGGGTCAAGCAAATCCTCTACTATACACCAATTTCGTTACTCAAGACAAAAATAGCTACTAAACTGTTGTTCTTGGACTTTTGCGAGAAGCATAGACGTCGGAACCGGCCGCCCCCCCCCCCTTCCACTTTTTTTGCAAAGAAATACATAATATATGCAGTGAAAATTAGATTTTACCTTTTTTTGGTGGTTTAGCCCTCCCCAATGCACACTTTCAATTACCCCCCCCCCCCTTTTAATTTGCTTCCGGTGACTAACGCCACTTCTAGAATGTGCTGTAGCACACTGCATCGGTAGTTTCTTATTTGACTCTTACAAGAAGCACTGAATTTTAATAACAGTTATCATTAACTGTTTAAATGTCACAGTAAACCGTGAACTGTTATTAAAGAATAGTCCTTTTGGCTTATTAAAAGTTGATGTGCTTCTCCCAAAAGTCCAATAAGAAATTTCAGACGCATTATGTGTATTCTATAGAAGTGGTTTTAGTCTAGCTTCTCAAAAATTCAAACAAAATTACTTTGTAAATATAATCATTCTGATAGGCCCCTATGATTCTACACAATTCAATTCGTTTATTTACAAATTTACAATATATAGAGAAAGAGCCAGAGGATTGAAAGAAAAAGACTGAAAAGGAGGAATACCGGGGTAATCAAAAAAAGTTTTAATGCATGTGCGGAAGTTCTGAGAGAAAACACTAAGGACTCTGAACATATATAGTATCAAAAGGATGCGGGACTTCCTCGTTGACAACATTTGTTTAGTCTTCGGAAATTAAACCAGGTTTTCCAACAAACTTTTGGGATTCTTAGATGACCTTTTTTATGTATTCCTATGAGTAAGAATATTTTTTTTTTAAAATCTACATGAGAAACAACACGTAGATTACCTTCAACTTGAAATTTAGATACTAGTATATCGACGATGAATTAGCAATTAACATTACAGACTGTAGGTATAGATACTTTTCATTCATTTGTCGATTTTATACACTAGTATTCCAGTGAACTTGAAATTTTTCATGTTCTAAATTTTGTATTTACTCCCACCTGGTAAATTCCAAATTTAGAACATGACATGACTATCAGCAATGGCGGCCAACTAACAATCAGCTCGTGTGACCTGCGAGATGACTTCTACTTTTCCATCGTCAGTTAGACAATTACCCTTCTTTTTGTAGTACATGTAATATGATGGATATGATGTTTACATCTCCGAACTTATTGGATACTGAAGAGTTTGCTCTAAGTATACGTTCAGTTTTTAATGTAGAGCAGGCTACTCACCAATAAGTTGATTTTACGGGGATTTCAACAACCTCGTTTAAAGTCAGCAATTCTACCTGACCTGATCAATGTGTAGGACTCATGGCAGGCTATAGACAGTAAATGTTCACTCTCTGTTGGCAGCTGACTCCTCATCTGGGAATTCAAGAAGTCCGTGATCTGTGCATGCCTTCTTTACATATTGTTTTTAGACTTTTTGAGGTGGATCACTATTCGTTGTCTTCATCTTTTTCATCTATAAATCCAGGCGCAGATACAGGAATTCTTTTTCAGGGGGTGGGGTCTTTGAAAATATAATAAATCCAAACAAGAAAAATTATTGACAATAAAAAATATTCCCTTTCTCAAACTTTAAAACTTATTTCTTGGGGTTGATGGGTTAGTTCTTTGCTTCCAAAGCAAACCTTTATTTCTATGACTTTTCTTACCAATTTACCACGGGTCCACGTTTTCAAGGGCCGAGTCAAGGGGTTCTCATGTCTTCTTTTTTTTGGGGGGGGGGGGGGGCTTAGTATACACATTTTAGGCTACCAAGAAACTAAATAAACTGCCATCGTTTGACCCTACCGATTACATCAAGTAGAATTTAAAGTAAGAGGATTTTCTTTCAGAATTCTTTTTCTTTCTTTAATGTCATTTGTTCCCCGAAGTGGGATATGTCCTTCGTCACCTTGAAAAGAATTAAAAATCTGTCCTGGAATAAAAAAGAATAATGTACATTTGCATTAAAAATTAAGGTTTGATTGTGTGAAAACTATCATAGAGAATTTCTTTAACTTAATAACATATGTAATTTACATTGACTTGAATGTACATGCCAAGTTTGGGGGAAATCTACCGTTCAGGTATTTTAAGGGACCGTCTCAAAATACAGGTGCATTAACTATAGGATTATATATATGCAGGCACATAGCAACAGGGGGCCCCCAACATTACCTTTACTATTGAAAATGTCCCTTGAAAGGTTGCGTGGTTAACCCCCCCCCCCCTCCCACCCACATCTTACCACAGTATAGTGATATCAAAGAATTGTAGTATTGTATGCAAAAAAAATGGAAGTGAAAGGAAGTTGGCCTTGAAAAAAGAAAAAGTTGCCCACAACCCCCCCCCCCCACACACACACACACACACACACGCGCGCGCGAGAAATAGGATTTTCGAGTTCGGTATATTTACGAAATGCAAAATTCTACCGTCTTGTTTCTAAAAAGGGTCTAAAAAATGCCAATAATTCACGAATTTTCC